GCCACGGATTCTCTTCATCAATTGCGTGTTAAATGGCGGCAAATGATTTTGGATCAAAGATTGGATCGTCAATTATTGGCATATGTTGCTCAGGGACCATCAGCGGACCCACCATTTTCTGAGGAGACACTGCAACCATTTATGAATGAGCTTAATCATTTTATTCGAATGCATGGGCTGACTCCGGACTGGTCTATTCGTGAACACCAACCCATGAGACTGGGTATTTTGGCAGCCTTGAGCACAATCATGGGTGACAAGGACACCACATTATTTGGTGAACTACAAGCTGGAGTCAGCACTGGATTTAACAATGACATCCCTTTATCACAATGCTTTCCTCGCAATGATCGTCCAATCGATACTACAACACTGTTGTCCGCACACATGTGCAACTGGGCCTCCGCTGAAAGCGACTTGGAACTCACTCGATCACTGGTTGAAGAAGAAATCTCGCGTGGATGGGTTTACAAATTTGATGGAGATCTCGCTGATGCACAGGCGGCATTTCCTGTTGGTGTTGCACTCGGCAAACTTGGCGTCGCTACCAGCGATTCCAGACCACCGCGCCTAGTTGTAGACAATAGTATATGCGGCCTCAACTCGAGGTGCCATATACCTGAGCGGTCAACGCTGCCGACCGCAAAGGATGTGCTGCGTAGCTACCCTCTTAGAGGTTGCACCGAGGACTTCATGGCCATGTCGCTTGACATTAAATCAGCACATAAATGTGTAGTTATTCGAGAAAGTGAAAGAGGATTGGTCGGATTTACGCTGGAAGGGGCCTTGTATTTTTACAAGGTAGCTCCATTCGGAGCATCTTTCTCGGCAGCGTGGTGGAGTCGAGTAGGTGGATACCTACTCCGCCTGATGCACCATACAATATGGATCCCACACTGTGGACTTGTATTCGTTGATGACTACTTGTTCTACCAAATCAAATCGATGATGCCGGTCACTGCGGCATTACTTTGTGTTTTGGTACTATGTTGTCGCATTCCCATTTCTTGGAAAAAACTGGAATTAGCATCAACGATATCATGGATCGGCTGGCGTTTCCATTTCTCTTCAGGCTTTGTGGAACTTCCCATGAATAAACTGGAAAAAATTCGACGTTATTTGCAACAACTATCCCAATCTTCTCGCACCACGAGAAAGGACCTGGAGAAATTCATCGGTATTATGATGTGGGTCACACAGCTTTTCCCATACATGCGCATTTGGCTGCATTATTTTTACAAGGATTTGTATGCCATTCCAGCTACGCATTTCAGCATTGACAGAGACAATTGGACGGCTGTTGCGCCATGCCTCAATGATGATTTGATTTTTCATACTCGTCCATCAAACACTGAAATTCCTGTTCAAGGGAAGCTGATTTCTGTACGACATCAACCAGTGGAATCCCTGGATGACCTCTCCAAACTTCGTCTTTCTGATCGACGTATTTGGATGCGCATTCGTGATCCGAACTCCAATAAACGAACTTTATCCTCGGATACCATTCGAATGATATCACTGTATCAATCCTGGTTTTTACACTTGCAACCATTGCGACCCATGCGGCCCAAGAATTTTTGGACAGGAGAAGTCGCAGCTGATGCATGCGCCGCTGGATCTTCGACTCAAATCGGAGGTTTCATTCGAGCACCAAACGGTGAATGTCGCTGGTTTTCTGAAAAATATTCTCATGCGGCTTTTATGGACCTCCACATCAATCTGGATCCCGATCTCCAGAAATCCATTACCTGTATGGAAACGCTTGCACAACTGGGAATTTTGCATTTGGCTGCAAAGCATTTCCATGCCACCAGGATGCCAATCAAATTATCATCCTGGAGTGACAACACTGGTGCAGAAGCTTCCACCAATAAACTGTTTTGCACCAGCAAGCCCCTTTGCTATTTTGTGGAAAGAATGTGTATTTTTTCAGCACTCTCAGGCATAGAGATGGATGTACACCATGTCCCTGGTCATGCAAATGAGGAAGCAGACGCATTATCGCGTATGAATGTCGAAATCGAATGTCCCACAGGTTTCACATTGTCTGACAGGATTCGTTTGCCCTTGTCAGAACTTTGGATGGATAGCCCATCTCCGCGCTTAGTTCCTACCGACACTAAAATTCCCTGGAAGTTACCAACTCCTTGAACCTCATTTCTCTTGCTGGAAATCATTCACTTTCATTGGGGGGTATATTGGCGATTGATTTCCCCCGATAACTTTACTTGGGTGACAAATATCATCAAGGGAAATAGATCCAAACAACAGTTTGGATCTTCCAGTCCAACATGGATCAATTATTCCAGCAAGAGAAAAGAATAATATCAATGTGCGAGTGTCTGCAATTTTAAGTTTTAATTATATGCTTTTGTAAATTATATAGAAAGCAAATGTAAGTCTTAGTAGAACTATACATGTACTTGTTTCATGTTTGTTTTACGGGGCTTCATTTTGTTTCGTGGAAACCATTTTGGCTCTAAGACTTACATTTGCGTTTTTTGCTGGGGCATTTATTTGAAAAAAACCCGCCCACCCACTACCTCAAGCTGTTTGTTTCTACTTTCTGGTTCTTCCATGGGAAACACGTTTCACCACACTGCGTAAATCGGGGGCTTGATCGCTCCCATAATATGAAGGCACTCTTCCTTCTTCAGCCGCTATAGTCACTAAGTGACAACTCACCAAGGATCACCTTTCAACATGAATGGGTGACAAATATCATCAAGGGAAATAGATCCAAACAACAGTTTGGATCTTCCAGTCCAACATGGATCAATTATTCCAGCAAGAGAAAAGAATAATATCAATGTGCGAGTGTCTGCAATTTTAAGTTTTAATTATATGCTTTTGTAAATTATATAGAAAGCAAATGTAAGTCTTAGTAGAACGTATAAGAATATACATATCTATATATATATATATGTATATATGTATATATGTATATATGTATATATGTATATATGTATATATGTATATATGTATATATGTATATATGTAGACATGTATATATGTAGATATGTATATATGTATATATGTAAATATGTATATATGTATATATGTATATATGTAAATATGTATATATGTATATATGTATATATGTATATATGTATATAGGTATATACGTATATAGGTATATTTGTATATATGTATATATGTATATATGTATATGTGTATATATGTATATATGTATATATGTATATATGTATATATGTATATATGTATATATGTATATATTTGTATATTTATATATGTATATATGTATATATGTATATGTGTATATGTGTATATGTGTATAAATGTATATATGTATATATGTATATATGTATAAATGTATATATGTATATATGTATATATGTATAAATGTATATATGTATATATGTATATATGTATAAATGTATATATGTATATATGTATATATGTATATATATGTATATATATATATGTATATATGTATATATGTATATTTGTATTTGTGTGTACTAGTATATACATACGTTATGTCATATTTTTTTTAAAAAATACCCAGTTATAGTTTAGAACATAAACCGGGAATTTATATTTTTGTGATTTTGATGATTCCAGCACCATCATTGATCCTGGGGTCTGGGGTATGAATACCCACATCTGTGTAAGTGTTTGTGCCAACTTAAAAAACTGAACCTAAGTGCAATGCTTTCATCACAATCCAGGCTTTTAAAATTCCAGCATTTGTTTCTTTTAGTTCCAACATATTTGTGTATAGTTCCAGTATTTTCCCATGTAGTTCCTGTATTTTCCCAAATAGTTCCTATATACCCAGGGTGGCCACACACAAATAGGCCATCACTGGTTATGATTCATAATCCATTTTGGTATGTTTTGGGGATAATTCCGCATGAACTTTTGGCCTTGTAGAACGCATTTTTGTTGCAGTTTTCTGCTTTGAAAATGACATGCTGACATTATTTTTTGTTTCAAGAGAGTCGGCTGAATTGAGAGTCAAGAGCAGGAGGAGAGTTGAAAAACTCGGGGAACGTGAAAACAAAAGCAAAAACATCAACACAATCATCACTGATTGTTATGTTCATCGTTTGTATCTTTGCTTACTTCAGACTCATCATCAACTTCAAACAAAAAACACAATTGTGATACTACACCGTTTGAATCAACAGGGCCAACATGCCCATGCACCAAATGGCAACAATGATGCAGGGAACATTTTGGAGCAAAAACATAGTAAAGCCGTACAACAATCAACATCAGCAACCAAATCCCATATCACACGCAGAAACCAGTACAAGGCATGTCCTTGGATGCATGGTTTCAATGCTGGACTCGGTCGGACAAATCCCAAGAGGACGACTTGACATTATTTTTTCAATGACATTTCATTTTAGTCATGAAATTATCACAAATTATCTCAGATCTTAGATCTCACATCTCACGTCCCTCAGTGCAGGACAAGACCGATGTTTGGCTGACGGAACAACTCAAATTTACGCGGGAACAGTTTCTGAACTGCAGAATGATGTGTGAAAATTTGGAGTGTTTGATTCAATTTGTTATGATTGCCATGATTGATGCACTATGCAAGTGCAAATTTTCAATTTGTAAGTATCTGAGGCTTGACAAAAAGTCAAGACAATGTGAGCAACTGGATGCAGAGAACAGACGGTTGCAGGCTGGGAACCGAACAAAAATGAGACCAGGGACCAGGGGTTCATTGTGTTTTTCCACAAATTGGGTCATTCCAGCATTAATCCCATCCCCCTAATATTAAACACTCCGTTAGAACCATGGTTTAGTAGGGAATTTCCACTTATTAATATTAGGGGGATAGGATTACATGAAGCAAATTCCTTTGTTGATTGCTGTTTGAGGCACGCCTCAGCGAAGTGGGGGTCCTTGGCAAACGTTGCTTTATACAAACTGTTTTCCTCAGAGGTTGACTTAGGTTTTCCTTTATGGTCAATTCATGGTCACTCGGTCAATGAACCAATTGCTGTGGTTCCAAATGGATGGACCGAATCGAGGAACAACCTGACTTGCTGGAAGAACAGCGGGCAATGCACGCCGAGGTCAGCGGTGCTGTATCTCATGTAACCTCCACATTTTTTTTTTCATTCTTAGGTGCCATGATAGAATGCTACTGAGTCTTGCTGCAACTGTTCTCAGACTTCATTGCATTTGGGTGGTTTCTACAATCATTCGACCAATGTTGGGGACCTAGTCGTTCGGAATCCTGGCTATACCGAACATTGCTAATAAATGTTCCTTCCATGTTAGGGGATTCCTAAGTTCCACAGGGTTCCTCGCATTCGTTTTGGGATGTTCAGGCCATATCAGGAGATTTGCGTTCCAAGATCGTCCGTCATCTTTCAGATTTCACCGGATTTCACCATCTTTCATCAGATTCCACATGGATACCCTCTGGTAAACTAACAGTTTGCTATTGAAAATGGCCATTTAAAGTGAGTTTTCCCAATAAAAATGGGGATTTTCCATGGCTATGTTGGTTTTCCCATGAAAAAATGGTGATTTTCCCATGGTTGATCTGGTCCCTGCAGGAGCTCCGAGGCTTGCAGGCGAGTCACAGCCTGGAGCTGGAGCGGCTTCGCGAGGAACTGGGCCGAGAACGCGAGCTGCATCGGGAGGCGCGGATGGCCCAGGCAACGGTGGTGCTGATGGTGCCCCAGATTCTTTGCTAAGATGGTTTATGAGTAGCTTGTATCAACCTATATAGATACATGAATAAATACATTGAATAAATATATTGAATAAATAGATAAATGAATACATGAATAAATGAATATATACATGAATACATGGATAAATATATAAATATATAAATAAATAAATACATAAATACATAAATACATAAATGAATAAATAAATAAATAAATATTTAAATATATAAATATATAAATATATAAATATATAAATATATAAATATATAAATATATAAATATATAAATATATAAATATATAAATATATAAATATATAACTATATAAATATATAACTATATAAATATATAAATATATAAATATATAAATATATAAATATATGAATATATGAATATATGAATATATGAATATATGAATACATAAATATATAGATATATAAATATATAAATATATAAATATATAAATATATAAATATATAAATATATAAATATATAAATATATAAATATATAAATATATATATATAAATATATATAAATATATATAAATATATATATATAAATATATATATATATAAATATATAAATATATAAATATATAAATATATAAATATATAAATATATAAATATATAAATATATAAATATATAAATATATAAATATAAATATATAAATATATAAATATATAAATATATAAATATATATATATATATATAAATATATATAAATATATAAATATATAAATATATAATTCTAAATATATAAATATATGAATCTATATATATATATATATAAATAAATATAAATATATAAATATATAAATATATAAATATATAAATATATAAATATATCAATATATAAATATATAAATATATACATATATAAATATATAAATATATAAATATATACATATATATAAATAAATATATATATAAATAAGTATATAAACACATAAATATATAAATATATCAATATATAAATATATAAATATATAAATATATAAATATATAAATATATAAATATATTAATATATAATTATATACATATATAAATATATAAATATATATATATAAATATAAATATATATAAATGTATAAATATATGAATATATATATATAGATATATAGTTATATAGATATATAAATATGTGAATATATAAACATATAAATATATAAATATATAGATATATAAATATATATATATATATAAACTTATAAATATATAGAAATTTATAAATATATAGATATATAAATAAATAAATAGATAAATGAATAAATAGATAAATCTATATATATACACACTATTTATGTAAACACATATGTATATTTGATATTCATATATCATGTGAATCATGTGATATTATCTATAGTTCATGGGGGTTATAAACCGACTCGCAACCGGGGAACACCTTGGGGGCATTCTGGCCCTGAAGGATCATTTGCTTCGGATCCGAAGTTAAAATGACTGGTGTCTTGTGATGGGAAGTCTCCAACTCCTTGGGTTATCCCATGGGCTGAGCGCTTTGATTCTTATTTGGAAATGGGATTGTGATCCAAAAAATTGTCCAGATCCCAGATACAGGCATAATTTTCGTTATGGATTAAGGCTACCCAAATCTGGCAGCTTGCTGCGTGGACTTGATTCAGATTATGGGACCTCATTTAAATGCAGTGCCTGTCACTGCGGGGCCTGAAACAGCAACAACAAGATACTGGTGACAACAGCACTGGGGAAACAAGCATCAGAAAACAACCGGATATCATCAACGCTTAGTTGTGCTCAGAAATGAGGGAGGGTTTAAGCCTTTCTTGAAATTCAACTATATCGATCTATAAACAGTATCTATTTATTTTCTGGACCCCACTTTTTATGGCCCATTCACAAACTTTGTGGTTATGTACAGATTCTGTCAGACCTGGAGTTCTGATAGTTTTGTCTGAGTCAACTATGCAAGAGGTCAGTTTTTTGAATATTATTTCTGAAGCGCTTAGGGTTCTCTTTCCGTGGGATTCAGAGTTTTGAGAACTGAGGAAAACCAAGGATTTTGAGTAGCTGAAGCAACTCAAATCTCAGATCCCCAATGCCAAGCAATTGCAACTCGTGGTGTCTGCAGAGGCTTCTCATGTGCTCCACGGTCTCCAAGCACAGAGGGATGAGAAGGCATGGAATGGGCGACTGACCACGGTCACAGTGGCAATGTGGCAACCAATGTGCTCTTGTTCGGATTGTGGATGTGTGACATCAGGCTTGATTCGCCGAAGACCATGTGGAGGTTATTCTAAATGTTCAGGAATGAGGGCACCATTCAAAATGTTGATGTTCATGGAGAAAGATGATCATTAACCATTAGGGTCATTAGGGATTCTCGGACAAGCTTATGGTGCACTTCCGGAGGTGAAAGATCTTCAAGAGGAGCTACGAAATCTTAGCGATGGGTTAGCTCAGAAGGCAGATGGTGCATGCTGCAGTACAGTCTGTGTCGAGCAACATCAAACTTCTTCACATGTGCAGAGTTGGGTTTGATTTAATGGGTTTGTTGACTATTCGACGATTTTCTCTGCTTGCTCTTTTTGGGCAGGAAGAAGACATGTTGAATATTCAGTTCAGCATGGCTGAACTACAGAACCGCTGTGTTGACCAGGGCGTCAGTGCCTCAGACAGTGCAACAGTTGCATTCACAGTTTGATACAGTTGCATGTCTCAAATCAGTTTTTGCTATTTTGTCTCCTCTAGCTCTTCAGGACATGATCTATGCAGGAATCCAGGGGACAACTATCCAATATCTGGGGAGCTTCATCTTTGCGCTGCATATTCTCCAGTAAACAGTGTAAGCTTTGGTAAGCTCCAGAGTGTGGGACCAAAGATTTTATTTTCAACAATTCTGCCGCAGTTTTTGGGGAACTTGATCAGTTTTCCGGTGTCCTCCATGGATCCTTTTCCTTGGAATGACGCTGACCGTGAGTAGCCTCAGTGGGCGTAGCTTGACTCTCCATGCGACGGATTTGGAAGATGGGCTGCACAAAGCTGTAGCCCAAGCACTGGAGCACCCCAGCTTTCGAACCAGGCCGTTGCTTTTGACAACGGAGCAAGATTTCAGAGTGCCGACGTCTTGACACTTGAAATTTGCAGTGAAGATAGTGAAGTATGAATTGAGTTTTGTGTGGGACTCTGTGGGATTGAGTTTTACCGACTGACTCGCATGCGGAAAGTAGATGTAATATCAGATGCAATCCGAGCACTGCTCCTTCCTGAACTGTTCAGGCTGGTCTTGGCTGGCAAACTTCTTCCATATGATGCAACGTGGGAGGAGCGGCGGCAGGGACGGACGGATCCTTTGTTTTTCAATTCTTGTGCTGTCCCATTTCCTTCACAGTTCCGTGATTGATCCCTTCAATTTTGCTTATTTTGCTCCGCCAAAGGCGCTGGAAATCTGATGAAAACTGATGCCTTTTGTTCCACCAGTCCAGGATGTTGGTCGGCCATCAGAAGTGGAGGTGGTGACCCTTCCTCCCGTGATGGATTTTACCGCCTCTCTGTTCCACGCAGTCCAGAAGGGAGATGTCGTTTGACTATACTTGTCTTGGATTCGACTTGGCTCGGCAGATTTTGGTTATCTCTAGGAACTAGCCTAAAGAACATTTTTTTTTTGGGATGTGTCTGACTGAAAACACCCATATCCATCAGGCTGTCCGAAGTTCATTGCCAAATATGCTGAGGTTCGTGCGGTTGAATCGATCTTGTTGAAATGCCAGGTGGGGCTGGTTGTTGGGATGTTTTCTCGAGATCAGCCACAGCCACAGAATTGTCGCTTTATGAGGTTAGTGGAGTTCAATGCAATGGACATAATGGTTCATCCCAAATCTTCAAGTTTTGCAAAACAGTGCATGCAGTCTTGAAAGAATGGGTCTTGATCTGTTTTGTTTGACACTGTTTGCGTGCAGGATCCGAATTGTCAGGATACCAGAGGCAACTGGGCCTTTTTGAAAGCGAGCACGACACCGTACTGCAAAAGTGAGATGTTGCGTTTGCTCCACGAAGCTTCTGCCGATGTGCGTGTGGCCGATCGTTCTGGTCGTACAGCTCTCCATGCAGCTTCATCTTGTGATGAAGGTGATCAGTGGCTGCTAAAATCCTGTTGGTTGATGATCAAAAAGGGGATTATACTTTCCAAGATATTCAGGATTATCACAATCCATTTTGGGAATCCCTTTTAACCACGACTGAGCACTACTGCTCAGGTGAAGTTGTGAATTTTCTTCTCGAGTGTCGCGCAGACCTGGAAGCAGCTGATACATTTGGACGGACTGCGCTGCACTTGGCTGCTTTGAGGGTTTGCGGGCAGGCTGCCCAAAGATTATTGGAGTGGGGTATCCAGAAGAACAGAGAAGACAGCAGTGGCACTACTGCCTTGCACACTGCAGCCGACAAGGGGAACCATGGTGTCTTGTGTGTACTGCTGGGGGCCCATGCAGATATGGAAAAAACTGATTCAAATGGTCTGACTCCTTTACATGCAGCAGCATCGCGCGGCCGCATGAAAGTGGTGGTGGATCTTGTGTCTCATTCGGCAGACATGAACAAACCATGTCTCAATGGCATTACCCCACTTCATGCAGCTTGTGATCGAGGATATGGCCAGATTGCAGATTTTTTGATCCAAAGTCGGGCAGACTTGGACCAGGGAGACCTCTTTGAAAGCAGCCCTCTACATGCAGCTGCAGCAGCTGGTCACCATGAAGTGGTGCGCCTGATGGTGGAAGGACGTGCAGATCTTCAAGTAGGAAATGTCAATGATGTTAGCCCATTGCATGTTGCAGCAGCACAGGGTCAGATCCAGGTGGTAGAACTTCTGGTTGCTTCTGGCGCACAGAAAGACAAAGTGAACTGCTTTGGCGCAACACCCTTGCGCGGTGCAGCGGAACAAGGACATTATTCAGTTGTGAGTTTTTTGCTACAGATCAGAGCGAGTGGCACAATCACTGACAACAGCAACAGCACTGCTTTACATTCAGCGGCTGCACAGGGCCACTACGACATAGCTAAGATCTTAGTGCAGTCCAAGTCGGATGTGAATGGCGTGACTTGTGATGGAATGACCCCTTTGCATGCAGCATCAATGCGAGGAGATTCCGATTTGGTGGAGTTTTTGCTTCGTTGCAGAGCCAATCCCAACCAAGAAAATGTGAAAGGGGAGCTGCCTTTGCATGCCGCGTCAGCTTTGGCGCATGCACGTGTGGTGGAGTATTTGTTGGGTGCCCGCGCAAAGGTCAATCATGTGAATAGGCGTGGTTTCTCTGCTCTGCACACAGCTGCTAGTCTGGGACGTGTGGAGGCTGCTCGTGCGCTTGTTGAGGCAGGTGCTGACAAAGAGCTGCCAGATGAGGTGGGAAATACCGCATTGCGGGCAGCTGCGCGCCAGGGCAGTATGGAGATGATTTGTTTGTTGGTTGAGGCTGGGGCCCAGCAAACCTTTGACAAAACTTGGGAGTGAGGCCCCAGCATCGAGGTGACGAATGAGCAAGGACAGTTCAGCCTGTGTGGCGAAGAAAATGTGTGTTTTGCCCGTTGGCATGTTTGATATCAACATACTTCGAGAAGGAACTGCCCGAAATTTGCTGAATGCACATCAAAGAGCTTGCGACGGAACATACTGTACAGAAAAACAGACATTTTTTTGCAGGTAACGACGGTAACGACCTATGACATCCAAGGTTCTGGTTGAGGAGAATGCGGATGCCTTTCAGAAGGCATCGGAGGAGTTGGCTGAGAAAGAAGAGGCCTCTTGATTGGATGCCATGCTTTCCATAGTTTCGAATGATCGCAGCATCTGATCTTTTTGGGATTCCAATTCTGAGTGTGTTATATAATATATATATAATATATATATACTATACTGTATATATATATAGTGTGTGTGAAAGGTACTCGACCCTCCCACACTGGTAGCAGAGGATTGGTCCAACCAATGGAAAACTGGATGTAGGCCACCTAGCCAAATGGAATCAGATCCTACTGATAGAAGATAATGTCAACCAAGTAGATGGTCCCACCACCAAGCCGCACAGCGAGGCCGCCAGGCCTATGGCACCTTTTGACCGTATGCACTCCCAAGTGCAAAAGTCCCGCCCACCTTCCCTAGCTTCGAGCAAGGGTGCCTACGGTGGGTTTCACTGCCATATAGTGTGGAAGCAATGCAAGGATCCGGGCAAGACATGTCAGTTTCACACTCCCCTAAAAGAATTATTGCATTGCTCCCCTAAAAGAATTATTGCCCTGGGATTTATCGGAAAGCCAGGACACGGCTAATCGGCGGTTGGCGTTCTGTCGCAGGATGGAAGACTCGTCATACAGGCAAAAGATCCCTGTTTGGAGCACTAATCTTAACAGGGAAGGATCCATGGGTTTTGTCAGGGCATCGGCAAGCATGATGGTGGTTGGGATCCAGCGAAAAACACAGTTATCTTGACACTGCTCACGAATCAAAAGTACTTCAAGGGTGGTCCTATATTCTTCACATTGGGGCATGGCAGTGCGACTCACCAAGTCGTACAAGCTTCGGCAATCTGTGGTAATGATACCCATAGGCAATTGGGCATAGGCCTTTGACGGCATTTGCCACGGAAATTGGGGTATCACCATGACGCCCCACAGCAAACGCAACCATCCCAAACGATCTACACTCCGAGACATGGAGTAGGCTTCAGCAGATAAAGTAGATCTTACAACTCGAGATATCTTTTTGGAGGACCAACTTAGAGGGGATAGGGGAGCATCAACATTTTCATGGAGCTTGGATGTGGTGGCACATATGAGGGTACCCTGAAAAGATGAAAGCTGCTTAGGACTTGCAAACGATGCATCACCAAAGGAAACATGAGTCAATTGATCGGGTGGAATACTACGGAAATAGATTTGGACATCAGAGTGCTCTTGGGCTTCGCGGAGTACCTTATTACAGGATAGTAATGTCTGAATAGTGGGGTTAGCCATGTCAGTTTGGACTTCACCCAATTTGGAAGCGATGTCAGGGCGTGTATGAGTCACTGCATACTGTAGGCTTCCTACTAAACCACGAAGTTTTGATTTCTCTGATTCGGTAGTTGGACTATTGGGTTGTTCACGACGAATCTTGGGAATATCTATGGCCATGATGCGATGGATGTAATCTGCCTGAGAAGCACGAATGCTGAAGTCGGGAAGTTGTTCAAGTTCAATACCTGTAAAGGTAAATTTGCGGTGCTTATGGGTTCCAAAAGGCAAGACTTTGGAAAGGGCAACAAGTTGTTGTTGGAAATATTGGTCCCCTCCGCCTACTCCATCATCCACATGAATACCTATGGCCCCATGAAGCTTGCGCTGGTTACCACTGCCGGATTCCAGCAAAAATACACAGGGTTCCAGAGGATGAACTCTGAAATTCAAAGCTTTGAGTTGGTGAGTGAGTTCTTTGTAAAACAGCAGTGGAGCATCAACTCGGCCATAAGCATTACCTACTAAGGCACATACCTGCTCAGGGGACATTCGAAGTTTTTGTCGAAGTTCCACAGGTGGCTCCATGGCTAAGGGATTCTTCTCATCCGCTTTGCCTCTCAAGAAGGCCGTTTTGATATCGAAGCTGGTCAATTCCCACTGTTGGGAAGAAATTAGTTGGAGGATGGTATTCCGTCCTTCTTTGGTCAAAGTGGGACTGTCACGGGCCACTGAAGTTAGTTGGGGATCTTGATAGCCTAACACTACTAGGCGAGCTTTCGCCTTTTTGTGGGATGGCTTGTCTTGATCAGCTTCAACGTTTTTCCAGGTTAATACCCAACGTGACTTCAAGATTTGTTCGGGATTAAGGGATTTTCGGAGAATAGGTCTTAAGGCATTTGTGGAAATCCAACATGAAAGTTCATTGTCCTTGGCAATATCGAACAGCTTTCGATCGCTATCGGAGAGGTATTTCACTTGAACCTCCGATCTTGCACGTTGACTAGCCGCAGCTATACAAGCCATGTCTGACGGATTGGATTCTTGGCTCCACGCTGTCAGGTCTGCCGACTTTAAGGGAATGTCAAGGACAAAACATTCTTCAGTGCTGCAATCAAGAGGATTGTCAATGAACGGCATCCCGTCTTCAGCTAAACACACAGTTTCTGTTGGACATCCTGCAGAATAGAAAGTGTCGAACATCATGAGTTCATCTTGATCTGCATTTGAGGAATTGCTCTGTTCGAAAATATTGGTGGCTTGGAGTAGGAAACTCTCTTCGGGGTTATCTTCATTAGGGGGGTTATCATCATTATCGGATTCTGCAGTTGGAGTGGTCTCGCCTGATCCTACAGTAGGTGGATGGGATGCTTCTCCTTCAGGTTGTTCGTCAGGTGGAACAGGCTGTTGAGGGTCCGGTGCAAGACTTGGTGAATATTCATCATTCACGGCATCATTTTCTTGAGATTCATCTGGGACTATTTGTGGAACAGGCATATTTTGCGGCAGATCTCGGACTTCAGGCAGGTGGTCGCTCCATGTATTCCACTCGCGGAGTGATGCAGGTCGAATGTTCTCTGGAGGGCGGCGAATCAAACGGTTGGCATGGGACAACCACACAATTGAATTTCCTTCTTGAACAATGACTCGAGCTGGACCATGCCAGCGTCCTACATCACTTCGATTGGGGATGCTTCGTTTCGCCCAGTACAACACAAGTTGTCCAGGTTGAAAAGGACCTCGCATGGGTCGGGATTGCCTCAAGGTTGCTCTTCGAATGGCTTCTGCATTGTCTGAAAGGATAAAAGCTTGGCGAGCCCGTGTTCGTCTTTCTAAAAGGGTGCGGAACCTTTCGCTTTCAAGGTCACTACCTAAAGCCAATGAGTGAGCAACCGTTGATTCGTCTGATGTCAGGGATCCCGGCAAGTCTGTGGCCTTTCCTAACCATGGTGAATAACCATGGTTCTTAGAGAGAGCATTCTTGGCCTGGCAACATAAACTCAGGATTTCATCAAATTGGCCTATGTTTTCGATCCTTTGATCTGTGTCAAAACGATGGAGCATATCTTTGAGGATTGATCCATGACGTTCAATTCTACCTCGCTGCCAGGCATCCGCAGACATGAAAACACTGGTGTTGATTGTTTGAAGATAATCTAACCATCTATCTGCCCTGAATTCGCCTGCGGGATCAAGGTACATATGTCGAGGAGCTCCGGCCCATGTTAGCCACAGATTCTGAAATGCCGGTATGGCATGATCCAAATTGCGACCATCAAGACGTTTGGCAAGGTGAAAACCCGAGGCCTCATCGTATATGTGCAACACATAACACTGAAAGTTGCCCTTCCCTTTCCAGAAAAATCCATCAATACCCAATACATCATTGAACTCTCTTGGCGGATGGAGCTTTGCAGGTCGTTGATGGTGTGGCTTCTGGGTTTCAACACATGCATCGCATACAAAATCCTGGGCAGCACGGATGATATGCTCGGTGGCACCTTGTGCTTTCAAGTGCGCTGACAAAACCATTGGATCAGGATGACCAAGGTTCTTATGCAGTTTCACCAATTGCTGTTTCTCATCACTTGCCAACGCACGAAAACAGGGGCCATGCAACGGAGTTGGTGGTGGAGCCCACCCTTCACATACGGTCTTCGGATCAGGAACCTTTGCAAAAGAATCAACTGCTGGCACTCGAGAGTTGGTATCACTTGGAACCATGGGATCTTCGGCATTCGGTGAAGATGGCTCATCATGGCTTTCAGCTTCTTTGTAGTTACCGAAAACGGTCAGTGTCAAACGGCTGGGAATGGTCTTGGTGACTCTTTGAGCTCGGGTTAACGCATGCCAATTCCGAATGCCTAGGTCACGTAATGTGCCATCTCTACGGTGGACGCAAAGGGTCTGACACCATGGGGATTCGTGTGATGGTGGAGCAGACACAGGAACCTGAAAACGATCTGTACCTCGACAAATAAAAACACATCTGACTTTGAAATTTTCATCCACAAGTTGTTGCACAAGTTCTCCAAGATCACTGTCGGCTTCATATTTGTGATTTCCAACTCGAGGAGCTAGTCGATTGGCCATCCGACACGCTTCATGCCAAAGGGATTCACTCGCAACAATGGTGCCATCGACAGGGGCATTTGGTTGATCCCCAATCGCATCAGCGGGAACAGAGGAGCTCACTCTGCGTCGTTTACAGTTTTCCGGATCAAAACGAAACCTCTTGGTTGGTGGTTCATCTTCATGAACAAAACTGGTTTGACACATGTTTGAGTGGTCCTCGCACAAAAGCTTGGCACATGTCTCGGCGAATCCATGACAGTAGGTGGCACAGAAGCTAGACACAGGGATGGTTTTTCCATCATGGTGCACGGAACCAGCAATCTGGGTGTGTACATGGTTGCCCGGACAATCATGGTTGGCAAGCTGACGCAGCATCACATCTGACGTCGTCCATAACTGACTACGTTTGCGGATAAACTTGGATGTTTTGGGCAGCTTGAGTCCGAAAGCACACATGTCAAAACATACTCGGTTGGTTTGTTGTTCGATGGGTCTAAACTCATTAGTGGATATCATGGACGATCCAACAGGCTGTTCAAGGTGGAAGTGCCTATTTCTTTTCGTTTGATAGGTACACAGTTGAGCACACAGCTGGATGTGAATCCTTTCGGCAGCTTGTCTTGCATGAACATGATCCCAGAGTCTCACGCTTCTCTGGGCATTGAACCTATTCCAGCCACTCCAAGGCCCACATTCTGGTGCAACAAAAATATGGTCAGGTTCAATTCTGTCAATCAAACTCCACAAGGTTCGTCGGCCTGCTGGAGTTGACAAGTCACCATCGCGTTTGGTGAACCTGTAGGCATCCACACCCAGCGCACGCAGACTTTCGGTGATTGGACTTGTCTCACCAGCATACACTTCTAGGACAACCAATCTTTTCTTAGGGATGGCACTTGAAGGAGCGGATGTATAGATTTCATCTATCACATTTTGAGCCTGTTCAAGGGATTTCTCAATAGACCGTTGGTGTTGATTGGCAATTCTTTGAGGGGCAAATCGAGAGCATTCAATACGACAAGACTCAATCATGTCTGCTAAATTGGCATCGAGACTCAGGCAAGCCGGCGCACATTCAGAAGCATGGCACGATCCTGTGCCGCATCGTTCTCCAATTGGGCTCTGCAGAAGTCCACGAAATCTTGCTGATGAGGAGGAAGAGAGCGGTACCGCGACAGACTCCATTCGAAGTAGCCCATGTCCTCGCTCAGCACCTGAAAATAGGTGCGCCCCGGGTGCTTCTTGCCCCACGTGATCTTCCTTTGGCCCCATTCTGCCAGTGTGAGGCGCGTCGGAGCTTCGGCCGGAGAGGATGGCATTGGCATTGGCACGTTCTCGAAGGCTGGTGGTTGGGCTGTCGCACGGCTGGAGGCTGCACGCTGCTTCTTCTCGGGACTCTTCAGATTCTTGGGAATGGCCATTGGCTTGACTGAGGACACCACAGAAAAGGCGTCGTCGATCTCCTCCTCGTCGCTCAGGGTTGCTTGCAATGGCATTGACAGTTGTTCCAAAGGCAAGCTTGAGATCTGAGGCGGGGTCATGATCCCCGGGCTTGTCACTCGATTCTGGCTCTCCGCCAATCTTTGCAGTAGGGCACGTTGGCGCATCATCTCTTGGCACATTGATTGAAGCTGACTTGTCAGCAGGGGCATCTGTTCCTCTTCTTCCGGACGATGGCTGTCCTTGTCTTCGATCATGTTCATGGAAACCTGCAGAACCAAGGTCAATGTGCCCATGATGATGTTGGCCGTCTCCTTGAGGATGTTGATGGCAGCTTCGCGGCTCGAAGACATGCTGGTCAACACAGGAGTCGAGAGTCACACACGGGGCTGGCAAATTGCTGGAATGCGATGGCTTCGCAAGTGTCTTTTGCATGATAAACGGTCGTGTCTGTACAGCTTGGATAGCAGTCTTGGAAATCATTGTCTCCCTATGACATGATGTGTTAACCCCCACATGACTGGCACTCCCAATGAAAACTTCACGACTTACATTATCCTTGCTGTTTTCATGAGTCGGTGATTGGCAAAACTCAGCCATGTCGATGAGGTACAAACCGGTGGCATTGGTGCTCAAATGCATCGTCTTTTGCAGACGGGTCAAAGTGCATCTGTCTTGGTTGGTGTCTAAAATGCCTCCCAACTGCTTGAAGGCACGCTTGGAAAATAAAAACGGCGTCCTACCATTGACAACTTCTACACCTAGCCAGACCTTTTCACCTGATGAATGGCTCAAGGGCAACAAAACTTTGTACATGCTGGTCAGCGTTTGGTTGTTTCCAAAACGAAACTTGATCTGGCTGGGTCGCTGCTGCACGTGAGACTTGACATCACTTGGCAGGCGCTGCAAAAGGCAACTCAGGGTCTGTGATCCGATGATGCATCGGCTGGCACCGGTATCTAGTATGGCATGGGCACATTGCTCCCCGCTAGCTTGCAGGACAGGCATTTCAGGCAGAAACTCACAGGCAGTCTCATTGGTCCTAGCAAGCGAGGAGTTCAGGGGACTTGTGCTGGTCACGGCATGCTGAAATGGCTTACACTCTGTGGCAACAGAGGGCAAAAACTGTTGAGCTTGTCTCGATGGTCTCCGGATGCATTGCATAACCCTGGACATGTGCTTACCTAAGTTTATCTTATTTTGGGGGTCATTCCAGGGGCTGTGAACTGACATGAAACATTCCTGTACACAAGCGGAATCGGATGCCTTCGGCAGCCCGGAGGGGTCCATCAGATCCTTCTCCGTGAATATCTCCATGTCATCAGCCTGCATCATCTCAGCACCATCGTGGAGCTCGTTCGCCATGTTGGCAGCTGCTGATGGGGGTCCGCTTGATGCCGAAGGTGGTCCAGGATTCTCCTTCTCCCTCAAAGGACACTCGGCCTTCCAATGGCCAAGCTGGTTGCAGTGACGGCATCGGCTCTTTGCAATCTTGGCCAAGAGGTTTTGTCGGCCCTGGCCCTTGGAAAAGGATTTGCCCACCTTGCCTTTGCCCTTGAAATTGGACTTGGAATGGCCGGCAGGCCAAAAACCACGTGAACGGCGCTTGTCCTGGAGTCTCTGTCGGGCCTCCAGGTAGCTCACCAAAGCTGTCTGCATGGATGGTGTCTCTTGGACGAAGTCTTCAAACTCCGTCTCAAAGGCCTGCACCATCACAGCGTCAGGGTCATCTTGGGACAGCATGGCCTCCAAGTACTCAGGGGAAATGTCATCGTCTTCCATCACAAGCGCTGATTGCTGAATTGGGCCAGTGCCCTCATCATCATTTCCTTCAGCAAGCATGGTGTCATACACTTTGGTTTTCTGGGTTGATTTTCCTGTTTGCACTTCATGAAAGAAACGGCTACCAAGGAGACGTAGAGCTTTGACCGTTGGGGCATACTTCAACTCAGGATTCTCCAGAAGCACTCGCTTTTTGTCTTCACTACTCAATGTGCTTTGGCGCAAGAGCACATAGGCTTGCACCTCTTCCAACGATGTGCCTCTCGCAAGAAGCTCTGTAAAGACAGCCTCCATCCGGCTGACATAGCTGTCGTTGGACTCATCGGACTTCTGGGTGATCCCGTACAGGGCCTTCTCAAAGTACTCAAAACGCTCCTCAAAATCGGTAGCACCCCAGCTACCTCCAATGGCTTTGATCAAAGCCTTGACACCTTCAAGGCTCTTCACCTTCAACTTCGTGGCGCTCAACTTGGACACAGTGGCAAATGCAGATCCTTCAACTAGCAACGCCGCCCTGGGCGCCAACAGGTCTAGATGTTCTGCAGGCCACATGTGTGCCAAGAATTCCATTTTCTTCACATATTCCTGGACGTTGGTAACCCCAGGTTGGAACTTTGGAATGGCAGTCCAAGGGAGTTGTGCCACAGAAGACTGAGGTGGCACGTCGTCATCGGGGACAGGAGGAAGGGTCGAAGCCATGCCCTGGATCTCCCGCTCTTCCAATGCCGAGGCAACGGAGCTTCAGGCTCCGCTACCAGTGTGAAAGGTACTCGACCCTCCCACACTGGTAGCAGAGGATTGGTCCAACCAATGGAAAACTGGATGTAGGCCACCTAGCCAAATGGAATCAGATCCTACTGATAGAAGATAATGTCAACCAAGTAGATGGTCCCACCACCAAGCCGCACAGCGAGGCCGCCAGGCCTATGGCACCTTTTGACCGTATGCACTCCCAAGTGCAAAAGTCCCGCCCACCTTCCCTAGCTTCGAGCAAGGGTGCCTACGGTGGGTTTCACTGCCATATAGTGTGGAAGCAATGCAAGGATCCGGGCAAGACATGTCAGTTTCACAGTGTGTATCTATCTATATATATATATATCTATATATATATATATCTATATATATATATATCTATATATATATATATATCTATATATATATATATATTATATTTATGGGATATTCGCATGGGGTCACCAAAAAATCCACTTCCAAACTCACGCAACGTTGATTTTTCAATCGAGTTCCAGGCCCTGGAGAATGCCATGCAGAAGCAACAGGAACTCATCGCCCAGATGAACCTCGTCTCGGGGGAACTCCAAGGACAGGTGACTCAGCTCACCAAAGAGCTGGAGCTGAGCAAGGTGCCCTTGGCAAATTGGGATTGTCTGCAAAAGGGGTACTCCCCAAATCCAGGTGGTTCATCAATTTTTCCTATAAGAAATATGATATTTCTGGCTATCCCTCATTTTCAGACAGACCCATGTTGCATATTTTTGCTTGGATTGAAGAACTTTCAGATTTCATGGTGAGCATATTTTCTCGGACAGGCCTCAAAAGAGCAAGTGCAAGCAGCCGCTTCAAGGTGCGCCGATGGGTGGAACCCCAAAAAAGGGCCTCTGAGGGATAGATCAAAGCAAAACAACATTAAGATTCTATAAATTGTATGGAAACATTTTACGTTTTTATTGTTGCATCGTGTTGCATCTTGTATACACATATTATGTAATGTAATGTAATGTAAGGTAAGGTAAGGTAAGGTAATGTATGGTATGGTAGGGTAGGTATGTATGTATGTATGTATGTAGATAGATAGATAGATAGATAGATGAGTGGATCGTCACCGCGACGCTTCTCCAGCATGATCCTTACTACAGGCTGGAATCGGAGAAGGCTGTGCTGCTCAACGAGATGCAGCAGATCCGCAGCAAGGCAGTTGGTCTGCAAAATGATTTGTGCAGCACGTCATAACGTGGGATGGCTGGGATGGCATATTTATATCATGGGATATATGACTGTCACTACCATCTGTTACACACACAGAATCATACACACACGCACACTATATACAAATAAATAAATAAATGAATAAATAAATGAATAAATGAATGAATAAATAAATATATTCCAAAAATCATGGGATTTTTAAACAAGACACTGGGTGACTTCATGTTTTTTCCCATTTGATCCCATTTTTGAAGGATTTCCATCACTTCAGAAGTTTTGCCGGTGCCACAGGCTGCCACCGACCAGGAGGCATTGGGGGAGAAGATGCGGCAGCAGGCGTGAGAAAATGTGGCCTCCAGTGTCATCAAACATGGCAGAGGCAATGGAAAATTCTCTAAGGGTGTCTTAGTGGGAAAATCCTCCAACTTAGAGGATTTTCTGCCTCGTGTGATTACCAGAGGGTGACATGTTGCAGTCGAACATGTTTTTGTTGCCGAACTCTGCAGGAGAAGGAAGCTCAGAAGAAACTTGAAGAATTTAAACAGGAGATCCTGAACTTGTCGTGTAGCTTGTGATCCCTCAATGAAAGTCACACATGTATCGCACGGTTGAAACATCACACCCAGCCTTCAGACTGAACTTAGAAAGGTCCATAGTTGAGGTTGACAAGGAAGCCTGAGAGGCACACCAGTGAATTTAGCCATTTGTATGTTTGTGCACAGAGACAATGCGAGTTCTTGGATGGCAATTGAACTTAAAACTTCAATTGGCTTCAATCAGCATGTGTTGCTTGAATTTTGAAGCCATCTGGCCGTGAGGATTTGATGCAACTGAGTAGCTGCAAGGAGCCGCTCTTGAGAAACCCTGTTGTCAAGATTTCTCGATAACTTGTTGTATCTTCACATCTCATTTTTGATCTACGGCTTTGCATAGTTTGCACCATTTGTAGAGTTTGCATCATTTGACAGCATTTCGCATTATTTCGCCTGATTTGAATCATTTTGCGCCTGTTATACTGCACTCTACCATTCTTTTGCCGGGTATCGGTGTTGCAACTTGATTTGTGTGTTTGCAGCAGCCGACACTTTTTTTTTGTCCAGCTTCACATTGCAACTTGCTGAGTTTGCGACTTGGTTTCTGCCAGGACTTCGACGGTCAGGAGCCTTCAAAGCGGGGGAAGTGGTTTAATGGTTAAGATATGTTTCTCCAACCTTGGAACTTCTTGGAACTTCTTGGTCAGGCATGTTCATTCCTTCGTTTCATCCTCGGATCAACCTCTATTGTGGGAATGTGGAGAGTGATGCAGAACTAGTGGATATGCACACTAGATGGCATTGCTTGAAAGAGCGGATCCTTGATTTGATGAAATTTGTACATGCCATGAGGGTCATGGGACGTCAACAAGTTGTACTCAGTGCTTTTGTTTGGCCGTGTGCTTTGGATTTGCCTGGTGTGCAGGAGGGATTCAAGTCACGTTGCTTGGACTAAGTGACAGTAATCCTCTTGGTTTCTGGCGAAAACTCCTAGGTAGGATTTTCCCTCTTGTTTTTGCGTGCATATAATTTGGAAAGTCTTCGCCTTCGCAAAACATTTTGGTGGGCATCAATCCTTGGGTTGAAGCGCAGATCCAGAATTTCAAGGCTGTTGCCTTTGCCCTTTCGGAGTATTCTCTTGTTTCCATATATTTTTCATCTTATCTCAAAGTTTTTCCCTCCAAAATTTCCGAAATCTGAGGTCAGCAATCTGGTGATTTGGATCGGCAAGGCCTGGGATCCAAACTCTTGATTTCCATTTTCCAAGCACAAAGTCCCAAACAGAATCGAAAAACGAGCTATGATGAGATCAAACTGACCTATCCCTGGCATCATTGGAGCATCATTGAACATTTTTTCCGCATATTTTTGCCATATCAGTTCCACGTGTTTGGATATCCACCAGTGTATGACAAAAATTAGCAAAGCATGAATGATAAGGCATCCGGGGACCTGTGGTGTTGACGGCTGACGCCAATTTCTGATGAACTTGGGTCTACATAAAGACCTGAGCTGCCAAGTGCTTCGATCACTGTGCTTCTCACTTCGTCTTTACTCGTTTGGAGGTCCTCAGTTTCCTGCGCCTGGAGAGACTGAGTTGGTCTCTGCCATGGTGCCGAGCGTGCTCATTGCGGTGGAAATTGATCTCGGAGGTGGGTTTCATATGCGTTGCTGAAGTGAAGGCAACATGTTGGCACATGTTGGCACCAAGTCTTGGTGAGGCGAGATTTTTTGAGTTTCAATAGGCTGTTTAGCTGCACAGCAATCTCTTGTAGTGACGCCGGGCTTTGCGCTTTGATGAGTGAACAGGCAGTGGGGACGACACCAACGGAGGCGCTTGTATTGAACAGGGGCCAAAACCACCAGTGATCACCACAGAGAGTTTCAACATAGCCCCTCATGCCCCACGGATAAATTGGACATCGAGGTGGACCTTGGCTTTATCTCAATTGATCCAGCGCGCTTTCAGGTGCGGCAACTCTGACCATTGCTCCTTGGCAAACAAGCTCTGATTACAAATTGGCACGACGCTCAGAATGGGTGAAGCTTAAGGTTGGGGAAGGTTTGGGAAGGTTGGAAGTGGTTCAGACAGCCACTGCATGGCCGTTGCTGGACCGCTGAAAGATTTAATGCTCACAATCTCACAAGTTTCAAATCGTAGCATGCCTTCAGCAAGCCACTTTCCATAGAAATCCCTTCTCCCATCTCCCCAATATTGAACACCTTCCCAGAAACCATGGTTTCGTGTTTCGCGGTGGATTTATTGGGACCCACTTAGAATGTGTTTGATATTGGGAGATGAAATTATTCTTCAAACCCAGTCCAAACTGGAGTCCAAACTGGACCAGGAAAATATGGGGAGCCCAGCATGGAGCGGGGTGGAAGAGGTTTGACTCAGGTGGTTCAAGATTTCATCCACAACTACCGTTTGAAGCCCATCTTCGAAGAAGCGGTTGCTTGGAAGCAGCATTGGGGAAGGGTCGCAGGTCTTCTTAAAACGGATTTTTACCGTTTTCTTGCAAGTTGCTTCCTAGCAACAGAAAGCTCGAAACTGGAACCCAAGAGAATCCGGGATGTTTTGAACCAGAAAAGTCATCCAAGAGATCTGCGATATCCTGAGATATGTCACTGTCAGGTTGTTCGCTTCCTTCAGGTGCCCGGTGCAGTGAATGACATGGGAAAAGTTGATGTGGGAAGGGTGAGAGAATCCCATGGGTCACGGCGAAAGTAATATTGGCGCATTGGCGATTTCTTCTGTTAGGCCAGCACCTCATCATATTTGAAACTCTAGAGGTGATGCCTAAGAAACAGCCCAGATATGGTGAGGATCTTTTCCTTCAGGGAAGCAGGCTAAAGAAGTGGCATTCTATGGCAGGAGCTGGAGAGAACTGCAACCACTCTCCCACTCTTCCGGAAGGCGTACGTGACAACTGACTGACGTATTTTTGATCCCACGAGTGTATCAGTTATTTTGGGATGTACACCGTTTCCAGACCCCAGTTGGACGGAGGATGGACTGACAATTGGGGAACACCAAACACCAGGCTTCGTTGGCAGAGATCTACCAGGAGTATGGCTGAGTGGCCACAGTCCCAAGCTGTCTATGGTGGTCCCCTGGAGCAGGGTGAAGTTTCAAAAGGCCGCCATAACCAGAACTTTTGATCCCTGGTGGCAGCTGCACTTCCTTAGGAATGTGCCAGTTCCGGGTGATTTGGAGTTATGGAGCACCAAGCTGCCAGAACGTGCAGAGATGGTTTGCGGCTTGCTCATCCGGACTTGGAATCAGGACAGACGCGGTTTCACCTTGGTCTGGCATCCAGACTCGCGGTGGGCCTGGTCCTTCCGTTCTCTTTAGACGCGTTGCTTTGACGCAAAGGAAAATCACATCTGTGTGAGGTTGCACCCAGTACTGGTGGCGGGTGGCTGGTGTTTATTCTAGAAAATCTCAGAGGCTTACTTGATTGAAAATGCTAGCTTCCTAATCGCGCCTAGAGACGTTGGCCCTCTTCAAACTTATGCTTGAGATCTCACTGAGGATACTACATAGGTTGAGGACTACAGCCTCCTATTGGGCATCTCAGAGACAATGGCAATCATCAAACTGGTTGTTGATTTCATTGATGCTGTGCGTGCTGCATAGGTTCAAGACTGTGGCCTCTTGTTAGGCGCCTAGAGACGTTAGTGCTATGCCACGGCATTCGCAGATGTTCCTGAATCCAAGAACCACGACACGAAAACTCGGAATGCACATCCATGAACAACTGTCAGACAAGACAAAAGTGATTTTAAAACTGGCATCTACCGTCGTCCCCTTGCAATCCCAGTGCTTCTGATCATGGTCCGGAAACCTATTTTCAGATACTTTCAGGAACGTGAGTTGAATCAGTTCATTTGGGGGAAGCACGTGGTACAAACTTTGAGGTCCGCCTCCATCCAGTTCGCGGAGTGAGGGGGCCCCTTTTGAAGATCGGTTTGGATTGTTCCTGGGATGCATTTCTATGTTCCTGGAGCCATAGGTTCTACCGGCGGACTTGGCTTAGAAAAGCTATATCCGTGGATAGCTTTTTACAGAAAGGTATATACAGACACCAAAAATCCGGAAAACAAAAACAACAAATAGAACTGATGAAATTTGCCAAACAACAGTAGTTGCAGCGCACACGGCGCACACATACACAACTCAACCGTGTGCATTTTATATACATCCCAAAGCGTCAGTGTGCTAAGGCAGGCTCCAGTACCGAAGGGCATCCAAGGGCTTGGGAAAGATGGAAGAACTTGAGGCCGCATGGTGCTGTGGTGACATCGCAAAATTCAATCAGTTGGAGTGCAGCAGTAGAAACAATGAATTCCAACGTTCCTTTTCTGCCCTTCATCCGGACGTAAATTTGGAATGATAGCCCTACTGATGATGACCAGTTTTATATATCTCTGGATATTGCACAGCAATAGACATCCATTGGCTTTGCATCTTGTAATGCCACGAACCTTCAGGTGCCTGGGCACTTAATGAGAATTGGCTGGTTGGTGGATTGAAAATGGTTCAATCATCTTCAATTTGTTTTGTTGTTTTTTAATCCCGTTTGATCTATCTGGTATGATTCTTTCGATTGTCTGGACTATACATGATCATACTATCTTAACTTGATGAAACCGGGGTTCAACTCATCAACCAGGTGATTCTACCAAGATCGGGCTTGGAATGACACCCTGCATCCCTCCCACACTTGCCCAACTGGCAGGAACTAGTACAATCTCGGGAAGATCTCAGGCAACTGCAGGACCGAGCAACTGTCGCTCTTCCTCCAAACGGATGTGCCCATAAGGGGGGATATATACACCTCCATTGCAAGTTTAATCAAGAGAATTATGATAGGCCAGTGGGTTTTGGGATTTTCCTAAGATTTCCAGACAAACCCCATCAATGAGTGGTTGACCTGATTCTGTGCAAACCTGTAGGAGTTGGTTTTCACTAGTTGCGGAGTTGTGTTGCGACCGGCAGAGCCAAAGCATCTAGTGCATTAAGACTATATCTGTCATACCAGATACCCTCTGGTAATTTAACATAGCTAGTGAAAATGACCATTTATAGTGGATTTTCCCATTAAAAATGGTGATTTTCCATAGTTATGTTAGTTTACCAGAGGGTACTCCTTTGCCATCCTTTGTTACTGAAACACGTCAATGGAACGTTGACATCGACACTTGCAATGACCATCCGGAGACGCATGATGCAATCCTCACGACGGGCAAGGGCCTCGCTTCGGAACGCGTCTTCCGGCATCGCTTCGGAACGCGCTCTCATGCATCGCTTTCGAACGCGCCTCCTCACCATCATCATCATCATCATCATCGTCATCATCATCATCATCATCATCATCATTCCTCACCATCATCATCAGCATTTGCATCATGCTTCTTCTTCCGTTTATTCCTCTTTTTCTTCTTTTTGGCAATCCTCTTCCTCATCAGCCTCATCCTCCTCATTATCCTCATCGTCAACAGCACGATCATCATCAGCAGCATCATCAAGTTTCTTCTTTTTTTCTTCAGCATATTTATTCTTCTTCTTCGCCGCCAACACCATCATCATCATCGTCATCATCATCATCATCACCATCACCATCGTCATCCTCCTCCTCCTCATCATCATCATCATCACCATTCTTAGCGTCACCATCATCATCATCAGCATCATCTTCAGATCATCCTCATCCTCATCATTATCATCATGCTTCTTCCTTGCTGTCATGAGCTTCATCATCAGCACCACCATCATTATCATCATCAGCAGCTTCCATAGCACCATCATCAGCATTATCATCATGTGTGTTCTTCTTCTTCTTCTTTTTCTTTGCCGTTTTCCTCATCCTCAAGATATAAACCCTAAAAGGTGCCGTGGCTCTTCTTAGATCAAGTGCAACAACATATAAACCCTAAAGGTGTCGTGGCCCTTCTGACATCAAGTGCCAGAAGATATAAACCCTAAAGGTGTCGTGGCTCTTCTTAAATGAAGTGCAACAACATGTAAACCCTCAACGACATGTAAACCCTAAAGGTGTCGTGGCTCTTATTACATGAAGTGCAACAACATGTAAACCCTAAAGGTGCTGTGGCTCTTCTTACATCAAGTGCAACAAGATGTAAACCCTAAAGGTGTCGTGGAAGTCCTTACATCAAGTGCAACAACATAAAAACCCTAAAGGTGTCGTGGCAGTCCTTACATCAAGTGCAACAACATGTAAACCCTAAAGGTGTCGTGGCAGTCCTTACATCAAGTACAACAAGATATAAACCCTAAAGGTGTCGTGGCAGTCCTTACATCAAGTGCAACAACATATAAACCCTAGAGGTGTCGTGGCAGTCCTTACATCAAGTGCAACAACATGTAAACCCTAAAGGTGCTGTGGCAGTCCTTACATCAAGTACAACAAGATATAAACCCTAAAGGCGTCGTGGCAGTCCTTACATCAAGTACAACAAGATATAAACCCTAAAGGTGTCGTGGCAGTCCTTAGATCAAGTACAACAAGATATAAACCCTAAAGGTGCCGTGGCTCTTCTTACATCAAGTGCCATAACATGTAAACCCTAAAGGTGTCGTGGCTGTTCTTACATGAAGTGCAACAACATGTAAACCCTAAAGGTGTCGTGGCTCTTCTTACATCAAGTGCAACAAGACATCAAGTGCACCAAGATAAGAACCTCAAAGGTGTCCTGGCTCTTGTTACATGAATTGCAACAACATGTAAACCCTAAAGGTGTCGACCCTAAAGATGTCGTGGCACTCCTTACATGAAGTGCAACAAGATGTAAACCCTAAAGGTGTGGTGGCTCTTCTTACATCTAGTGCAACCAGATATAAACCCTAAAGGTGTCGTGGCTCTTCTTACATGAGAAGTGCAACAACATGTAAACCCTCAACGACATGTAAACCCTAAAGGTGCTGTGGCTCCTCTTACATCAAGTGCAACAAGATGTAGACCCTAAAGGTGTCGTGGCTCTTATCACATGAAGTGCAACAACATGTAAACCCTAAAGGTGTTAAACCCTAAAGGTGTCGTGGCTCTTCTTACATCAAGTGTAACAAGAGATAAACCCTAAAGGTGTCGTGGCACTCCTTACATCAAGTAGAACAAGATATAAACCCTAAAGGTGTGGTGGCTCTTCTTAGATTAAATGCAACCAGATATAAACCCTAAAGGTGTCGTGGCTCTTCTTACATGAAGTGCAACAACATGTAAACCCTCAACGACATGTAAACCCTAAAGGTGCTGTGGCTCTTCTTACATCAAGTGCAACAAGATGTAAACCCTAAAGGTGTCGTGGCTCTTATCACATGAAGTGCAACAACATGTAAAAATAAAGGTGTCGTGGAAGTCCTTACATCAAGTGCAACAACATATAAACCCTAAAGGTGTCGTGGCAGTCCTTACATCAAGTGCAACAACATGTAAACCCTAAAGGTGTCGTGGCAGTCCTTACATCAAGTGCAACAACATATAAATCGTAAAGGTCTCGTTGCTCTCCTTACATCAAGTACAACAAGGCTTTTGTTTCATATATTCACCTTCATTTTCTGTGGCAGGCGTGGGACCTTTTGACATCGCCCTTCATTTTGCGTGGCAGGTGTGGCACTTTTGTACATCGACTGTCCCTTTACGTGGCAGGCGTGGGACTGTATGACATGGTTGAAACGAGTCAAATTCTCATACGAGGAGTTTTTTTGTGTTGGTCTCGCTTTGGAACGCGTTTTTCTTCCAAAGTCTCGCGCCTGTCAGTAAATCTGATGTGTGTGTGTATGTCGGGGTTTCCATTCCATGAGATGTTTGATTTCGTGTTCTAAAGTGATGCAAAATGGCTGTGTTCTAAAGTGATGCCTGAGAGTGTGTTCCAAAGTGGTCCTTTTACCATATCGCATGTGGCCGAGCTGCAACGATGGAAATCGCAGACCAACGGTCGGCAAAAAAAAGGTTCCTCCAGGCATGCCCAAGCCATCTTTGTCTTTTATTCACATGTTCATTAAGTGTGGCCCCTTTGATCCATAAATATAATTTATTGACACGTGTTCTTGGAATTGAGGAGTTACTGTAAGCTGGCCCCCTGAGTTTCTACTTTGTGATGTTGCTGTTTCGTTTGGGTTTCGCAGGAGCGCGACGAATGCAGCGAAGAGGTTGCCCAAATGCGTGGTCTGAAAGAAGGTACGAGGCAGAGATGTCCCAGCTGGCTAAGGACAGTCAGGCTGTCTCCAGTTTCACATGAAGACAGTGACCCATCGTTATGGTTATGGCACAGTCTCCATCCCAAAAATGAACGTAATGTTTTGGTGGAGGCCAACAATGACATGCAATGAACATATTTGAAGACTCAGTCCACTGCCTTGTAGATTGATTGATTGTTTATTGATCATTTAATTATTGTAGATGCATGATCAATCAGCATGATACATGTGTGCAAAGGCCTGTGGAAGCTCCCAACATGCCCGAGTGTTGTGTATATGATCCGAACATGCAGGAGTTGGCTCATTCCAGAGCACTAGCGAACGATCTCCAGAAAGCTCAAGAAGAACAGCTGGCAGAAATCATTCGGATTTCCAAGGAGCTTGAAAGCTTTGAGGCTTTCTGCATCCGTTTGGTTCTGCATTATCGGCTGATCATGTAAGAACTGCCCTTATTTCTCCGAACTCTCACTCAGACTCATGCATCTCAGTCCAGACAGAACCAATTCTCAAAGGCTGACCGGCTGTTTTTTTGTACTTTGTGATGCTGATGTTTCGTGTCGCTTTGACAGGAGCGCGACGAATGCAGCGAAGAGGTTGCCCAAATGCGTGGTCTGGAAGAAAAATACGAGGTAGAGATGTCCCAGCTGGCTAAGGACAGTCAGGCTGTCTCCAGTTTCACATGAGAAAATTGACATAGGTATGGGTAAATCTATGGCACCTTTTCGCACAGTTCGAATCCGAAAACATAGATCTTCTGCAGTGCAGCAATATCCAATAATATTAAGTAATGCCAACATCTATAGCGGCTCAGTCACACTGCTTCGTAGATTGATTGTTTATTAATGCATTATCAGTCAGGATCATACATGTATGCAAAGGCCTTTGGAAGCTCCCAGCCGCCCAAGTCTTGTGAATGATCCGAACATGCAGGAGTTAGATCGTTCCAGAGCATGTGCTCTGCAACGATCCAGTTCCTGCATGTTCGGATTGATCTCCAGAAAGCTCAAGAAGAACAGCTTGCAGAAATCATTCGGATTTCCAAGGAGCTTGAAAGCTTTGAGGCTTTTTGCATCCGTTTGGTTCTGCATTATCGGCTGATCATGTAAGAATTGTCCGTATATTTCCGAACTCCCACTCAGACTCATGCATCTCAGTCCAGACAGAATCAATTCTCAAAGGCTGACCGACTGATGTGTTCTACTTTGTGATGCTCATGGTTCGTTTCGCTTTTGCAGGAGCGCGGCGAATACAGCGAAGTTGCCCGAATGCGTGGTCTGGAAGAAAAATACGAGGTAGAGATGTCCCAGCTCGCTAAGGACAGTCAGGCCCAGTCAGGCTGTCTCCAGTTTCACACGAGAACACTGACATATAGCTATTGGTCGTTATATGGCACTTTTTTGACATAGTCCGAATCACAAAAAATACATTTTCTGCAGGCCGGGGCAAAATCCAACAATGATAATATACAGTGACAATATCTATAGCTGCTCAGTCACAGTGCTTTGCAGATTGATCGTTCATTGTAGAATGACCATACAATATCGCGCATGTGTGCAAAGGCCTTTGGAAGCTCCCAGCCGTGAATGATCCGAACATGCAGGAATTAGATCGTTCCAGAGCATGTGCTCTGCAACGATCCAGTTCCTGCATGTTCGGATTGATCTCCAGAAAGCTCAAGAAGAACAGCTTGCAGAAATCATTCGGATTTCCAAGGAGCTTGAAAGCTTTGAGGCTTTTTGCATCCGTTTGGTTCTGCATTATCGGCTGATCATGTAAGAATTGCCCGTATTTTTCCGAACTCCCACTCAGACTCATGCATCTCAGTCCAGACGAATCAATTCTCAAAAGCTGACCGACTGATTTGTTCTACTTTGTGATGCTCATGGTTCGTTTCACTTTTGCAGGAGCGCGGCGAATACAGAGAAGAGATTGCCCGAATGCGTGGTCTGGAAGAAAAATACGAGGTAGAGATGTCCCAGCTCGCTAAGGACAGTCAGGCCCAGTCAGGCTGTCTCCAGTTTCACACGAGAACACTGACATATAGCTATTGGTCGTTATATGGCACTTTTTTGACATAGTCCGAATCACAAAAAATACATTTTCTGCAGGCCGGGGCAAAATCCAACAATGATAATATTGTATACAGTGACAATATCTATAGCTGCTCAGTCACAGTGCTTTGCAGATTGATCGTTCATTGTAGAATGACCATACAATATCGCGCATGTGTGCAAAGGCCTTTGGAAGCTCCCAGCCGTGAATGATCCGAACATGCAGGAGTTAGATCGTTCCAGAGCATGTGCTCTGGAACGATCCAATTCCTGCATGTTCGGATTGATCTCCAGAAAGCTCAAGAAGAACAGCTTGCAGAAATCATTCGGATTTCCAAGGAGCTTGAAAGCTTTGAGGCTTTTTGCATCCGTTTGGTTCTGCATTATCGGCTGATCATGTAAGAATAGCCCCTATTTTTCCGAACTCCCACTCAGACTCATGCATCTCAGTCCAGACGAATCAATTCTCAAAAGCTGACCGACTGATTTGTTCTACTTTGTGATGCTCATGGTTCGCTTCACTTTTGCAGGAGCGCGGCGAATACAGAGAAGAGATTGCCCGAATGCATGGTCTGGAAGAAAAATACGAGGTAGAGATGTCCCAGCTCGCTAAGGACAGTCAGGCCCAGTCAGGCTGTCTCCAGTTTCACACGAGAACACTGACATATGACATATAGCTATTGGTCGTTATATGTTAGGATGGCCACTTTCGGCCTGTGACGGGGGGTCTCTGGAGCAGATATGAAAATGGAACCGAAGTACAGAAAGCATAGAAAAATATAACTTTCAGCCAAACATCGAAAAGTGAGAAAGTTAAAAAAAACTCGCTTTTTGAAGAGTTGGTAGAAAGTTGCGATTTGTGTGAAAGTTATATTTTTTCACGTTTTCACGACTTTAGTAAAAAACTAGATTTCAATGATTTCCCATTGGGTTTGCTGCGGGTTCTTGTGGTGGGTGGACTGACTTCGCGCGGTGCATCTGCAGGCATGGTTTCACTCACAGGGAAAGCAAAGATACCAAGACTAAGATGCCTGATTACTGATTACGATAGTCAGACAGTGTTTTCGACTCAGCAATTGGATGTTGACAAGACAAATATGTGTAATAGTCAATAGTCAGTATTATATAAACTATCATAAGCTCATAAGCTGATTATTTACAGTTATAGTTACGAGGAACGTCCAACGTGTTTTATAAATTCATCATCTACAGGATTCCGATTTCAGACGAATTAGACGAATTCATTTTTTTGGAGCCATGTTCGACCATAGCAGTGCCGACCCTTTGGACTTAATTGATCCACCACGGAGGGCGGCTGTTGACCACTCTGGGCCTGCAAATGCACGGACCTGCAAGAAGGCAATCCAGAAAGCTTTGAAACCAAAGCCATCTGCAAGTGGTGCCAAGGAGCAAGAACGGCAAGAATCATCCCTGGCATTGCTAGATGTGGCTTGCCCGATCATGTTGGTTCACTAGACGACTAGATCTTAGGTTTGCCAGTTTGCCAGTTTGCTAATTGATAAATCATATACGGAGGTAGGCGGCGGTGCTACAATTTGCCACTGTATGTTCATGTTAACTTCCTGGTCAGGGTACCTAGATTTTATCCAAGGTGCGCCCCGCCAGTGCGCCCTTTCCTCCTCTCATCCTCTTCCTGTTCCTCCTCCTCCCGCCAGCTTGTCGTCACTATGGACTATGGACTATGGGCCCTGGGGCCCTGCTCATGACTCATGGCGAGCTCCACGGCAGTCGGGGCAAACGACTTATCCCAAGGCACAACTCCACAAATCACGCACCACCTCCGGCACGGCACACGCACAGTCCTGGAACCTTATATAGAGACTATAGAGAGCACAAGAGCACCAGCTCAGACTAAGCTGCAGCAGGCGATAAGGCGATAAGGCTCCGGTCACAATCCGGGGCTGATGTGCTTACGCTCTTCGAGCGTAAGCGCATCAGTGATGTTTTGGGCACTTCACAGGTCATTCCAAGATGGCCGATGTGCCGCAGGAAAGCCTGATGTGCTTACGCTCTTCGAGCGTAAGCGCGTCAGTGATGTTTTGGGCACTTCACAGGTCATTCCAAGATGGCCGATGTGCCACAGGGAAGCCTGATGTGCTTACGCTCTTCGAGCGTAAGCGGGGCGGATCCTGAGCTTGTGGTGGAGGTCCAACGGGGAACACTCTGATCCCGAGCTTGTGGTGGAGGTCCGGCAGGGAACACTCTGATCCTGAGCAATTCGATTTGCCGCGCCATGTGAACTTCCAGATGACATGTCTACTATAGCCTATATAAGCTTAAAGCCTATAGCCCAGCCTAAAGCCCACAGCGCAGCCCACAGCCTACAGCCTACAGCCTTGTGGTAGCCCATAGCGGGCAGGGCAGGGATCATTCGAATGGCAGTATGTTATTACAGTAAAGTCAAGCACTTCTTTAATTATGTGTTGTTTTGGAAAAGACAGATAGGGATGAGTTGGCACTCATGACTCATGACTCATGATCGGCTAATTGAGGCCAAACTTCAGTTGTGCTGCGCATTCATTCCAGGGATTCTAGCTGACTCTCATGTATCCCTCGTAGCGAAGAAATTGATCAGTGCAGTCAGTGATATTGCGCTGACTTCCGGCATGGTCACAAAACCGGTGGCGTTTCTGACACAGAAACTTGGGGATGCTTTGGCTGCAAATGGCTAGCATGGACCACCAGACGATTTTTTGTTATCAAACACTTGTTTGTTTAGTTCAGCTGGCCCATGGCCAGTTCCAGTCATTTGGTTTGAATTTCATTTTTAAGGGCGGTGATTTGCTGCTCATGTGATTTATCTCCGTAGACCCGAAACTCAGGACACATTCGACCGAAAGTTTCTGTTGAGAGCAAAGATGAATGTGGCCTCAGTGTTGTCAGACCACGAGAAGAAATTTCTTGCAGATTTGGTTGCTCAAAGGAATTCAGGGTTTCCCCTCCCGACTTATTAGTATGTATGCATGCAGTATGCAACATTATGTAAGTATGTAGATAATATAATATAAATATTTAGTCTAAGATATGAATTATGAGTAATAATAGTCTTACTAAGAGAACATAGTAAACAGTTTGATTCGATTTTGAGTTGACTCTTGACATGATTTGGGCTTGGGCTTGGACATTGACGTTGACGTCGTCATTTTTTCAGTAGGTCACAGTCAGACCAAGTTGGTACTCCGACCCTTACTGACCAGACCATGCGCCGTCCTACCCTGCCAGTACTTGAGAACCCCCCTGCTCAGCCAAGGTTGCAAGAGAGCACCAACCCAAGGACAGCAACTGCAAAGGCTACATTACTGCGTTGACCTGGATGTGGGACGAGACAGAACTTTGTCGACATGTTGTGGGTTTAATTTCGTCAATGAAAAAACATCGAGGAACCATGAAACATATTTGGCAACCAGCCCAGGTTACATAATGTTGCTGCATGTTTTTCCGCAATAATTACATTCCAGAGTGATGGTCGGTTGATGATTTCTATGTGCCTGCAGTGCAGTGATTTGCATGCATGGGCTGCATACTGAGATGATGAAAAACTAGTCTAATATTAATCTCGGACAGTACAAATCATTGCCACACATGTCACACATATTGTTCCTATCATCCTGTTTAACTGACTCATACTCAGACTCACTCACTCATATAACTTAACATAACAGCAGTACACACACACACACACACACGCACCAACCTGCCACGCGGCTGAGGAGCAGACAGCCTCAAATGTTCTTTCGCAGCTGCAGACCAGTTTGGATCCTTTCCTCTACAGCATGTTGGAGAGGTCGCCACTGACCAAAACATACTTGGAGGCGATTCTTGGCTTGGTTTGTTGGTGGTTTGAGATTGTCAGGGGATGATTCGGCAATGATGATAGATAGCCGATAGTGTGTATGGAGCCTGACCCTGACTCTGACTCTACCGCCTATGACCTATGATGGCCATAGATAGGCTGCCTTTATCATATCGATTTTTTGGAATCATATTATCATCAGATTAGATTAGATGGATTTTAAATATTCCTGTCAACCCCATAAGAAATCATATCATATTATCAGTAATGGCAGTCTGAGTCCAAGAGCTGTCTAATCAAGTGGGGCTTGCCGAAATGAATCCGGCCCGGCATATAAGGAAGCGACGTGGGGCTTCCACAAGCAATGTGGTGATGTGACTTGTTGTGTGGGGCCGTCGATCACGTGGGCAGTTGTCTACTGACTCTACACTCTACTCTACTGTACTTTGCTTTTCTGCGCATAGTCACATAGTCAGTCATAGTCATAGTAGTCACATCATGAAGTGACATTCATATGGTCATATGGCCCATATGGCCTCATATGATGCGGCATATGGCTGCGGCATATGACTGCAGCATATGTTATGTTTAAATATGGTAGTCTCTAGTCTGTAGCGCCTGTATATTGTGTATTGTATGTATGTTGTATGTAACTATGTGAATCTGCATTATTTGTCAAAATCGAATCTAATGTATGATATATGATATATAAATTATCTGATTAATACATATATGATATATGTAGTTCGGCTTGGGGATGGATTCATATTGATAGCCGGGTGGGGAAAAACTTCAATCTTCAATCCAAGCTTTTCCAAGGTCAACGATTGTGCAACAGGGAGAGCTTCAGGTTCTGCGGCGTTGGGTTGTGAAGACGATCAGGTAGGTAGGGCCAGTAGGGCTTACGGCTTACTGTAAAGATACCAAGGATGTAGCGGGAAGGTTGGTAGTGAGGCTAGGCCTGGCTAGGCGGTGGTGTTGCAGTGTGCAGCAAACAGCAGCATAATGCAGAGTTATATTTTATAATCTATCTATCTTATGTTTTTTCAAAAATACATTCAATTCAATTTATTTAAAACATATTCTTTTTTTACAGATACATCATGCATCGTTGTTACATCATCTGATGTATTGATGTACTGTAGGAGTCTGCAGGAGTAGGTTTTGGCCAGAATTGCTTACCAATAGTCAATGCTGAGGTTGTTGACTTGATGGATTCAACATGGGGACAACCGTTAGCCAAGAAGGTGTGGCTGGCTTGCCCTTGTGTGCTGACTGTTTCTATCGTTTGATTAACATGTAACATTGTCGAAATTACATTTTCATGTTACATGTTTTTCATGTTCCATTGAAATTCCATTGTTTTCGTTTTTTTTGCCAACGTAACATAGTAGTAGCAGATATGTCGCGTCAATGACCCTCAATGATATGGAACCTTTGGCATGATAGCCTTACTGATGTTAGCCTTAGTTATCCGAGTTAGTTGTGAGTTGTTATGATTCTGATCCTAAGATGATTTTTGATTTGGAAGCCGTGATGCCAGGTTCCCATCCTGGTCCCACCGTGCCGTCTACTTCGTATGACTGCGTCCACCATCAAAGGTGTGCTTGATTACTGGATGCCCCTCACAGCAACCAAGAGGACATCCCAGACTGGATTCTGATTTCTGATGATATATGATATGATATGATATGGTGATACGACAGATTGATACGATTTTCACTTTCCTTTACTGCTACCTGATTGTAATTCATTATCCCAATCCCAATCATTATCCCGAATTCACCCCGTCATTGTCTCTTATGTGACTTATGTAGCTTATATAACTTATATATATACTGACTGTATTTGATTAATGATGTGATATGTAATGTTGATTTACAGGACTGTATACTGTACTGTTTGAGTTATTATTGTTATTACTATATGATATCCTTTGAGTCAAGAGTCATGAGTGTTACAATATGTCGCATATCAGCAGCATACAATATTCCCGTCATATTCACATAAAAATTAAATCGGACCAGTGTGCTGACAGGACCAAATTGGCTGACTCTGCCTTGTACAACTTGATCATTTACGTTGCAGACGGCGCCACAGCAAACAGCCTCTTCAAAAAACACGAGGTGCTGCCAACCGGGTGTTTCCACTTTGACTTTGAGAGTTTGAGCCGAGCATTTGTTAGCAGTGACAGACGGTTACAATTACAAGTTAAGTAAACAGGAAATGTAACAGTTTATAATACCTATACTACCGACTATTACCGATACTACCCCCCTATACCCGGTTTCGTGCTGACAAAAAGATTTCCTTTTCAATGGAATTCTCGTTCAATGAGGACGGAATGGAGAGCAAGCAATAGCAGGCAGAGTCAGAGTCATAGTCATAGTCAGAGTCATAGTCAAAGTTCAATTAAATTAAATTTATTTTTTTTGACAACATGTCAGACCAATCAAAGAGCTCCTCTTGGCAGAATTCATGCCAGAGTTCTCATTTGGCAGGTCATGGAAAGTCAACCGAATACACTAGTTCTGGGCCCAGTGTGGATTGGGTCATTCAGCAGGGTTGCAGAATATTGTGTGGGCAGCGGCAGAAGTGAAGGAATGCAGCAGCTTACAGCTTACAGTAATATCAGTAATATCTATGTTATGTACAGCCTATCTGCTGATCGGTCTACGGTCTACCCAAATATTGATTGTTTTTTGATTAATTGCTTCACATTATCGTGTGATGTAATTTATCATTATCATTACCAGTTGTTATCATCATTGTCATTATCATTATAATAACTAATAATTAATCATTATGTAATTATGTTATGTTTTCTCTACCGCTTTTGAGAGTTATTATCGCTAAAGAAGTAGTGGCATGATTCATGATCAAACAGAAGCATCAAACATGGAACATCAGTGTAACATCAGCTTTTGTAAATCAAACCAAACTAAACCAACTTTTCTTGATCCCCACCAAAGGGGATTTGATTTGTGAATTTCTGCCTGACTGTGGCAGTCGGTGGCTCGAAACTTGAACGTGTGTAGGGGCAGTGATCAGGTCGGTCAGGTGATCAGGTGCCTTTGGCGATTGTCATGGCTTCACAGGGTGCTGCGGATTCCTGTGTTTCTAGGCAGAGTGGGTCAGTCACTACCCGCAGTGTCGGGAACCAGTGCTTTTCCGTAGGGCAAATGATTTTCTTCAACAGCATTGTTGTAATGAGCCCACACTGGGGCAAGGCACCAAGTTGGCTTTCAACTCCGGCTGCCCGCTCCGAGAGTGATAGCGACAGTGACCATGAAGATGATTCTCACCCATCTGATGATGGCGCCCCCCATACGAGCCCCGGCATGAACAATGATGACGACGACGATGATGATTATCACTATCCGATTCCAAGTGACTATGACTCAGGGAATCCCAAGTCATGTATCCGAAAAGTCAAGAAAAATACAAGGAAGCGCAAGTCAAAACTCAATCGCATTAGGCAGATTGCCTTGAAGGCCAAGACAGAGACGACACACAGCAACAAGAGTCTCAAGCGCAAGCAGCTCCAGAAAGGTTCCCACTCCCGCAATCGTCCAGCCAATGATGATGATGATTCCGATTCAGATGGCTGGCATTGGGTTGATTAGGTGATGCTGTGGTGCTGCAGTGAAGTGTGACACGATGACATGATGATCTGAGGCTCTCAAGAGGCTTGCATGTACAGAGGCTAGTGCAGGCGTGAATACTGAATACTGAATAGTTGTGTAGTTTGAGACGGCCTGTGTTCCTAGTGCAAAGATGTGTGCAACACACAGCACACATTCAGGCCCAATTCAAATGAGAAAGATTCTCATCACGTGTCTTGTGTCGTGCCCTGTCTCGGCTTCTAGGCTTGAAAATTGAATGAGCTGAGCCAATTGTGAGTTTTCTCGAGCAGGCATGTGACGGCATGTGATATGAGATCAGAAGTCAGAAGCCACGAGTCACAATTCATTGACTTGACTCGATGACTTTACTTTACTTTACTATTCTTACATGTTTCATGCACGATTACATATGTGGTTGTGGGCTGCTACATTTAAATCGTGCAGCTTGGGCACAAGAAAAAGTGTGTGTGAGTGTGTGATAGTGACCAGTGACCGAACCCAATGTTCTTTGGACACGGGTTATTTTACAATTTCAGTATTTTGATATGATGTATGGGGGTGGACCGGTATGGACGTATTCCTTATGAATGGACGTTATTAGTTGAAACAGTTGAGATTGATGGTGATGAATGATGAATGATGAATGATGAATGATGAATGATGAATATGCTGCTGATGATGATGATGACTGATGACTGATGACTGATGATGATGATGATGATGATGATGATGCTGCTGCTGCTGCTGCTTTTTATGTTAGCCAATATTGACTTTGGACTTCGGTGGTATCGTTATATAGTCAGTCTGTCACTGTGCCATGACTTACCATACAGATGATGTTTCTGGTGGACCAGGCTCCTGGCTCATGGTGTTTGTTTGTCCCATCTCAGGTGCTGGATTGCACTTGCCAGTGCCATGCCATTCATTTGGCATCTGGCGATCAGACTTTTCGATTAGTGTGGGCACTCAGGGTTCTTTTGACTTACACTTACACCTACACTGACAGTGACGCTTACTGACACATTTATTAGGTAACGGCAATGGTACTGGTAGCAATTGACTGAACTGACCGACAGCTGTTTGTTGATCAACCAGCTACGGTGTTGGGGTGGATTTTGATCGGTTGATAAGAACATTGGAATGTGGACAGTCGGACAGTCTATGGTGACTTGGCCAACATGAGGATTTGCCACCAAGCTGGCCACCGAAGCCTCAAGAAACTGCCACTGCAGCTCCAGCACCGAGAGGGAGAGGCAGAGGAGGCAAAGGCCGTGGTCGTGGCCGTGGTGTTGTGCCAGAACAGGGGCAGCCGCAGCAAGATCAAAGTCAAAGTAAAAAAGGAAAGGGGAAGGTTGTGTCCATGCTAAGCAGCCTCGTGAGAACAGGCAACCAGATGGGAAATTCCAGTTCATGGACAATTGTGTTGGGACGGTTGCGCCCCTTAATTGCTGAGAAGTTGGTGCTGCAGCGACTCTCTGAATTGGCAGATGGTGCGGAAGCTCAAATGGAGTTGAACAAGGGCATCTTGATTATGCTAGGAAAATTGAACCCAGAAAGGGATGGTGATGGTGACACAGACAGCACTGCACGTTCTGAAGTATCGCCTGCTCTTCATGAATCTTCAACAGAACTCTTGAGGCAGGCCTTAGCCCAGCTCTGGAATTTTATGAAAATAACTTGTTGATACTTGTTGTTTTTTGTTTCATATGTTAGCTTAGTTTTTAGTAACCGTCAACCACTTGGACTTATGTCTTATGGACCATGGACGACTTGGGATTGATATGATGATATGTTTTATGTTCATGTTTTTTAGGGCATAGGCATAGGCATTTATGGCATGGTCGGTGATGGTATTAGTGATACGGTGATACGGTATTGCATCGTCAAAAGACTGAATAGAACTCAACAATCGACAATAGAATTGGAATTAGTTCAATTGAACTTTGCAGGATCGTGGGCTACTCTGATTGGAGATCGAGCAATATTTCGATTTACCTAGAGGATTCAGTCATGAATGAGATCACCGGTGAACCAATCAGATGCAAAAAACTCCATGCATCTTTGGCAGACCACTTGACAGCATTGGTGAGTCACATCTTCCTTGGACACAAGCCAGCAAGGCCTTCTCAGTCAAGATGGACCGGGGTGGCACATGTCTGTCAGTGGGCACTGGGGCTTGCCTTATTTCATAGGCTTCTTGGGCCACTTCTGTGTTCCTTAAGTGCCAAAAAAACAGATGATGCTGGTGGTGATGATTCCAATTTGGGCATGCTGATGGACGCAGATGCAACTCATCATGTTAATGTTATTTTTTTTGTCGGTATGGATAGTTTGTGTTTTTTAAAAATGTTTTTTGATAGTGACGGTACAGTATGGTTTTGGTCCAGTTGTAAGTTCTAATTTTTAAGTGGACTGAAACTGCCTTTGATATTTCTGTAACAATTTTGTAATTGTAATTGTTTGTATGTATTTCCAATTTTACTTCATATGATCATAGGATCAGATCAGATGATGATAAATTCTGAGTGTGACTGTGAGTGACTGTAGTCTAGTCTGTAGTCAGTAGCCCCAAAGCTGTTCCCAAGGTCCAAATTGCTGACTCCGAAGCGTACAGAATCCAAACGGCAACCAGAAGGCAACTGCTTGCCAAGTGGCCAGAGACTTAAGATTCTTAAGAGTTACTTTCAGTCCCAGAAGTCCTAGTCCTAGCCCCTAGCCTAGAAATTTAGAAATTTAGATTTTGAATTTAGAAATTGGAAGCTTGAAAGTTAGAGTCAGAGTCGAGCAATTCTTGTTGTGGTGCAGCTTTGGTGTCTGTCGACGCCAGTTTTTGTTGCTTCTCAGCTTGGCTTGGCTTAGCTTATATCAATGTGAGATTATGGCTCTTCTGAATCTTCCTGTGAATTGCTGCAGTGAGGAGGTCAATGTCAAACTATTTGTTTTAGCATTGCCGTTGCCCTTTGAGCCAAGGGCAGCAGATCCAGCCACACCTCTGAAACTGTTCCTCGTGATGAGGGGAAATCTTCCCATACGAACACTGTTATTTTACGTCCTGAAGTACGAGCCGGGTTCTAAGTCTCAAGCATTGGGTTGGCCGGCTGGCTGGCTCTTGGTGTCCGAATTCACAGCTTTGTCTAGTGAAGTTCTTTCGAAGTGAAGCTGGAAGTTGTTCTTAGAAGTAGCCGGGAGAAAGTTTGTAGATAGAGTAGAGTCAGAGTCAGAGTCAATAGTTGTCAAAAGTTTTTAGTCCTATAGCCTATATAGCCTATAGTCTATAGTCTGTAGTCGAGTTCAGAATGCCAACTGTAGTATCAGACAGCATATATGATGGTATGAACAGGACAATATGATGTATGTAACACGTATTAACACAGACTACTGAATGCTACTGTATGATAACGATTATGATTCTGATTCATTGTTCTTTTGAAGCCATCAGTTTGGGCGTCTGGTGAGTGAAAGCTGTTTCAGTTGCGGTTGTCCAAGGGCCAATGCGCAGGAAGAAGGGGACCTCAGGGAACTTTGTCGGCGCTACATGTTCAACCTAGAATGTGAATGCCTGAGATGTGAACGTAGGTTCTTTTGTTCTCATCGTGTTTGGCTCTTATGACGTGACGGCAAATACTACTTTACTTAAGACTTCATGCAATAAGTTCTAAGTTCTAGGATTCTCACATGTTATGAGGTTCTAGGTTCTAAGATGTTCACATGATTCATGATTCATGACTCATGTCAGAGCCAGAACTTGAACAAGGTCTTGACCTGGAACCCGACGAGTATAACCGAGCTGCTCGTGGCTTTCCAGACTGGCTTGCAGCCCTAGCTTTCCAGACTATTTTCCCACTTGGGTTGGTCCCCCAAAAAAGGCCCCCACAAGTCCCAAAATCTTTCATAAAATGTAGGGAAAACACTGTTTTTGGGGGACTTGTGGGGGCCTTTTTTGGTGAACCAACCTAAGTGGAAATTTACCAGTAGACAGACAGTAGTATCGGGCATCGGCATTGGCATGGCAGATTTGGAAATGGGGGGGGCAGGGCAGCCAAAAATGCACAGCATTGCATTGAAACACATTGAACTACTCATTGAACATTGAACTTTGAACATAACTTTCACAACTTAACTAAATTGAGATTTTATATTTTTAATTATGCTATTATGATTTGTGATAATATCACTAGACTAGTCATAGTAGAGCCATGAGGTACGGTATTAGTCAAAGTCATAGCCAAAGTATGGTCAATCAATCAACCATCAGTTCAGAGGATGGGATCTGCAACGCGCAGTTTCTGGAATAATTCAAGGATTCAAGGTAGTTTCTTTTGCAGCACACTCAGGGTGGCAGGGGGGCCTACACAGCGGGCATTGCAAGAGCTGGCAGAACTTCTCTTTGAGAGTGAGTTTCTTGCGCAGCTGCTTTCGTGGTGTGGATGCCCAGAATTCACAGAATGTTTTTGAGAAACAAAGTATGTCAACATGTAAGTCACAGTTTGTGCAATGGTAATTTTCCCATTGGTTTGGTACTGCTTTGGGGGTTAAAAAAGGGCGACTTTTTCGCCCAAAAAGGGGCTCCAAAAATAGGTCAAAAAGGCGCCCCCCAAAGTCCCAAACCAAACGGAAAATTACTATTGTGCAACATGACATGTGTTACTGTAAGTTGCTTACTCGTATAGCTTATGTCATTATTGTCATTGTGCATGGGAAATGGCATGGACTGCTGACTAGCTAGTTCATATACTGGCTAGTTACAGTTCATTTTCATGTACTTTTTATGTCATGGTTGTTCAAACTCTCGGTCAGCACTGAAGCGTCTTTGCAGCTTCTCAGCTCAGGTTTAGCACTGATGTCCGCCGAAGTGATATCATGACCTTTGCAGCAAGGTACATTCTTGCAGGCCTGGTCTTGTCACATATCACATCATATTACATCTTGTATTGTGCTGTGCATGATTGAAATCATGCTGTGGATTGACTTTCCAACTCCGGTAGTTCAGTTGCCTTTCGTGTGAGTGATGTGACAGATGACTCAGAGGACTTTTGATTTCTTGACAACATAGGTCAACTGTCAACTGCCAACGGGATTTTTTGATAGTATTAATTCCTTGTAGATTGTAGATTGTAGGCCGTAGCACGGCTGCAGTTAGAGTCGAATCAGAGTTAGACTCCATCTGATTCAAAGTTCAAGTTCGAATATGTTTTTGAGTTTCTGGAACTCTTTGACTTCTGGAACAGCAACAGTTTGACAGGGGCTGCAAATGTGTGGCTGAGGCAGGGAAATTCTTTATGACTCCGATGACTATGACTATGACTCAGACTATGATTTTTTTGTGGTCACATTTGATTTGGTGACCAGTGGCCACATGCCCGACTATATACCTCACACACTGCCCGATTTTACAGCCAGTCTAGTCAGTTCTGTTAAGCCTGTTAGTGCTCCACTGGCCAGCCAGGCTTCATCGCCCGCTGCTCCACCCGCCGTTCAATATTTTGAGGCTTGGCGCTTCCTATTCACCCGGAGATCGTCAGGGGCTTGGGCTTAGGCCAGCGCGTAGGCCAGTGATCATCAGTGATCAGATTAGATTAGATTTTTTGATTTTGTTTGATCTGGTCAGGTGGTCAGGTAATCATGTAATCAATGTTTACAAGCTGGCAGGAGAGATTCCTTGGTCCTTGATGATGATTGATGATCAATGATCAGTGCATGTCCTGGATAGGCATTGGCATGGCATTGGCAAAATGTTTGTTTGCCAAGGCTTGGCAGGGTATGAGAATCTCCTGCTGATGGACGAGTGCTGTCTGGACCCTGGTTTTGGACGGAGGCTCCAAGAGAGCTTGCTCAGTATGCAGAGAGATGGACAGGTGGGGCGTCGAGTTTGCTAAAAGCCAGAGCCAGAGCTTTTGTTTGCATTCAGGCTCTGCCAACCTAATGCAACTTTATTTTATTTGTATTGTCTTGTTGACCATTCATGTACTGGTAGCACTCTTTGCAAGGATGAGCTTGCACTGATGAATACGTTCGAAAGGACGTGCACTGTTGCTGGCAATTGTGCTCGCATCGGAAACTTCAAGATGGAGTGCCAGCACAAATGGAACCAGTCACTTCAAGGTGCAACCCGCCATTTAGGTGCTGCCAAGCAGTGGACTAAGATGGCAGCAGAAGCTTTCCTCATATCAGTGCAGACCCAGCACCAGCAACTCTTGGCAAAGCCTGTGCCAGCTAAGTCAAGGTGGGCCTGGGGCTAGTGACTAGTGGGCTAGCTATTCACGAACCCAGGATCAATTCAATTTGCAGCACTTTGACTTTGAGTTTCGACTTCGCCAGTGATTGCCTGTGTATTGTGAACTTATATCCTCTATTTTTTTTGCTTGTGACTGACGACTCTCAGGCTCTATCATTGGCCATCACTCACTGACCAGTTGTAGTCGTAGCTTCCGTACTCCATAGTATATGATAGTTAATTGTTCTAGTTCTATAGTTCTATGTTTATAACTTAACTATAACTCTATATCCATAACTTAACTATAATAAAATTATAATATATTATATATATAATATATAATATAATATATATAAATAATATAATATATATATATAATATATATATATAAATATTGCCTTGCTATATATGATGCTATTGCTATTGTTCTGCCTTTGTCCGGAAATTGGGTGATTTTGCAATTTGCCAGGCGTGGCAAGAATTCACGAGGAGGTGCCACTGAGAGGAAAGATCGTCGAAGAGTGCTCAAGCATTGCGTGGACCAAGGTGCAAAACATGTACTGTAAAGCCTGTAGACAGTAAACAGTAAACAGCAAACAAGGATCAATAAAGTTTTTTTGAGTTGCTGTCACTGCTGTCACTACTGAACCGCTTTTCAACTGGTGACTGTCCAGTGGTCCATAGTCCATAGTCTATAGTTTAGTATTGATGGTATTGACTATAGAGACTCCCTAGCCGTCATACAGTCATACACAGCCTGCAGGGAAGTGGAGATGCAAATTGCAGGTTGCTGAGTCGGATGACGGCTTGCTCGCAACCAGTAGAAGAAGAATGGGTAGATTGCACAGTGGGCACATGTTGCAATCCTGTTTATGGAAGCAGTTCAAAGACATATGCACTGATAGTTTCTTGGGCGCATTCATTGTGCCATTTGCAACCACCTTCAAATGACTCATGACTCATGACTGACTGACTAGCATGTAAGCAGCATGTAACATACCCCTACCCAGACGGGCTAGTCAATTGTGGGCTGAGGACAGGAGCTTGCAAAGGGAATGGCCAGCCCTCAGTTCAAAGAGTACGTGAAGAATATGAAGAGTCAAGAGGCATACGGTGTATGGCATACAGTTGGCATACAGGCATACAGGCATACAAACAGTATGGCACACAGCACATATATTTTTCACTTTTTACTTTATACAGTACAGTGAAGTTCTTATACAATACAGTTTATATACATTTTATAGTATTGATGTATCAGTTGATAATATTATGAGTTCCCTGCCGGGTTAGCTTGCAGGCAAACCATTGCTTGGCGCGCCTGCTGACTAAGCAAGCAAAGGCTCAAAATGCACTTGTCAAAGCAGAGAGGAAAGAACACGAAAACCATGCCAAGGCTGGCTGTGGCGGGTTTGTCATGTGATATGACAATGTGTTGTCGAATCTAATTCAAAATTTGATTAGAGTCAGATCACGATTCTGGTTTTTGGCAAAGCTTTGTTGCTGTCACTGCTTGCTAGATATGATAGATAGATAATCAGATGATTTATTTTATATGTATATTGTATATATATATATAACTATATAATTATATAATTTTATAATTTTATAATTATATATAATATACAAAATTTGTAACATATAATATAATGTAACTATTAGTTCATGAGACTTGCAGGAGCGTCAAGCCGAGACTGATGCACATCTCAACATGCCCAAGAACATTGGGCCTGGGGCCTAGTCAGTTGTAGTCGTAGTCTTAGTCGGAACCAGAGACCAGAGTTTTATTTGTATTGTCACCCAAAAATGGTTCCTTCCACCTTTCCTTTGGTGGGTCCAGTTGGCATATCATGTCATATGCATATCATATGCTGCATAGCTCGAGAATATTGCAAGCATTTATTTTTTTTTATATTTACGATTTATGACTTGTACTTATACTTATACTGTATACTTTGTATTTGACAGAGGCTCTGGGGGCTTCAGTTCACTGACCCAGCCTACCCTGTGGATGCCGCACTGGTGATGGATGGCAAAGCCAGAGGACTGACCAAGACAAACGCGGCAGATGTACTTCAGCGTAATCTGCCAGTTTATGATCACAACCCACTTCTGCAAAGAGTGATGACACAAGTCTCCAGCAAATACTTGCCTGCATGCTGGGTACATGGAATCTGCCGTCGGAATAAAGCAAAGAGAAAACTGTGCGACACCCTTCATCGGACTTTGATGAAAGGCATAAAAGAACAGATTGCAGGATTTGTGCCTGAGGCATCAGCAAAGGACTACCTTGTCTCAGGAGACCTTGTAGTGGCAATCCGTTTTCCTGCTCTCATGGCAGATTCCAGTTCCAGCTCTGGCAGTGCTGGCCCCACTCAGAGTTCTCCTTCCATGTGCGAGATCTTTGCAGTTCCCAAAGTTACACTAAGACCCGAGGGAGCAGTTTTCGTTGCCATGGACCAGGAGATAGATTGCAGTGGTCCTAACCCAATCACAAGGGCAACTTTACGGCGAAGTGACGCCACAGCCACAGGTTTGGAATTTTGCACCAGCTCAGAATTCTGTGCCCGTGTGCTCATGCAACAGTCTCCAGGGTTGGGGCAGCCAATCTGGATCAAAGTCTTGCAATATACCCGTGTGTACCTAAGCTTCAAGATTGGGCAACATGTTGCTGCTGCTGCTGCTCTTAAAGCTTCAAGATATGATTTTCATGTATCTGTATCATTCAATCTGTATGCACCATATATTACATATTGTTTTGACACATGACACATGTAATGTAATTCTTTTGGTAGCTGTCTCTGTAACCTGTTCTAGACTCACATCGGTCACATGGGTGTGTATATTTTACAACCGTATACTATCAACTAGACGGCTAGACGACTATTATCATTATATAATTTAATGCTAGTAGTTACTAATATAATATTATAATTATAATTTTTATAATATAATATATAACTATAACTTAACTATAACGTTCCATCAAAACACTTTCCAAGGTCACTTCATTCCAGGTATGTTTGAAATCTTCCATCAAAATCTGCATGCACTTTCCAAGGTCACTTCATTCCATTGAATTTGACCCATTGCCAGATACCAACATCAAGGATGCTGTGTGGCTTTGACACTGACAATGCTGGACCCGGACTGACTGTCTGTCTGACTGGACTGGACTTCCTTCATCTCAGTCAGTCAGTTCATTAATTGTGACGACTATCATTTCAATTTTGGATGTTCGAGATCTGCCAGCCGCCTAATGTTTACACTGTACACTGTGCACTGTTTGCACTGGATTTAAATTTCTGGATATTCAAAAGCAAATGGTTTCAAAGTGCTTGGCCAACTAAGAATGGTTTGTTTTGAAATGGTGTCGGTATCAGTATCATCATTGATGGTCAGTGTTGATGGATTCAGTGAATTCAGTGATTCAGTGAACAGCAGCAGCAGATGGCATTGCCAGGTGGCCTGTTGTGGCACAGATGGAAGGTGAAGATGCAAATGCCGAGGATGAAGATGCCGACGACCCTCTTTCCTGGGTGGAACCTTCCGAGGACGAAATATGAAGGATTGTAAAACATGACTTAAAACACTGGGCGCCTGAGTGGAATTTCATTCACTGCTGCAGCTCTGGTTTGTGTAAGAAGTAGAGAGCAGCAGAGAAAATATGATGCTACAATGATAATATAGGGCAGATAGTAGAAGTAGACTGACTGCAGAGTAGGTTAGATTGTCAATTGGACTTGACTAGACTCGACTGACATCAGTTAGAAGTTAGAAGCAGATACATCAAAATCTGATCACTTCACAAGGACATCACTGAAGAAGATCAGCTTCTGGGTTTGGGAGAACTTGCAGAGTCTTTTGAGGCTGTGTCTGACCTTGTGAGCGAGTTGTTTCTAGAGAGTGCCTTTGAAAAGGGACATGATGATCCGGAAAACGAGTCACAGTCAGAGTCAAAGACAAAGAGGCCTTCAACAGTACAGACTGAGAAAATTTTCACAGATGTGATCAAGCAACCCCTCCCAGGGGAAATTAAACGTGAAGGTAGATTTGTTTACTGCGGGTCGGTCAAGTGCGGCAGCGTGTCATTTTTGACGCATTGGTCGCCACCGGCAATCGTAGCAGCGTGCAATTTGCACTCAGATTGCTGTGTCTCCGTACCATTACTTGACGGGGACGAAGACAGTTTGGTCAAATGGTTGGGTGAAGCCGTGTGCTATAAGTCAGGCTCTGACCATTCTCAATGTCGCCCGAAAGGGTCTTACAACAAGAGGTTGAAGATGTGATGAGAAAAAAGTGTACAGCCACAGCCTTCAGCTACCTTTTTGGACTCCACTAGACAGTTCCTGAGTTGCTGCATCAGAATGAATTCTTATAAAAAACAAGTCACATTAGTCACTAGACCAGACCGGATTGCAAGTTAGACCGTCTGCACACAAAGAGTACTAGTGCTCATTCATCGATTGCCTGCAGCACAAGTGGGCTCGGAACTTGTGTGGATTCAACTTCAAACTTCAATCTCCAATCATCAGTTTCAATCCCTTGGTCAACTTCGTGACCCTGAAAACAGCAGGGCACTCAGTGAACAAGGACAGTGTCGACGCTGTCCAGTGAACAAAGACGTTGTGCAGCCGATTACAATATATGGGAATTGTATCAGAATAGGGGTGCCAAAACTGAATGCCCCAAGCCCCTTTTTTCTTACTAAAAAAAATGAGCTTGGGGCATTCCTATTTTGAGACATTCCCATATATATATATATTATATATAAACATATTATATATGTGTATCACTAAGGTTAGTCAGGTACATTTATACCGTACCTATTGTATCCTTATTGTATTGTATTTTCACACTCATATCATATCATTTATGCATTTTGTTAAGTTAAATGTTAATGTTTTATGTTGTAAGTATACGGTATTACAGTCTAGTCTTGTCTAGTCCAGTCTAATCTAGTGTAGTAAAGACAGTCAATCTAATTTCAAATAATATGCAATTAAATTTAAGACCTGGATTATATTATTATATTAAATTATATTGTTTGTTTCTTAATGCACGCACACTTAGCTCACAAAACTTTAAAAGTCTGGCTCTGGCATATTATGGCATAGTTTTCCTCTTGCAAAAAGCTGTATGGATCCAAAGTTGTTTAAAAATTTGACCAAAATCAAGATGTTGAAGAAATTTATTGCTTTGAACATTTTGGAAAATCAAGATGTTGTTGATCTGCAAAACCTTGAAATTTGCAGATTTTCACGAAAATTCATTTTGTGACGTTTTTCATAGTGCCGCATAGTGCAACATAGTGCCACAGCAATTTTCTGCAAAACCTTGAGTTTAGCAGATTTTGAGAAAACATTGTTTTTTGATGTTTTTCATAGTGCCACATAGTGCCACATAGTGCCACATAGTGCCACAGCAATTTTCTGCAAAACCTTTAAATTTGCAGATTTTGAGAAAATATCGTTTTTCGATGTTTTTCATAGTGCCACATAGTGCCACATAGTGCCACATAGTGCCACATAGTGCCACAGCAATTTTCTGCAAAACCTTGAAATTTGAAGATTTTGAGAAAATTCGTTTTTTTGGTGTTTTTCATAGTGCCACATAGTGCCACATAGTGCCACAGCAATTTTCTGCAAAACCTTGAAATTTGCAGATTTTGAGAAAATATCGTTTTTTGAGGTTTTTCATAGTGCCACATAGTGCCACATAGTGCCACAGCAATTTTCTGCAAAACCTTGAAATTTGCAGATTTTGAGAAAATATTGTTTTTTGAGGTTTTTCATAGCGCCACATAGTGCCACATAGTGCCACATAGTGCCACAGCAATTTTCTGCAAAACCTTGAAATTTGAAGATTTTGAGAAAACATCGTTTTTTTGATGTTTTTCATAGTGCCACATAGTGCCACATAGTGCCACATAGTGCCACAGCAATTTTCTGCAAAACCTTGAAATTTGGAGATTTCAAGAAAATTCGTTTTTTTGGTGTTTTTCATAGTGCCACATAGTGCCACAGCAATTTTCTGCAAAACCTTGAAATTTGCAGATTTTGAGAAAATATCGTTTTTTGAGGTTTTCATAGTGCCACATAGTGCCACAGCAATTTTCTGCAAAACCTTGAAATTTGAAGATTTTGAGAAAATATTGTTTTTTGAGGTTTTTCATAGCGCCACATAGTGCCACATAGTGCCACATAGTGCCACAGCAATTTTCTGCAAAACCTTGAAATTTGAAGATTTTGAGAAAACATTGTTTTTTGGTGGTTTTCATAATGCCACATAGTGCCACATAGTGCCACATAGTGCCACAGCAATTTTCTGCAAAACCTTGAAATTTGAAGATTTTGATAAAACATTGTTTTTTTGATGTTTTTCATAATGCCACATAGTGCCACATAGTGCCACATAGTGCCACAACAATTTTCTGCAAAACCTTGAAATTTGCAGATTTTGAGAAAATCTTGGTCTTATTTTTTTTCAATTTTTCAGCAAACAGCTGGAAATTGCAAGATTAGGTTGCTTCTGGATGTTTTGTGACCGTGCAATGTGATGCCAGATACCACTGCAACAATTTTTACATGATTTGCAAATGTTTTTGGAACATACAGATGCTGCATCGATGCTGAGGTTGTTGAAGTCCTGATTCGTCAGGACCAGTGAATTTGAGTGAGATGGAAGTAGAGCTGCAGCAGCAGGACCCATTAGAGGACGTCCCAGAGTCAGTTGTAGCAGATGATGTGATGGACAACCCGATGAACCAAGATCAAGACATTGAGAGGAATGGTAAGCAAAATATGTGCAGTGTACAAGGCATGCTTTTGGACCCCCAGATCAACTTGAAGCTCTCAGTTGAAGCCACAAGGAAGTTGTTGAATCGCAAGCCTGAAGGCAGACCCAAGCCATTGCTTCGATTGGTGTGCAAAGGGTGTGGCTTATCTACGCATGACCCAGACCCAATTGTGGGAGATGATTGGTTGGAGTTACTTGGTTCCTTTTGGTAACACTGCATGCTGCATCATGCTCACCAAACTAACAGGCCAGCAATGATGTAGTAGTTGTTGTTAGTAGTCTTCAATGTCAGGCAAGCAATGATGTAGAACATGGATGAGGGTACCGATTTTAGGCTGTATAGTGGCTGTAGTTGAACTTTGTAGTCGTAGTGCACATGTTACCAAGACTGAGACTGTGACTCAAGACCATACAGGAACCATGACCAATGTGACATGGCCACTGTCTCAGGTGGAGCAGTGGATACTACAAGCTGACCAGCCGCATGCGACAGCTTGGTGTAAGTGTGGAGCAACCAACAGGCACTGGTTCTGGGGCCAGGGGTGATCATAAGATCACGATCTACTACTGGCATTGCCATTGCCATTGTATAATCTAGAATCAGACTATAGACTGATAGGCTACATTGCTACATGCTATAGATAGTCTGGACTGGAGAGTAATTCATTCCAACAAGATGGTGAACACCTTTCCATATTTTATATTATTCCGATTGGGTACGGTCAGTGGAGTTTTTGGGCTTGGACTTGTAACTTGTAATGTTTCATTGTATCAATCTGCATCCGAATCTTCTGGCACTAGGTGACTTGTGCAAGTGTTGTTCTGAAACTGGACGACGTGCCTATCCGAAGATGAAGAGAGAAGCTCTGATCAGTTCACTCGAAGCTGGTGGCAATTTTTTGGTTGAATTTTCAGAGAGCCACTTGTTTGACATTGACAGTGACATATAGTGACAGTGAGCTCAACTTTAGATTCTTCAGATTGTATTTGTACCATGGGCTTACTGACACTGACATTGACACTGACACTGATCCCTAGCCTAGCCTATGCAGCTGTTGCCATCACGTTGCAACTATTATTATCATCAAAATACGGTATACGGTATACGGTATACAAATAATCTGGTATGAATTCATATAAAAGTAAAATGTAATAGACTGACTCATGACTCATGACTATATTATAAATTATAATTATGACTATTATATAAATATGATATATAATATATAAATTATATATTTGATTATTAGTATAGTTGTACAATTAATTATATATATAATTTAAATATGACTAGACTAGGCTATGACTATAGCTTATAACTTCAAACTAATGATACATTACTGTTATGATAGGCCCAAACCCCAGGCACAAGCTTCTTTAGTGCTTAGGTCGCAGCTCCTACATCGAAGAAGTGAAAGAAAGGCTGCTCACTGGCAACATGCGTGTCAAGAAGCGCTGCAAGACCATCAAAAAAGATGATGTAGCCGGAGTGTCCAATAAAGTGAAGGGTACCTTCATGGAGCTCGAGAAGTACAAGAAGGACAGTTGACATGGAATCACGAGACATGAGCCAATAGGTGTAGACAAATAGAGACTGACAGACAGATTGTAAGCTTTGGCTGCAGGTTTCTATAGAATAGAATTGATGGGCAATAGGCTAAGCTGCTATAGATATGATATGATGATATGATATGTTCTAGTTCTATATATAAAATACAGAAGTACAGGCAGGCTATAGGCTATAGGCTATAAGCTATAAGCTATAGGTAGGCTTTAGGGTGTAGGTGTTGAGTTTGCCTCCTGTGCAGCAGCTGCAGGAGTTCGGGTCACCTTCAAAAAATGGGCTTGGGCACGTAGTCACCAAAACGACTAATCCTTTGACCTGCCAGCCTGTTGAAGCGGTCTTTGTGCCAAAGTTAAAGGCAGGAATGTGGAATGGTGAGATATCCAACCATTCATTTGTGACTTCAAGTCAAGTTGTGGATGACGATTGCAACGCATTGAGAAAGAACCAGTTGCACCTAGACTGCAGACTGTGGACCGGTAGACTGGCAATAGACTGGGCCCTGGGCGAGTATCTGAGGTCTGATCTGGTCCAGCCAAGTCCATTATTTTTTTGTTGAAAAGTGACAGTATGACAAATGACACACGGAATGCTGCTTTAATTTATGATTTTTGTTTTTGGCATTTCCTAGCCAGCCCTGGCAGCCCAAGGCAAAGCAGCCTGGACCAGGACAGGGGTAGGGATGCGGGTTATTTTTTTTATGTGCATGAGTTCAATTGTTGCAATTGGTTGGAGCAGAGGCAGAGGCATTGTCATCAGCAGCTTGCCAGCTTGTTAAAATTTTCAGGATGACAGCTTAAAGATGTCTGAATCTGACATTATATTAAATTATCATAATATCGTAATATCATTGCTTGGTTTCGAATTTCGGTGCACACTGCTCACTGCTGTCACTGCTCACTAACTTCATTAACTTTTTACTTTGGTGCAGGAACAGAAAGCTTTGATGGACTCGTACTCGACTAAAGGGGTTGCTGCAGCTTCTTCTTTGGCGGAGTCTCGTCAAAAGCTTGAGGAAGAAGCAGCAGCAGCAGAGGCAAAGAGGAAAGCAATGGCAGAAGGCAACAAGGAGGATGATGGCGAAGATGATGAGAACGAGCCCAAACGAATGAAATGTAACGGTGAAGAGGAGGATGAGCAGGACGACATTGATGAGGATGCTGAAGTGATGTATATGCAGGCTCTCCAAGACAAGGACGAAGACAATGATGCTCCGATGTTTGGTGATGGTTCTGGTGATGAAGGTGATAAGTGTGAACATAAGAACAAGAAGCAGAAGGTGGCTACCATCAAGGGCAGCTCTAGCTCAGGGGCCAAGCCGGCTCAGGTGAAAATGCAGAGTGTTGCTTCGTCTCCCAAGTCACAGGCGGTAGTGGTGCCTTTGAATTTGAAGCCATCGGCAGTGCCAGTGCTGTCTACTCCAACGGCTCCAAAGACTCATGAAACTTCAGTTCCAATGGCAGCTGGCAAGAAACAGCCGGTTCCGTTTGCTCCAGGTGATCACACGACATGGAGCAAATGCGACCTGATTTCATCTTTGGAGATTTCGTCTGAGCACGGTGGCAAGATCTTTGCTCCTCCCAGCCTTAAGACCTACCAGAAGAATGCGAACAACGTGGCCAAATGGAGAGTGGAAGTAGCAAAACAGAAGCCGTGGTTGATGATCTTTGAAAGTCTCTTCGCGAGCGACCAGGGAATCAGAGTCACAGAGCAGCAGGCAAAGACAGCCTTGACTCAAGCAAAGAAGGTGAACAACAAGGTGGACAAACGACTTGGGTATGAGACTGCGAACAACGGGGAACTTACTTTTCATGAAAGGGTATGTCATTTGAAGGAGGCCCTGCAGGCTACCAAGGAGTTCAGAAGTAAAGCATTGGGGTCAGCCAAGGGTGGGCCAATTGCTCCAGATGTGCTTGAGAAAGACATTTCCCAAATCAAGAAGCCTTTGCAAGAACTTGTTCCAGATCTCAATCCAGCTTTTCCTCTGCATTGGGTGCAGGCGTACTGTGGGATTGTGACTGCACACGACTGGGCTGGCTAGACACAGGACATTGAACTAGACCTAGACAGTAGACAATAAATACTGAATACTGAATACTGATACTGATACTGTATTCTGTAAACTGATACTGCTACTACTTACAACTTACTGACTGTCCATATTTGATTAGGCCAGTAGTAGGAGATATTAAGACTAGACTAGACCTAGGCTGGACGGGACTGGGCAGATTTGATTTTCGAATTTTATTATCATCTAGCAGAGATGGTGGTGTTGCACTGCCATTTGTCACTCATCTTGTGGTCAACCACAGAATGTTTGCCTGCAGGCGTGGGTCACAGCTGCTTGCCAGCCGAACCTCAGCGATGATGTGCCGATCACCGATGAAGCAACTGCGAGAGCTTGTGCCAGTCAGCTGTACCTGTTTGACACGTTGCTGAAGTCTGGAGATCACGACGGTCCGGCTGCTGACAATGCGCTTCCTGGTTGCAAAGATCACTACTATTTTAATATATTGGCATGGCATATGTAAATATCAATACAATATAAATTAAAATAGATAGATGATGATAGATGATGATAGATGATAGATATAAATTATATGAATATAAAATATTTTTATTTAAAATTTCATATATTATTTCATTATATATTTTGTTTTGACGACTGTAGTAGACTTTTGTCTCCTGCGCGGTGCTGCTCAGGTACGGGAGGATGACCGACTTCTTTTTCTTCTGCCCCGGGTCTCTGCAAGATGAAAAGATTTGTCGCCTCCAGTCCAAATTTATCGGGAAGTTGCTGATGAAAGCCTTTGCAGCCAAGTTGTCTCTTGAGGAAGCAGTCAATGTGTTGAAGGCGTGCCTCCCAGAAAATCCTGTCCCACTGACCTTGGATGCCTTGACTTCCATGGTGCTTGACAAAGCCATGGCGGAAGCACTGTGGGTTCTGTACCAGATGCTGCACGGCGCTGTGACCGAAGAACTCATGGAACAAGCCAAAACTAAGTTGACAAGGGAAGAGTTTGTCAGCTGCCATAGGCCATTGTATCGTTTGGTGCAGATGAGCCAGTACAAGCGTTCGGTTCATTCCTGCCACCAAAAGCTCAGTCTTGTGCAACTGGATCGGGCTGCAGGAGAAAAGGCAGAAATGCTGAAGGAGAAGATGAGTCAAATCTCAGAGCTTCCAGTCAAGCTCAAGGCTGATCTGGAGAGTGGGAACATTGCATTTCTGGCTATTTTGGATGCATTGGAAAAAGTGGTGGGAGTCAAGACCGATGCTGCAGCCTTGCCCAGCGATGTCGGGAGCATGTTCTATGAACAGCGCAGCCAGATCATGGAAAGCATCGAGAAGGCTTGGACGGCTTTGGGCTGTGGCCATGTGGCTGTATTATATAATTGATATCATATTATTTATACCAGTAGCATAGCATCATTTCATATTTCATATCATATTAATATATAGCTTATATATTATAGTATAAGTTATAAGGAACAGAACCACAGGGGACCATTCTCAACCTTGCAGCCTGAGGAGCTACTGCCGGAGCTACAAGACCTTCTATCCACAACATTTCTTCACTTCTTGCAGAAGATTTGTGGCTTTCTGGAGGGAAGTGATTGGCAGGAACCAGTCCATGCGGAATTGTCATCGAGTGGGATTTCGACCTTTTCTGCCAAGGTGAAAGGGGGGCCCCCAGTGCTAGGCCCAGGAAAGTATGCATGCCGGGAAGTGCTGGGGTGTTGCTCATTTTCTTTGAGAAGCTTGGCAGTGTACATTGCCGATCTTTGTGAATGGCTGATGCTTCACCGCACGCTTGAAGGAAAGACACCAAGTTCACCTTTTGTGGGTGAGATTGAATGCGTGTCTTTCGCAGAGGCGATCTTGGATTCACACAGGTGCAACAAGGACATTGCCGAAGCCTCGGCAACATTGAGGAAGCTCGGATGAATTACTATCAACAGATGCTGTAATATGCATTTGCTTATCGGTTTTAATATGAGGTAACCGGTAATATGATATTGATATTATATGATGTGATATGATACTACGATAATATGATATGATATGATATGATGTGATATGATATGATGTGATATGATTTGATATGATATGATATGATGATGTTGTTAATGTTACTGAACTGATCAATCAAGAATAGCTTAAAACTGCAACAACTCATGACTCATAATCACCGAACTAAATTATAAACATAACAAACTGATGACAATATGACATGATTCGATTAAGATTCTATGATATGCTTCGACTTGTTGCCACTGCTGAGGACTACCGTCAAAACAAAGACTGAAGAGCTTGCTGTGAATGTGCTTCGCCAAAAGCCGGAATCAAAACACATTCTGCTTACTCTGAAGCCTTGGGTTTCCGAGATGGAGGAGGACTGTGGCAGCTGCGGCATTTTTTTGTCAACAGAGTATCAGATTGGTCAGGTCAGATTGGGCGTGACTGATCTTTATATAATAGTTGTATAGTCTCAGTCACCGACTATGTGTGATTTTTAATTTCTATAATATCGAGTGAAAAGTTAATATAGCATGTATGCTGTATGCTGCTGCATACATGTAGTTGTACTAAGTACTATTGTACTAATACTGACACTGATACTGTACTGACACCGTGGCTCCCTGTGGTGCTTTTTGGTATTTGTTCTGGCTTTGCTTTGTTCTGGCTCTGATTGCTAATGACTGCGCGAAGGATGGAGCCAAACAACTTTACAGTGACCTGTTGGCTGAGATCAGAAAGAAAGAGCAGGATGAGCTTTCTGGCGATGGCAGCAACGCTTTGGGAGGTGCCTTCTCTAAGGCATTCGGAAATATGGAAGAGCTACTTGGCCCTGAATGCCATTTGCTGCAGCACCTGACGGGTGCATCTTTGGAGAAGCTTGTGGCAGAGCTTGGGGCAATGAAGTCCTTGGGTGCTTGCTACAAGGACTTGGCCAAGCAGATTGCATCTGTCGACAAATCACTGGCCGGACTTGACCAGGTTAACCAGGCTGTGAAGATGGAGGAGTGTGCAAAACTACTCCTTGCTTGTCAGTCAGGCTCGGTTGCCAATCAGTTTTACAGTTTACATTTTTACAGGTTTACAGTTTTACAGTTTTACAATCCGAACATCATCCAAGAATCCTTGTCATCCAATGCATTCTCCAGGTTACATTTTTTTGGAGTAGGGTGGGGCTTTTGCAAGTCCAGTCTAAGTCCGTTGTATGGTCAGAGTCATGAGTCATAGTCATGAGTCATGGTCCTGGTGTAATTTTATACGGTCAATAAAATTGATAAGATTAGGACCAGGACTCGGACTATTATGTGGTACAAGTACTACTACTATGACTATTTATCTATATCATATATCATATATCATATATCATATTATACAATAAAATATTGTATTTTATAGTTAGTTATACAGTTATACAGTTATACGGTGTACGATTTATACGGTACGGATACTGCTGATGGTCTGATAGCGATGCAATGCACCACATTGTTTTGCCAGGCTTGATGGCTGTGAATAGTGGCAGTGCACAGAAGGCATCAGATTTCCAGAAGAGGCTGGCAGAACGTGACCTGAGTTTGGAGTTGCTGCCTACATCCTTGCAGGAAGCAGTGACCAAACTCGCACTGTCTGCCGAGGATGATTCAAATGCAAAGTAGTTGTACAACTCTGGAGGGCCAGGGGTAGGACACATCCACAGGCGCAGGTGAGTGAGAAGGGCGGCCATAGCCAACACTGTCATTATCATTCCTTGGTCATCACTTCATCAGGATTCAGAGAGTCAGGCCAAAGATCAACAATTAATTGCGTGAAAGCAGTTTGATTTCACAATGTGACTTCAGGTGCCCTGATCTTGACTCGCATGCCGCATGCTGTGTTCTTTCGGTTCACTGTGCCACTCAGATGGGCAGCTGGACTGGTACATTATATGACGCCAGAATGAAAGTCACATGTCCCCACCAAAAGGAACCAAGTTGGAGCCATCAGTGGGTGGGTTGTGTGGTTCATTCGCATGTGTCTGAAGTAGCATACCGTACCGTACCGTATATACCCAACTTTTCAAGCAGGACAGACAGGAGTATTACGGTACATAGTTTAGTAGTAGCTTCTTCCAACTGAGCTGCATGGCATGCTTGTTTGTAGGAGTTCCCTGTGCCCACGGAAGGGTGCTTCAGCAAACGTGGCATGATATGAAGCGTGCATGCTGCATGCTGCTTGACTCAGTCTTCTATCTCATTGCCCTTATCCCTGCTTCTTCAGCTGCTTAGGAAGGTGGTGATCAATCAAATTCAACCCGACAGTTTTTTTTTGAAGTCTAGCGCAGCCTAGCTGTTAACTGTGTACTGTTTACGGCCTGTTTACTTGCTGAAGTTGCAGAAGGAACCAGGGACCATATCATATCAATATCACATCCTCAATTCATGAGCCATCCGAGTGTGCATGATCTCATCAAAGACCTGCAGCAATGCAATCAGCGTTTGCTGCTTGTGCAAGATTGCCAAGAAAGAAAGATGAAAGAACGTTTGCAAAATCACAGCCTGGGTCAGCAAAGTGACACTCCACAGCCTCGGAAGATGATGTGGTTTTCGGTTTTCGGCTTTGTTTTGAGCTGGTTTGTTTAGTATTGCAATTGTCAGTTGCACAATTCAGAGCCGGCGCAAGTCACAAGGCAGATTTAGCTCCTGATAAACCTCCTTACTGCCGCATATTATCCATTGCAATTTTGGCTTCCAACTTCCAACAGTTTGTTTAGTTTAGGTGTCTTGCCGCCCCCTTGTCAATTTGCTGAGATCTTCTTTGACTTTGGGCGATATGAGCGAGCACAAGAAGGAAGTGATGGTAGTTCCTGGATGGATCTTGTTCACGCCTCCCCGTGATGAAACTTCTTCATCCCAATCGTCTCCAGACATTGGAGGCAGAAGTACGGAGAAGGTGCATTCCAGGAAGAAGCGCTACCTCGAGCCCTTTGAACGACCTCCAACTCCGGAGTTTTTCAAGATCAAGCCTGAATATCTCAAGGATGATGGCTCAATCATCTCGGATTCTGACAGTGATGTGAGCAAGAACAATCAAAAGCGAGAGCCAGACCGAGACCATGTACCACACAAGAACCAAGGCCATGGCAACAGAATGCAGCTAGCGGCGCCAAAGAAGGAGGATGCTGATGCTGTGAAAGCATGTGTGGTGGTGGCTTGTGGCGATGGTTTGGGCAGTGGCCATGGCCCAGAGCATGGTTCGTCTTCGGGTGCAGGTTGCCGCCCGGGCCCCTTCCACTGCAACCAACGATGCTCATGCCGGGGAGCGCACGGCTGCTGTGGTCGGAAGGTCTTTTGTGACAACTGCCGTTGCTTGTGCTGCTGCTGCCACTTCCATTCTTGCCGGGGTGGGTTGCAGGAGAGTCAGGGCCACTTGCCGCCTGCAAAGAGGACTAAGACAGCCAAGGTTGCAGTCAAAGTCAACATTCAGATTGGCTGATTGGTGGCCAAGAACGGAATCGATCATCGTTTGGTCGATTGAATCGGATCTGATATGGTCTGCTGATGTGATATGGTATGGTCGTCCAGTCTTGAGTCTTGAGTCTTGAGCTTCAATTCTGAGTGGGTGGGTAGGTTAGGACGTATGGCAGCGTACTAGCCTAGCTTACTGATTGTGGTTTCTTCAGTAAGCTAGCAATTGGCAAGTGGCTGCGGAACTCCGAAGGAATGGAAACAGGCCATTTTGGATCATGGGAAAAGCCCTGACTCCTGGCTTGTTTGCTGCTTGTTTGCTGTTTGCTCTTTACTTGAGCCTGGGCGATTCGTGTGCTGCACAGCTAGATAGAAGCTGAGCAATTATGTCGCCATGCTAACTTCTAACTAACCATTCTGAATTCGGAATGGCTGGTACTAGGGTAGCAACGTGTGTGATGCCAAAACGGCCCCAAGTCAAAAAGAACAAGAGACAAGAGTAGCCTTTATCAGGCCTTTATATACCGTTTGCTTTCCATTGCATCTGAGTCTGATCAGATTTGATGGCAGTGTCAGACAGTCTGATGATATAATTTATTAATTGATGATGGTTCATGATTTATGATTCATGATGATGATTCTGAATGACGATGGTGATGATGATTGATAGGTGATGGTATATGATATGATATGTTGATGATTAATGGTTGATGATTGATGAAAATAATGATTGATGATTGATGGTTGATGGTTGATGATTGAATTCTGTGGTGCAAACTGCAGCCAGTTGTAAATTGTAAACTGTTGTTTTGCTGGTGGCTCAAGAGTACCATACAAAGCCGCTAGAAGCTGTTGTTTTTCCATTTCTGACCCTTCAGTAGTCATCCGAACTTGGCCAAGATTTTGGGCTGAGCCGATCATGTGGGATGATTGGGCCACTGACCCACTGGAGGCTGGTATTGGTATCTATCGGTAAAATATGGATCAGAAATCAAAATCACATCGAATTGATGGTCGAATCATATCATTATCAATCGCTTTATCGCTAAGTTAACTTAGTCAGGCTGTCAAGCCTTAGTCTTGCCAGTTGCCAGGGTCAGAGTCAGAGTCTCTGTCCCATTAAGTCAGCAGGCAATTGCAGTGGACGTAGAACAAGAATGCGCGCACTCTTCAGACTCGACGGGCGAGGCTTGAATCCAGTCAGGCAGTTGCAAGTCATGAGGCGTAACACTGGAACTCATGGACTCATGGTACGGTTACAGTATGGGTATGGGGCATGGGTTTTTTTATTCACAAAGAACAGACCAATTTCAGGGACCGACTGACTCTATGGACTCAATTGACAGAATCATAGAATGAGAGTTCAATAAAAATAATAATAAATTATTGTATTCTAATTATAATTATAACAGTAATATAGGAAATAGTAATAGTAATAAGTTATTAAGTAATAATAGTATTGAGTCATGAGTGATCAGTAGAGTCAGCAATCACTATTTACAGCTTCAGATGAGTGATTAGGCTGCCAATGCCTCAGTGTCACAATGGAGTTTCAGCCATGTGGTAGGTAGCCGCAGACAAGGTACAGAGTCACGATGATGTGACCAACCAGGAGAGAGATCTGTGAATCAAGTGACTTGATTTTGGCATGAGTAGTGCGCTGCATGACTCATGACTCGTGTGTGACTCATGCTACCAATGTTTATGATCACTGTTATTCCTTTTTAATTGTTGTGGGCCAGGGGCAATGGAATCAAATTCAATTTCCACACTCTGGCTTCAGGAGAATGGTCCTCCAAATGATGTTGTTCCTTGCGACAATCATGCACCATTGGGCACGGTATGTTCTGAGGAGGCAGTTGAAAACTGACGTGTGATGTGATACGGCTGACACTGGCATTTTTCAAACGGCTCTGGGTCTGACAGGAGAGGTTTTGAGAGACAGTTTCTGTCTTGAGTTATGGTCCTGGTCCTGGTCCTGCTTTGGTCTTCTAGATTCTGATTCTGACTTCTGAAGTATGACTCCAATGATTCATATCACTATCATATCACGGTATCAAATCATAAAATCATTTGAATTTGATTCATGTTGAATTCATACGAGATACTTGTCTTGTTCTTTGTGACTTCATTCGTCTTCAGGAAAAACCTGCTTGTGATGAAGAAGATGACCCCTTGGCCGCCGTAGCCGCCTCACCCTTTGGTAAGGCTGACAAGGCCATGTTTTCACTCAGTCTAGATTCTAGGGTTAACGGTTAACGGTTAACGGTTAAACAGTTAAACGGTTAACGGTGGATAACAGTGGTTTTCACCTGCGCAGGACCAATTATAAATGTGTTTTTCTTATGTGTGGCTTGTTACGTTCTTTTGTTTTTATTCTGCTTTGGACCAGCTTGACCAAGCCCGTACCCTTTGATCAGGTTGAAGTTGAAGCTCGAGCTGTTTGTGATCCCTCCGTAGCCGCCTCACCCTCTGATAAGGCTTGGCAGAGTCTCCAGACTGTCAGGATGCCTGTAGCCGATAGCCTATAGTTATAGATAGCCAGCCTATAGCCTATAGCCTATAGCCTATATAGCCTATATAGCCTATATTATATAGCCGCCGATTATTTGTTTATTTTTATCTTGCTCTGCAGCAGCCTGACTCAGCCCGGGCCCTATATATGGACCCTTTGATCAGGTTGAAGCTCCAGCTCCAGTTGCTTGTGGTCCCAGAGATGAACCCTTCGCTGCTGTAGCTGCCTCGCTACTTGACGAGGCCTGGTTTTCACAGAGTCTCCAGACTGTCAGGATTCAGGATGTCGATAGTCTAGTTCTACACGGTCTATTACAATTCTGAATGAAGATAAGTCAAGTCACAGTCTAAGTAAGACAAGTTAGGTAGGCAGGTCGGGGAGACAGGCAGTTTGGTTAGTGTTGTCACGTCGATGGAATAAATTATTGCATTGTTATCCTGTTCGGCTTGTTCTCTTTCTCTTTTGTTTTTATGTTTATATAATATAGCAGCTCAATTCAGCCCTGGCCCCATGGATCCTTTGATCAGGTTGCAGCTCCAGCTCCAGTTGCTTGTGGTCCCAGAGATGAACCCTTCGCTGCTGTAGCCGCTTTACTACCTGATAAGGCCTGGTTTTTACAGAGCCACAAGACTGTCAGGATTCAGGATGGTTACAGTTCTATTATATTAAAAGTTTGAACGAGGATCAGTAAGACAAGTTAGGTAGGCAGGTGGGGGAGACAGACAGTTTGGGTAGTGATGTGATGTCACGTTGTTCGACTTGTTCTTTTGTTTTTATTTTTATCTTCCTCTGCAGCAGCTTGACTCAGCCGGGGCCCTATGGACCCTTTGATCAGGTTGAAGCTCCTGCTCCAGCTGCTTGTGATCCCCGAGATGACAGCTTCGTTTCTCAGAAGGCCAGGTTTCGTCTAGTCTCTAATCAAGAGACTGCTAGTAGACAACAGCCCACAGCGGACGAGTCATAAAGTAGTCGTAAAAGCCAAAGGTTCAAGTTCAAGTAGTACTAGTACAATCCCCAGTATTTGCTGCTGTTCGTGAGGCGGTGCAAAGGGCCACTGACTCCGCTGATGACCAAGCGATGGACGTGTCTTTTTGGAATTAGTTTCCTTGTTGGGATTATATGGCCTATAAGCCATAGTATCGTCATACAGTCATACAGTCATACAGTCATACTGTCATACTGATACTGTATACTGACTGTATACTGTATTGACATTGATACTATTCATCCATTAGCTGAGAGTCGACATGGTTTCTTTGGTGACAGAGGTCGAGATGCCTGAGTGGGTATCCGTCGTCATGGACATTTTGGGGCCTCATTTGCGTGACAGTCACTGGGGTGATGGCGCAATCACATACGGAAGTGATTGCTCTGGAATCGATTCACCGCGATGGGCACTATCTCAATTGGTGGAGGCATTGCAGGTGTGGAGTGCAGATCCTGTCAATACTCTGCTAGGCTAGGCTATACTGTACTGCTCTATGTCAATGTCTATGAAACATTCTAAAATTCTATAATTCTATAGTAGACAGTAGACAGCAAGCAGCAAGACAGTAGATGATGATAGTCCGATACTCACTCACCCACATGATTCAGCGCACGTGTTTGTGTAAGCAAGTGTGTGCGCGCCGACAGGTGCGTCACAGAAAGAAGCTGAAACTTGTCTATGAGTTCGCCAGCGAAGCCCCCGGTAAGGAAGGCCTGTGGCAAAAGAGGCTGCTGCTTCTCAACGATCCTCCGCCAAGAATTCTGTATGATGACATGCTTGCCGCTGGCCCTGCTTTGATTGGACAGTGGACTTTGGCTTTGACTCACTGTAAGACTCGTTGGACTTTGGCTTGACACTTGTCACTTGCCACTTACAAATTATGAATTACAAACAACTACTAATTGCCGGGCTGGGCCCAACCTGTGAAGTAATGGTACCGTGTGGCGGTGTGTGACTGGCATGTGACATGTGGTGTGCGGCATGTGGCATGTATACTGTATGCTGTATACTGTATGCTGTGTACTGCTGTATACTGTATACTGTATACTTTCATTTTTACACTGCTACTGCTGAGGCACGAGGTGAGGAAGAAGGGCCGGACTTTGTGAATGGCGGCCATTGCGAAGTCCCTCGTGTACAGTGGTACACAGGGGGGTTCGAATGTCAGGCCGGCATCAGTATATATACAGTGTACAGTATACAGTATATGACGGTCCGTGGCCCATGGTTAAGATTCAATGTGAAATGAAAAGTTTATAAGTATAAGTTATAAGTTATAATATAATTTATAAGTATAAATATAAGTTTATAAGTTATAAGTTATAGGTGTATTTAAAAGATTTGATTCATGACTCATGTCGATTTCAAGATTCAGAACTAGTAGTGCAGGACTTATCGAACCTGAACGTGTCCCGCAAGAGCTTGAGTTTGAACATCACTGAGGAGCCCAGGACTCAACTTGTTTTTTCGATTCTTGGTTTATGGCCGGCCAAACAGGCCAAACACTGCCCAGAAGCGCAACCATTTTGCAAGGTCTGGCATGTCCAGCCGGACCTTGTCTCAGAGTTTGAAGTATATCAAGTCAAAGCGGCCGGTCTGGGGCATAGCCTCGGCATAGCCTGTAGCGGCATAGCATAGTGAAGCAAAATTTCTGTATGATTTGGATGTGCAATGCTGTGTCACTGATGTAGTTAAAGTTTGGCAGCCTGTTACAGCCTGTTCCTTAAGCTTTAAGCTAACTCTGAGGCTTTCGTCGTCCTAGAGAATGTGAGCAAGAAAAAGACAGGGGAGATTGTATGCGCTGAACTGACGCAGATGGGGTACATCTGCTGCTGTCTATTTGCCAACTCGAGTTCATATGGCGTACCGCAAAGCAGAAGCAGGCTTTATGTGGCTGCAGTTTGTGCCGACCAGGTTCATGTTGAACACGGGCCTCTGCAGTGGATACAGTGGTTGCAGGCAGGATAGTGGTCTGGGTTTATTTCTGTGTTTGTTTGCTTGCTTGCTTGCTCGCTTGGTTGGTTGTTTGTTTGTTTGTTTGTTTGTTTGTTTTGTTTGCAGTTTATCATTTCGAGATTTAAAGACTTTATTATCATAAGTCATCAAAAGAGTCAAAGTCACAGGAGCACAAGAGTTTTGACTAGACTCTAGACTGTGACTGTAACTGTCGACCGACCTAGCTGAGACTTAGACTAGATTTTAGTCGGTCAGTCGGTCAGTCGGTCTGTCGGTGCCAGGAGATTTCCACAAGGGCAGTAGCGCCACCTTTTTCCAGCTACATGCTCCCAAATGATGATGGTCTTGTGCAGAACTTTCTGGCTGACCGACAGAAGCATCCCAAAACACAACAAGAGATTATTGAATCACTGGAAAAGGGGGCATCGTGGCCAAAGTGCTTTGAAAAGCACCAGGAAGCCAGGTCATGCATTCAAACGATGCTTGGAAAGAAGGCCCGGGGCAGGGGACATATTACACAGCTAGCAGCTAGAGTCTCGAGTCGAGTCTAGAGTCAGGCATCGACATCATTGACATAATATGAATAGAATATGAACCATATCATATCATTCATATCGGGTGTATATGTTATATAATATATAATATATAGTTTATATAATATATAATTATACGTTACCATTTCAGTCGGTGTATCAGTCAGACACTCGGTAAGATAAGTTGCTTGTTCAAGAGATATATTGTGTCACTGTGTGTTACTGTTACACGCAGGTTGCATAATTGACCAGCCGACCCCCGTCGTTGATACCAGCAGGTTCCTTCGTGCAGGCAGCTCTTCAAGAAGTACGCAAATGAGTGGAGCAAGACCCTTCCTGCAAGGGAGCAGGATGTGTTGTACTTGCACCTGTTTGTGCTGCTCAGTTGGGCTTTTTTTTTGTGTGGGATTTCATACCAACATGACCAACATGCAATGTAACATGACCAACGTCTAGACCATTTACTGACTCACATCACACCAGTGCTGACTGTACGGTACGCGCCTGCCAGTCTGAGTCTGTCTGACTGTCATTGTCTGATTCTGTTGTACAGTAGTTGAACTCTGTGTGCTTTATTCTTTATATGAACATTGTTCCGTTCCGGACTGTAGAATACTGACTAGACTAGATTGTCTAATACTAGACTCGACTTGACTATACTATACTGTTACTGTCTAGTCACTAGTCTACTACTGTCTATACTGTCCAGTCTAGTCTATACAGTACTGTAGGCTGTAGACTGTAGCCTGTTGAACAGCAGCATTGCGTAGCTTGGATCAGGTTAGAACAACATCGAGGACGCCCCGATTTCCCAGTTATCTGGGATCTCACGCACAATGTGACCTTTGCTGCGTGGAAGGAAGAGCAATATGAGGAGAAACTGCCTTGTCTACTCAGGAAACATCGATACTACCATTGTGGCCAGCAGCGATTCGTGGCAAAACATTCACAAAGAATTAAGACTATAGACCAATATGACTATAACTAACTATACTAATTATAATAAATAAATAGGCTGATTGTCGACTATATAAGACTGATATTTTATTAGAATTGGAATATTGAATTAGCCTAGCCTAGCCTTGGCCACCTGTTGGATTGAGGATTGATTTTGGGATGTGAACTACTAAGAGGCCAAGGCTTCCCCAAGTCGATCAAAACTTCTGGCCGTGTGGTGGCTGCGCGTGATCCAGACTTCTCCGACCCTGATCACAACACTGTGTGTGATGTGCCAGTTGCTTGCCGTTGGGCCGATGGGTGTTTTTTTTCGCTGGCTTTTGTCGCTCTTGTTTTTGGTTTCTGTGGGAAGCAATTGAATTTGGAGGAAGCAGCTCGAAGTTGAAGTTTGAACTTTGAACTTTGAAAGTCCGCAAGTCAGCAGCCGGCAGCCAGCCTCGAGCCAAGGATGCTCAGCTCAATTCCATAGCAGGAAATACGATTTCCGTCCCCGTTGTTGGCAGCATCATGGCTTGTATGATGGCCGGCTGTCAGTTGGTGACGGCGCCTACTGATGCTGCAAATAAGGCGGCAGTGGCAAACGCCATGTGGCCAATTCGCTTTCCAAATGCCCAATCGTCAACAGACGGAGTTTGGGTGGGCAGCCAAAGAATTGCAGCTCATGCTGGGCGTTTCGATTGTATTCATATGGCGGCAAAGCCAGAAGCATCCAGTGCATCGAAGCGGCGATTAGAAGCATCCTCACATGATGCCGATGTTTCAAAGCAAAAAACATTGAAGCAGTGTGGATGGTGATTTGATATGGCACGGATCTACTGTAGCTGACCCATGCCTCATGCCAGCGAATTGGACAGTGAAACATTGTCTGATATGGCTGGATGGTCTGATAAATCCAATGCCAGCGTTTCATACTCATAGTCATAGTCATAGTCACATAAGTTCATAGAGTCATAGGTAGGTCTGATTCTTTGAGGCTCTAGCTACCCCATGCCAACAATGCAAAGCTGTGCAAAGTGGCTTCAATGTACAGATTCTCAGCCGACTCTGCGTCAGCGACTGAGCTCAGAGCAATGCTCGAACTTGGGAGGAAAAAATCGAAGTTTCGGAGAATCACTGAAAGTTGTGTTTTTTTATACTTTTCACAGTTTGACAACATTTCACCAAATCAATGAAAGTTATGTTTTTTATAGCTTTCCCATTTTCGTCCAATTGGATAAAGTTAAGTTTCTCTTTGTTTTTCTAGATTCTACTTAATCCGGACGTGCATCCAGACACAGGCCTAACTGGCCAACCTAAGTTATATGGCACTTTTTTGACATAGTCCGAATCACAAAAAATACATTTTCTGCAGGCCGGGGCAAAATCCAACAATGATAATATACAGTGACAATATCTATAGCTGCTCAGTCACAGTGCTTTGCAGATTGATCGTTCATTGTAGAATGACCATACAATATCGCGCATGTGTGCAAAGGCCTTTGGAAGCTCCCAGCCGTGAATGATCCGAACATGCAGGAGTTAGATCATTCCAGAGCATGTGCTCTGCAACGATCCAGTTCCTGCATGTTCGGATTGATCTCCAGAAAGCTCAAGAAGAACAACTTGCAGAAATCATTCGGATTTCCAAGGAGCTTGAAAGCTTTGAGGTTTTTTGCATCCGTTTGGTTCTGCATTATCGGCTGATCATGTAAGAATTGCCCGTATTTTTCCGAACTCCCACTCAGACTCATGCATCTCAGTCCAGACGAATCAATTCTCAAAAGCTGACCGACTGATTTGTTCTACTTTGTGATGCTCATGGTTCGTTTCACTTTTGCAGGAGCGCGGCGAATACAGAGAAGAGATTGCCCGAATGTGTGGTCTGGAAGAAAAATACGAGGTAGAGATGTCCCAGCTCGCTAAGGACAGTCAGGCCCAGTCAGGCTGTCTCCAGTTTCACACGAGAACACTGACATATGACATATAGCTATTGGCTATTGGTCGTTATATGGCACTTTTTTGACATAGTCCGAATCACAAAAAATACATTTTCTGCAGGCCGGGGCAAAATCCAACAATGATAATATACAGTGACAATATCTATAGCTGCTCAGTCACAGTGCTTTGCAGATTGATCGTTCATTGTAGAATGACCATACAATATCGCGCATGTGTGCAAAGGCCTTTGGAAGCTCCCAGCCGTGAATGATCCGAACATGCAGGAGTTAGATCGTTCCAGAGCATGTGCTCTGGAACGATCCAGTTCCTGCATGTTCGGATTGATCTCCAGAAAGCTCAAGCAGAACAGCTTGCAGAAATCATTCGGATTTCCAAGGAGCTTGAAAGGCTGATCATGTAAGAACTGCACTTATTTCTCCGAACTCTCACTCAGACTCATGCATCTCAGTCCAGACAGAATCAATTCTCAAAGGCTGACCGGCTGTTTTTTTGTACTTTGTGATGCTGATGTTTCGTGTCGCTTTTGCAGGAGCGCGACGGATGCAGCAAAGAGATTGCCCGAATGCGTGGTCTGGAAGAAAACCACGAAGCAGAGATGTCCCAGCTCGCTAATGTCAGTCAGGCTGTTTGCAGTTTCACATGAGAACACTCACATAGCTATAGGTCGTCATCTGAAGGTCGAAACCATACAATCTGAGAGGGGCTTATGTGATAATTCGGATCTGTGCGAGGCAAAGCCGCAGCAAATCAACTGCTGAGAAACCCTTTTGCCAGGCTCGTCAGATCATCGTCTCATCCGCGGAAAGGCTCGGGGAGTGTAGGCATCAGTGGGCTGTTTCCGTTTGTGAGTTCTCCAACATGGACTCACAGCGGGTACAGATGGTACCATACAATCTGAAAATGTTTCAGCCACAAGAGAACACATAGCTCATGTCAAGCCTCAATCCTTCTTCGCTTCATGATGCTCGAGCTTGTCATTTTCGACGCGGATGTGCCTATTGCAAAGAGTAGAGTGCTGATCGAGAATATGACTATCACTCAGTCCATGGAAATGTTCCCAATGACAACAACAAGTAAAATATCACGCTTTCATTGAGCCTCATCGGCATTATTGCCAGCTACAAGATGGTACTTTCATGGAAAGTCCCACCCCTGGCACACTGGGTAAGTCTACCTGATCGTCGCCAGCGAAAGGTTTGCAGGGGTACACGAACCATCAAAGTCTTCGAGGATTGTGGGATGACTGTCAAGTGTACGCCCATTTTGATGCATAATATTGCATAGGCAGAGTATGGCATAGTCATGTGTTGTTCACAGCTGGGTTCATACCCAAAAGCAGTAGCCAGGGGTGAAATCATTGTTCACCCATGCAACAACAGTGACATCCTTGCCTGAAACCGAGATTTATTATATAAATTTGCGTGATGCACTCAAACTTTGCACGCGTTCAAAGTCACATTATTTTCTATTCTCTGGAGTGTCGTTGTTTGCTTAGATGCAGTGATTGAAATTTTGACCTCATGCCAGGATCCTAAGGCAAACCCGCTGAGAACTCGGTCCCTTGAGCCCATTGGCGTGTTTGAGGTGTGGGCGTTCGTTATTGTTTTTTTCTGACTGCTATGACTGCTATCAATGCATGTGTGTTTCAAATTCTATTTCAGTTTAGCTGGGTGATACCCATGTTGGATTTTGTATTCCTATCTTAAACCTTTGAACATGTGTTAGGTTTCTTTCTACTCACCCAACTTCGAACACCTGTTAAAGGCAAGAGCTTGGTCCCCCATATCTCGGATTTGTCTTGTGGGTACCCGCTGTCCTCATACCGCAAATGTGAGGTCTGCATGTCCCCATGATCTGGCGTTTTCCGATCGTTTTTCCAGCTCCAAAATGTCCCAACCGCACCTTAAACTCCCAAAAGCACAAGCTTCCGAAACACTGCATGACAACAATGATAACGATCCTTGTGGTATGGTGCTTTCGGACCGAGCCAGCTTCGTCAACTCTTGCTTTAAAGGGCTAGTTTGTGGTGGCAGGCTGACTCGGGGAAATTGTGATCGTGGGCAGAACCTAATTAATTACACATACGGACACGCAGAACTTCAAAGCAGAGCGGGCCCAGGGGTCTGAAAGCATTTTTTGTCCTGCGGTCTTATGATCGGATGGTCCCTAACCAGGAGCCACGGTTTGGGCCGCACTTCAAAGTGCCAGAGTGCCAAGTGTTGGCGAAAGGGCATAAAAAATTAATAAAGATGAGCAAATTTGACCAAAACAAATGGTAATCAATCCATGTCTGGTTGCGGCTTGGGTATACTGATGGAGTCATCGTGACCGTCCTGACCAATAGCCGGTGGTTTCTGAACTGTTTGGACAGTTGACAGACGTCTATTGATGCATCAGTGATGCCCAACCGCGATCGAAATAGGACAGTTTTGGATTCTTCAGGCTTTAGGACTCCAAACTATTTTGGTTGAGACATTCCAACATTTGGGAGTATCTGCTGCCTTCACTGCCGTTCATGTGTTGCTTATATTTATTCAGTGTTATATGCATCGCTGCCTTGTGTTTTTGGTATCATTTTCATTGTGCTTTATTATATACTCCATGCCGGTTACTTCGCCATTGCCCTCCCAAAAAGTGGCTTGCAAGGCGCCCAAAGCACGTTCCGGATGATCTAGAGACAGCTTCTTCATCCGGCGGTTTCACTTTGGTCTGGCATCCAGACTCCCAGAGGGCCTTGTCCTTCCGCTCTGCTGTCGAATCTAGACGTGTCGTTTGCACGGGAGAAAAGAATGTGCGCCAGTCATTTTGCAGATGGTACTGGTACAGGTGGTTGCCCTTTTCCTTGTGCTGAGCAACATCAGATTGAATGTGCACTCCGCTGGTTGAGGTATGACTGGCTTCGAAGTAAACACCCAAGAAAGGAATAAAACAGTACAAAACAGTCGGATTCCCACCTGAATGCAAGGTGGTGCTGCAATGTCACCAACGTTTTTCCCGAACTTCCAATCAAAATTGTGGGCCACCAAGCGGACCACACTCAAAGGGTAGCAAATCCCTACATGAATCATCAATGCACGAATCGAACAGATATCAGTTCACCGGGGTCATTGCGCCCATGCCATGTCGCGAAAAAGTAAGGCTGGGAAACTCCTGGCACCGCTGAATCAGTCTGGGAAGCCTTCGTGACATCTTGACTCATTTAGCCCATAGCAGGTCTTGGAACTGGCTGCCATGGTTGCAGGCCAGGTGAAACAAACACGGGGATGGTTGTCACTTAGTGCAATTGATTTATCATACTTCAAGGTATGCCAAGCGTGGAATGATGCGTTTTCGATTGTTGTATTTTGTGGGGACGAAATTCAATGCCAAGCATGAAATTTTGCCCATGTGGGATCTAGCGTTCTGACATGCCCTATAGGTCAACACCATGACCCCTGCCATCATTCCCCAAGCTCTGCACGATGGCAGATGCGCCCTTGGCCACACGTGATCGGCGAGCTCCGAGTTTGCCGCGCTGCACCTCCGCGCTGCGGTCGATGGCAGGAGTGGGGGAGCCTAGATGCTATGACGGGGGGATCTGGTCAAGATGTGAGTCCTGATGGATTCGGGTGCGAAATCGAACCCCCAAGGAACCTACTAGGTTACTAATCATCCAGTCATCCCTGGTCTGTCATCCTGACTGCAACAATTCTTCTGAGGCTCGAGAGTGGCAAAATGCCACAGCTTTCTTGGAGGACTGGAAGTGATGGTGTGCAGATTCAGGGAATCTGAGAGAAGCAAGAAGATACAACAGATTTAGAATTTCTACATATTTGATCATGTGAAGCCTGGAACATGTAAGAACAGAAACAGCAAGTTGTGAGCCAATGTGAGGCAGAAGCCTTAATGATGGACACCTTCCACGTACTTCTCTTACATGCGGCCCAGCAATCCAAATCAATTCTGAGCAGCACATGGGCATAGTTATCATCCCAATCACGTTTGGTAGCGCAGCAATTCCCTGTTTTGTTTCTGATTTCTAACCTGGTTGAATTCGGAGTAACCGCTGTGGTGCTTGTTTCCTCCAGGAGATGTGGCGTCAGGGTCCGCGACCTGACGCAACCTGCCTGAATGCTGGCATTGGTGCGTGTGCTCGTGTCAGGACCTCATAGAGGATGCTGCTAGGGTTCCAGAGCCAATTCCAAGCCCCGCGGCCCATAAATATCATAAATATTCCCCAAAATAGCAGGTTCAGGAAGTCAAGGGGGCATCCTGTGGTCACAGTGCCCCCAGGGACAGGTATAAAGTGTGATCCTTGGTGAACAAATAATATGCAGCCAACAGCAGGATAAGATTGTTTTTCTTCTCAATTTGCAGAGCAGGCTGCTTCCATCGTTCTATTGCCGGATTGCTCTAGACACTTTCCTTCTTTCAGGTGGCTCCAGTGCCTGTTCAACCGGTTATGCGTGGCTACCATGTTCAAGCTTGATTGACCTGCTGCTGAAACAGGCAGCAGTCAAGTCAAGCAACTCAATTCAAAGTTGATGGATCTTGGCTTGCAGTCGAATTCATATATATATATATATAAATAGTTTTGTTTGGGAAACTGCAGGAAATTCCGGCTTAAATGCGGATTGGAGTTGGCAGTTTTGGCATGTGGTAGCAGGCATGCGTCCCTTGCAACGTCGCAGAGATTATTTTGGGAAAGCAAGATTTTCTTCCTGTTGGTTAAGGCATCAGTTCTTAGGAGTCTTCGCTACAAAACACACCCGCCATGCCGGCTGTGATCGAAGAGTACCAAGATCCTTTGCGATGGAGGTGGGGCCTGTCAGCAGTGGAAATCTGCAGCACTTCAGCAAGAATCAAAGTGAGAAGGAGAATATCCCACAGATTCATACAAATCATATAGTATTTGGGTTTTGTTTCATCTCTTTGATCCAATTTGAAGCATTGGATCCATGCGAAGAAAAACCCAAAGGCCCATGTGCCCAGGTTTGAGGAGGAAGGGAGGAGTAGCGAACTCCGCGCCCAAAGCTGGGAGAATGACCTGTGCCAGGTGCAGCTGATGAGTCCCACCACCAAAAATGTGCGCATTGAACCCCAAAAAAGTTGGTACCCGGCAGCCATTTTTTAGGGCTGATTTGCTGATTTAGTTCTACTGTACACCTGGTGAGCCATCTAAACTTGAGACTGTGACATACAAAATGGAATTTGAAGTTACCCCCTGGTTATTTAACATAGCCATGGTATAGATGGCCCATTGAAATAGATGGTTTGCCGTTCTTAAAAATGGGTGGATTTCCCATGGCGAACTGACTGATTTCACAGAAATGGGAGAATGATCCCCAAGAGCTCTCCATTTTGATAGGTGAAGTTGCTGGCCATGCACCGCCCGACCCATGACTCAGAGCGGGAGAAGGTGCCAACTGGTGATTTTGCATGGGAAACCATGGGTGAAAGGGGGTAGCCCAATTTTAGGAATCTCCGAAATGCATGTAAATGCACCAATTTGGGTTTGGGAATACGAAACATCACATAAAGATATTTGTTGGTCTGAAGTATTGGTTGGGTGATCGAGTTTCAATGAAACATTTGCTGTTAATAGAGTTCATCCACTTTTGGAAATTGGGTTATTGGATTGCTGGAGTTTACAGATTGATCATTTGGAGATTTCCTAAGCTGGAGGTACCCCCAAAAATAATCCAAAGTTAGACTCGGCTCTCGCATGAACTCAGAGGTCCATAATGACACAGCCCCGGACTCTGGTGGTGGGGTCAGTGCATTTGAAACTATGGTGACTGAATATCGTGAAGGTCAAGAGAAGACCAGGGCCAACAATCGGAGCGCCCCAAGAGTTGGTATACGATAAGAACATGCATCATGCACATAATTGTAGTGTCCCCCAAAGTTAGACCATTTTCGCATTGAAACCCATGCTGACTTGGGGATCCCCCATGACTTAGGAAACACCGTATTGTGATGTTGCAGAACATGTTGTGGTTCAACAAATCAGCTGGCCATGGCCAGGATGGGGATTATCCCTTCAGCTGGCACCTTCGCGGACGGAAGCGCAACTGGGAACTCAGGCGCCGGCCTCAGAGCAATTGCAGTACTGGGTGGCCGCAGGGCGCATTGAAGAGGTCTTCAAGTTGGAATGGTTACATCATGCTACATCATGCTACATCATGCTACATCATGCTACATCCACTGAAAGTGACATCCCAACAGTTGAATCCTTCAACTTCCATATTTTGGGTTTCTTGATCCTTTGGCCAAGCTGTGGGTCTGAGGATGCAGCTCCAGTTCAAGGTGCTTCCCAAGGCGCAGTTCACCCTGCTTCGCTCTTTTGGTCGGGTGTCATGTCCAAAATCCAGACACACCTACAAAACACCAAAGAAAACTGGCAAGAATACGTAAGGTCACGTAACACGAAAAAGTAAACTGGCTAAAATCTCAGTTCACCACTGTTTTTTGAACCAAATTTTCGGTTCGATCGTTCTCAAAAAACTTTCCCCACAGGCTACCAGCTACTCCCGGCAGGAGCCTCTGTTCTTTGCCTTGGAGCTGAGCCGTTTCGTGGAGGTGTCGGGTGTCACCCGCCAGGTGCAAAAGGCGCCCAGCAACCCATGGATTCATATAACCGGGGGTTTCCCAAAATATGGGTACCCCAAACCATGGTTTTCCCCATTGATATTTGGATGATGAAATGCCCCCCCCTAAAATTAAGAACACCTCCAGATTTTGATAGTTGTTGATAGAGTTTTTGGTTGCTCATTTGAATGTGATGATCCCTCTGATCAGGTGATGCATGTAACCCATATCCCAAAACACAAATTTAATGATCCCTATTGGCAGTTCATGTCCCATTTTTGATCCAAATGCATCTGTGGTGATCTTTGATGATTGTTTGTCTTTGAACCCAACCCTACTTTGGTGATGGCAGGCTCTGGTGGCGGCATGCCAAGCCGCAGGGGAGTGTTATCACTCCAATGGTAACTCTGACTGCAAGAAGGAACATGAAGGAACAAAAAGCACAGTTGGCTAGAGAACAGCTCGGCTTGTCTTTGATATTTGTTGGTTGATTTGGTGGCCTTTTCTCCTTCCAAACTTCCACTGCTCAGGTCAGGATCCCAGCACCCTGCTGGCCGGTCGGGAGCCAGAACCGCCCACCTTCGCCATGCCTCTATATGCCTTTGACCAGTTTGAGGTCAGGGCCGGAGGAAGGGTCTTTGCCAAAGGCAAGGTTCCCCTTAAACAGTTTTCCCTAGATTTCCTAACGTTGATCTTTTCGGCACCATAGTCTGGGATGGGTTTTTGTTGATTGAGGTAGAGTTAAAGACTTCCCCGCAGGTCTCCCGCAAGGGAACGGAGCCGGACCTGTCGGGTGACCTCGAATCCGTTGGAATGCGTCGGGCGACTCAGGGCCGGCGCATGGTCCTTAACGCCTGGTCCACAGGTCAGGGACTTCTTGGGGCCTTAGGGGTTGGGAGTAGGCAGTCTTGCAGGTGAGGGGTGGTTTTGTTTTAGATTTTCAAGACAGCACATGTTCCAAAAAACCAAGGAACAACACGGATGACTCAGCCACTGAAGATGCTGAGGGTAGCACTGAAGACTAAGCTGAATCAATTCTGTCAGATGTTGATCGCAAGGCAGAAGCGATGGTGCAAAGAACTACATGGCGGCCCTGAAGAAGGCTACAGTCTATAGAGCTGAGTCTTTTGGGTCGCTGAAAATGGACCTCTTTGTTTTGGGTGGATGCAAACAAACAGGTGTTTCTGAGAATTGGGATGCCTCATAATGCCCCAAACCACAGGTTTCCCTGAAAACAACGAACATGTTCGGATAATATCGGGGTGCCCAATTTCAAGAAACTCCTGTTTGGAGACTTCTTTGAGAGAGGATGCCTGGAGTTGTGTTCCGAAGGGGTGAGTCTGACATGTATAGCCTGTATAGCATGCTTTGACAATGGACATGGTGTGGATGTTATGTATGAGTTACCCATTGCATTAGGTTTTTCGTCATGCAAGATTGGAGACCCCCAAACCAGGTTTCCGCACTAGAAAGGAACTCCCTTTGGTAAGTGAGGAGGCCCCAAGTTCTTGAAACAGCCACTGAGTGAGTACTACTATTACGTACAATTATCAGTACGATTGTTCTTTTGCAATCCTTCCTTCCCTGCAGGCCTTAGCCGAGCTCACCACTGAACACGTGAGCTGCTGAGCGGTTTAGCTGGACACCGAAGAAGTCAGGTCCACAAAACAATGGTGATCTAAGATGATATAAGAATATCCTAATGGGAAAATCATGGGAGTATAATCGTGCAGCCAACAATTTGTGCTGATATGTACGAGTGAACCTGGGTTCACTCGAAATGTCGTTCCATTTAATCCAGTTCAGAACAGGATTCCCATAGGGGATTATGATCCCAAGATTTTTTGGGTAGGACCCCATGCCTGGAGGTCTACACCTTCTGCTTCTGGGGTGTGTCGCAATTCCTGGATTGCATCCGTGGGCGGCCCCAGGGGTCCAGTTGTCATAGGATTCGATCCCTTGGTAGATGACCCCGACAGGCTGGGAGATCACCGGAGGAATTGTTCCCGGCATGACGGTGGACTTCAATAGGCGGCGACGCGTGACGCTCGCGGCATGGGCTTTGAAAGGGGGGCCTTGGATTTTGCAGCCATGTTTTTTGTGTCTTTGGATCATTTCAATGATCTGAACCTTCATAGGACATTCATTTTGTGAAATTACTGCTGCCTTGATTCTTGGATCGCCAACATAAAGCACCTGTGGTGTGGAGAGGCTCTGTGGCTCTCCACCAGTGTACTTCAGCGTCTATGAGCTCAACGACTCAGGAGCCCTCTCCGTGCCGAGTTTCCGCCTTTAAACGTCTTGGATTTCCGAGTTGACAGCGCTGCACCAAAGAAAGCCTGAAAAGTGAAGTGGGTTGGGAAGCTTCAACTGACCCATGAGGTACATTGACATCCAGTTGGTTTTTCATCTGATGCGTATGGGTCAAAATCACTGACCCCCCAACAACGACAACGCTTAATATGCAGGAGAAATTTTGAGGATCCACCGGTACTTCCTTTTAACATCTCTTAACCCATACCCAACCGATTTCTTTGACTCACCTTGTGGTGGCCTGTCCAACATCAGGAAGTGAGAAGCGCCACTTGAAGTCCCGCAAGAGGAGACCCAGCTGGACATTGAATTGTCAGTGGGTTGTTTGGCTGGTTTGTTTGAAATATGAGTTGTACTTTGGTTGGTTAGCTAAGGGAATCACTACCTTTTTTTTTGGCCAAACTCGAGGATTCAAAAAGCTGACAAGTTCATATATATGTATATATATATATATACATAGATGGATGGATGGATGGATGGATGGATAGATAGATAGACAGATTTCATACATATTCCACAGGAATGGCTTGCAGCGTCATAATTGTGAGTGAGTGCGAAGGCAGTCACTCTTAGAATCACTTGGATTCTGTCCGAGTACACAAGTAATTACATGAAGACTACCAGAACTGCTCGATTTGAGTTATTTCAATCTGTTTGACTCTGACAATTTTTCGCTTCGCATTCTTGAATTCTTAGTTCGGCCATTGATCAAAGCCATGTGTTTGGGGGGGCAATGGCTCTCTTTCCTTGCAGGAGCTACTTCCGAGTAGCGGCCTGGAGTGCACTGCAACCACCTGCAGAGGCCGTGGGCCATGAGTTGGACCCATAAGTATCACCGGGATGATCCGTGATTTGTTCGTTTGCCGAAACTGTGTTGCACTTGGATGATTCTGATGTTGGGTTTAAGATGGTTGAAGCCAACCAATGTTGTTCTACTAATTATGCCCTGCTGTTCAATAGATTCAGAACCCTTTACTAACTTTACTTCATTGGACTCCAAGTCACTGAGGCCTTCATTTTTGAATTGGTAAACTCACACTTGCCAGGGTTTGTAGTTGGGGTTCCTGCACTCTATGGCTAAACAACCAGCTGCATGGTGCATTCCCCCCGGCAGCTCCAGAAGCGCTTCCAGGCACCTGAGAAACCGTTTACCAATGACGACTTCAGCTGGGACGGTGGCTTTGATTTGCTGGACGGAATTCGCTGCGAGTCACTTGGGGATTGGTAAACATGGTTGAACCTGTGTTGGACCTTCAAGACGACAGCTTGACTTCTGATTTGGTGGATTGCCAACATTCTTTTATAAGTTTTCAAAAATGTTTTGGGGCGCGCGAGTTTGATTCTTACCTGCTGGGATCCGTGGAGGATGCAATAGGGTAGCGGGTTGACCGGATGAATGGCGGCTTTATATATTCGGTCCATCAGCACTGTGCGAATGGGCATGCAATTCACTGGCTTCTTTTCCGCCACTTTTACACATGTTGACAAATTTCACGGCATCACTTGGCATCACCTCTGATTTCTCACTGTTTGGTGTGCTTCATCGTTGGTGAAACCTTTCTGCCCGACTGGCACCGTTCAGAGTCCCGGGATCTCCAGTCATTTGGCAGGACTTAGATCCCACACCAGCACCGGCCACGGGTGGGTACGCCGCCGCGCCAAAGACAGCAGAGGCGTCTGTTGGAAGCTCTGGATGGCCGGGGGTGGACTCCGCCAGCTGTGGACTTGCCAAACTGACAGTGGGGGCTGACCCCAGGAATAGTGGGGCTAGTACGGGCATTGTGACATAGCTAGATTTGCACTGAGCCAGCGCCAAGGTCGACCTGCTGGGGCTGGGATGATGCTGGGAGCGAGAGGAAAAACAGCGTTGAATTAGAGATCTCTGCAATGGAAAGGAAGCATGACAGGATTTCTGATGGAGGGACCTGCTGACCCCAGGCTGCAGCCTGGCAGCCGGCCCTGGCTTTGTTGGAGTCAATGCCGGTGGCAGGCAGATGCTGCAGGGATTAGGTGGGCGGGCGGGTTTCCGGAGTTTCCTATCGTGGTACTACCGGATTTGTTCCATTTTTACGGGCTACAATTTGGCTGAGTCATGTTGGTCGAAGTGGCGAAAATGGAGGGGTCAAGGCAGCCATGACACATAGCATCTCCTGAGATTCTGCAGTGATTCCGCAGTGATAGTGGTAGGACTTGCTCCAGTCAGACAGCAGGGGTTTCGTGTCAGGCCTGGAAAGGAATGTCATCAGCTTCAATACCACCATGACAGCTTGTGCCCGAGCTCGTCATTGGCAGGAGCCGGGAGCAGACTGATGGGCGGTGGGAAGGATGACATGTGTTGAGGAAGAATTCCTTTTTCTCACTGCAATCAACACGATTATTCTTCACCAGCAGTCAGTTTTTGGAAGTGGGAAAGGACCCAGCTTCCGCATAGAGGAAACAAAACATGGATGTTGAGCAACTGATCCGTTCATCATTTGCTGGAAGGTGAGCTTGGAGCTGCTGGGGAAGATGGAAGAGAGTAGCATCCAATCCAGCCATTGACCCAGCTGGCCACAGCGTTGGTGTTGGTTATGCCTTGCAGAAATATCCATCTTCATGGCTATATTATATACATATTCTATAGTTTTCAGCACTCGGGAGAACTGGTCGCTTAGGTGCTGCGACTCTAGGAGCTGCTGTTTCAGCCTGCGAGCGCGGTGGGGCACCCAGCTGAAGCGTAGCCAGGAGCCAGTTGCGGTGCATTTTGAGTTTAGGTCGTGTGATTGTAAAGCGGTGAAGACCTAAAAGTATCAACCGCTTCACACACATCACATGTCCATCTTCTCAAATCTATCTATGTTGCTATATATATAATATATTTATATAACATATTATATTTTATTTGCTGTATATCATACATTATATACTTTATATCATATATTATGTATTATGTTTTAATACTATATATGATGTATTATGCATTTAAGTCTATTTAAGTATTATATATACATTTCTTGTATTATATATGATATGACATGTAATACATTAAAAACTTTATATCATTTATTATATATCATATATCATATATCATATTAAACATTATACATTATATTATATTATATTATACTATATTATATTATATTAAATTACATTTTATATATATTTTATTTTATATGATATATTATACGTTATATATTATATATTATATATTTAATATAATATATTATATATTATATGTTTTACATTATACATTATATGTTTTTTATATTATATATTAAATATTATATATTAGCAAGTTTCACAGGCTCGTGGGATTTTGTGATTTTTAGGAAATATTGGATATCAAGGTCAAGATGCAATATTTGGTGCAGTGTACGTGCACAAGGGTTGCACGAAAAAACTTCAGCGTCATGGTTTGCACGGGTTTGCACTGGATCAGCCTTCCATAAATGGAATTGGTCCAATTAATCGTTCAGAAAAATTGAAACGGTCGGAAACGGTCGGAAACAGCCGGAAACATGATCAGGCCAAAACTTGTCCAACCCGCATTTTTTAACCAAAGGTGTCCAAGGGGAAAGGTTGGAAGCAGTCGGAGATATTATATTATATATTATATATTTTATATCATATATTATACTATTAAATATTATATATTATATATTCTATATTTTTATATATTATATTATATTATATCATATTAAATATATATTTTTTTTAAAAAATATGCTATATTATATTATATTATATTATATTATATTATATTATATTATTATATATTTTTATTGCTTATATTATATTATATTATATTAAATTATATTGTATTATATTATATTATATTGTTTTATATTTTTTTAAATATTATATATTATATTATATGTTCCCGATTCCCAGTGGCCCCCCCATGGTATGGTACCCCTGGTACCCCCACCAAATCTACCATTTGCATGCTGTTGCTGCATTTGAGTCGTCGAGTCCGATTTGCATGCTATTTGAGCCACAACCTTCGACTTGCACCTTATTTGCAGCAGTTCAAAGCCATATTTTACCTTTATAGATACGGCCTACGTCCTAGCCATAACGTATTGTATCCACATGCCTCTTTTTCTACCTGGTATACCTATATACAAGCCATAGCGTATCTATTTACTATTCATCAGTTGCCTATGATTGATGTATTACCGGTACTATACCCACACATAGAACCTATATAGTATTTATAGCGTAGCTATATAACACGTATGTTCTGGTTTAAACAGATAGATAGATCGATAGATAGATAGATAGATAAATAGATAGATAGATACATACATATATATATATATATACATGTATATATACACACTAATGCCTACACGCATGTGCAGCATCGAAAACCACCAGAACCTCCACCCCCCACCACAGGGGGGAGGAGGCAACCACATACTACCTAATCCATCGTACTTATACTGTGCTACATAAACATGCATAGCAACGACCCCCAAGCTATCAATATACCTTTATTTATGGTGAACATTCATATATTTCATGTGTAGTACCAAAATCGTGTATATATATATGAGTATAGAAATAAATAAATAAATAATTTGATAGACAAATAAATAAATTAAAGTATCTGAATATATATATATATGAGAATGAATATATATATATATGAGAATGAATATATACATATATATATATATTTCATATGTATATATGTATGTATAGATACAAATACCTTGTATATTCCATATATAATGCATACAAACTACCTACAGTCTATCTATCTATCTATCTATCCATCCATCAAATCTAATCTAATCTTAATCAAATCTAATCTAACCTCAATCTAATTTTAATCTAATCCAAATCTAGTCTTAATCTAATCTAGTCTATCGATCGATCTATCTATCTATCTATCTACCTATCTGCCTACACATGTATGACCACCCAGTTGCTACTCATTTGGCGCCAGGTTATTATATTGCTTATCCATGTTTTATTGCTTGTATAGATTTCATTTTTAACCTCCTCCCCACCCACCCACACCACAGGGGGGAGGGGGAAACCATGATACCGTCACACCCCCCATACCGCAGGAGAGGGGTACAATGACCATGGGTGGGGGGGAGGGGGGGATCCGGAACCTGGAACGTATATACTACATATCAGATCTACATCAAATATCTATCAATTTAATTAATGTAATCTAAGTTGTGTTATCAAATTTGTCCATGGGTATCCCTATCTCCCATCTGATGCTTTGACTCCAAGGCACGCACTGGACAGGTGCCATACACCTGCTGCAGGAAGCTTGGCGCAAGGGGCCGGGACGCCCGAAGTGCGGGTGGCGCCCTTGTTCCAGCCTTGGATGGATAGGGCATTACCCCAAGGGCCCCAAGATGCCTCCAAACTTGTGACGGTCAAGACACCCATTATTTGCGGATCCAATGACGTCCTATGGGTCTTAGATGGTCTTTTTGTCCAGGCCCTTGCCCAATGTGCTGGCACTGAGTGCTGCTATGAACGCCTGTGGCCAGGGCCAGCGTCCGGAGCCCTGGGTGGAGGTCCTCAGACTTGTGTGTTTTTCATTGTTTTTTCTACTGATTGGTAGTTGGGTAGCCATTTGTTTTCTTGATTTTTCTTGTGGATTCAGGGAATTTCACTGCCATTTTTTGAAGCGCCCAGTTGTATTTGGATGGTTGGGATGGTTGGGATGGTTGGGATGGTTGGGATGGTTGGGATGGTTGGGATGGTTGGGATGGTTGGGATGGTTATTGAACGGTTCTGAAGAGTTCTTATCTCCTGATTTGTCCATATTTGATCATATTTGCAGCTGAAAATGACCCAGTTTCAAAACCGCCATCTGTGAAGGCTGGGACCTGAGTCTTCAACTACTTGGAGAAGCCCAGGGGCCGAAGACTCAATGCGCGAGGTCCAAAATGTGTCAAGATTTGAGATTTTTCCCACCAAAACCATATCTTGGCATTGGCATTTTCTAAGAACACATAGTTCATTTTTTCTTGGTGTACCTGGGTATCTGGGTTTGACCCTTAATGAAACCACAAATCTTTTTTTATTGTCCCGACGTCTGTTTTTTTGGGGTGACAAGCCAGCTTTGACCCACATCCACGTGACCAAGACGCGCAACTGGATGTATCCAGGGCCATCAATAGAAATGGTGGTGCCACGGGGATGTGCGCACGTCAGAAGGTGTTTTTCAAATGTTCTCCTGTTTCAACATGCACAAGGACATAAATACAAAATTTGGGGTCACATACACACAGAGATACTGCTTTTGAGATACATCTAGCAAAACTTCCCAAGTTGATGGAGCGACTTGCTCAGAGTCAGTCAGCTCTTGATGTGGCGCGTCCTGACTTTGAACCACCGAAATTGGAGGGACCCATGGCCGCACCTTGAACTAGCTCATTCTCCATGGGGATCGTATCCCCAAATTAGTTCCCTTCACGCACTGGGTGGGGTACTTTGCCAAGGCACAGCATTGAAGCGGATGCCAGGGACACAGCAGCAACCAGATGGAAGGAGACACCATTTCTCATTTCTATTACTATTTACTATTTTCCTGGAGCTCCTGCAAGTATTTGAGTATTTTTGAGTTTGGAGTTTGGAGACCTTTCAGTCTAAGGGAATCACCTACAACTGTGCGGTTGGGGCTTGCGCAAGAGCAAGAAGGTCTGCAATTTGCGGTTGAGGGTGACTGGAGAACTGATGCCCAGAACTAGCAATCTGAACGCTTCCTGTGGAGTCTTGTCACTGGTACAGCTAGAATAATTTCAGAATGGAAATGAACCAGTCCGGGACAGGAGACTCCAAGAATATTGCCTTAGATAACAAGCAGAGACCTTCAAAGACAGTCATGGTTTTGTTCACTCCCATCACGTGCACATGATGCCATGGCCATATTGGCGGTGCGCAGCGATTTTATTATCTGCAGGTGGGAAGAGACATTGGTGCTGCTGTCACTTAGCTGGATCAGTTTAAGAGGTCTGCTGATTTGATTGCCAAGTGATTATTGTGATTCATTGGAGCTATCACCTTACATTCTTTAGGGCTAGCTGTACTTCTAGCAATTTTTTGAAGCGGACTAACCCCGAAGTGAAGGTCCGACATGCGAAGTCGCGACCTTGTCCCAGACTATGTCACACACAAGGCACCTGTATGTCTTGAAATGCTTGCAGTTCCATCAAAGAAGCTTCTGTCCATCTCCCGCCACAAAGATGAAGTATGTAGCAGCTGCCCAAAAGAAAGAACCGTTTTAACATTTCATTTGCCACTATTTCAGCGGAATGTTACTTGTCTATGTGGGGGTTGCTACACACTTTCCATGCCGCTGCGTCAGTTGGTGAACACTGCTGTGGCTGACAAAGGCCCAAGCTGCGGGAGTCGGCCTCGCAGGGGATTGGTCAGAAAAACACTGGGACCTGAGATGTGATGTTGGTATATTTTGTATTATTTTGTTATATATATATTTGGCATATCTTGACGGCGTTTAGATGTTAGATGTGTTTTATTTGATATATATATATATAATTATATTGATATAAGCATCAACATTTTGTCTACTCAATGGCTTGACCCATACCCAGAGGTTTGCACAACAAGAGACCTTGACTGTCGCCAGATGTCTCAGCTGCAGTGTCAGAGTTACTGAAGCCGGACCAGATTCAGGCGCCATGGGACTAGTCTTGGTGTCAAGGCGCATCATTCTGACAGCTGAAAAAGCTGTCCCAAAAATGGCGCGCTGTCTGTGATGACGGACTTCGGAAAGTTGAGCATTTCTACATGTGAAGGACTGGATCCTTTCCTTTTTCCCACAAGGATTGTTTGCAGGAAAGATCGCCTTTGCAGTCCAAAGGGCTGATGGCAGACAGAAACGAACTTGATGGCAGGCGAGGTTGGTGCGGATTGGTAGTTGGAAATGACAATAACACCGTTGTCATGTATGCTGGCTACGACATCCTGAGAATGACACCCTGCTTTTCATGTCATTATATATAGGAATATAGGGTTTCTCTAGCAGATACCTTAGTACCACTAGTTCAAAGGAGCTTCGAATTTCTTGGTATAGACTGCTTGCTCAGCTGCTTGCAGGGTGTATGGCCATCGGCCAATCCTGTGTGATGAGGTGGTTGAGGTTGGGAGAAACTGACGCGGCCACAGAAAATTCACCACTGGAACTGATGCAAAGCTTGCAAAAGTGTCGATCGGTAGCTATCTTGCAATCCTCTGCGGATGTACCAGGATGGATGCGATGTGAAACTGAAACTGCCATCCAACACTCAGCCATCAATCCTCAGCCGCTCTGTGGAGGCTTTGCAGCCAAGTGCGCCCTCACCTGTCCTGGTGGATGCCACCTTTGGCCGCGGAGGGCACACCAGGCGACCTGCTATGCAGCGGTATCATGTCTTTGCAGAGAAGGCATTAGATGAATGATGAATGGACCCTTGTTCGTTTGACCCGTTTGACGCCTGTGTTTTTCTTTTGCAGAGGATACAGGGCCAAAGTTGATGACACCCTTACCATGTTGAGTATCTCGGGATCTCAGTGCCCCACACACAGGAGACTGCTGGAAGTGCCAGGGGCCACTGTCGCGCACCAAGTCCTGAGAAGATTGCCCCAATCTGCTGAGTTGGGTTTGTCGCAAAATAGGGTACCCCCAAATCCAACAGCTTATCATATGCCATATGCTTCCCTATGAAATGGCAATCTTCAGAAAAACCCATTTCAGTGGGAAAGTTGATGAACGCGGTGCATAGCTTTCGGAGCATTCCGATATCGTGGGAAACAGTACGTTTGCCTGCTTCCTGACGCAAGGAAGATATCACCACGGTTTTTTTGTGCAATTGAAGAAAGGACGCTTACGTTAGAAATCGATTAACAACCCCGCAATTCCCAAGATCAGCTGAATCAAGGTCGGATTTCCACGGTTTCCATTTTCCTGGTTGCTTTAAGTATAGTAGTAACCCCTTTAATGCCTGGGTCATGTGGGTGAGATACACCATGCCAAGGTCTTTGCCCTTGATGTGGACCCCACGGCCATTTCGGAGGTCGGCCAAATGCAGCAGCCTGATCTGTGGCATTTCGGTGGTGGTTTTTTGGGCACTTTGGGAAAGGGTAACTTGATCTATTTTGAGTGTACTTCACTGTATGGTGACTAGCTATAAAGCTATAAAATGCTATAAATATATTTACACTTTATGGATCTATAATCAATTATATTGGATATTATATCGATCTATATAATGATATAAGAATCAGTTGATGTGCTTCACAGTTTGCTTTCGCTACGCTGCTACGCGTCAGAAGTCATTCAGAGGGATCACCTGCGGAGGCAAAGCGACTAGCCTCGCAAGAGCCACGGCTGGTTCCTGTGCAGCACAGCTGGAAAATCTTGGGAAAGGGAGGTTGGGGATGATCGTTTAAGGTTTTTCAAAGTGGAGTTTCTTCCGGGCCAAAACTTAGGGTGAACTTGCCAAGATCAATTCGATTCACAGTTCGGCTACACTTGTCGGATGGATTGTTGGCGTTGGAGATTGTAAATTATATAACTATGGTGAAAACGATGATCTCACCCTTCGACAGGAAAGTGCAAAGTCAAAGTGTCATCCAGAACTCCACCATGATGTGACCGTCAATGTCATGCAAACGATTCAACGCACGGACTCTGGGTATCGTTTGGCCGGGCGGAATGGCACACAATTGATAGACTATGGCGCACTGCTTGCGTGCCTGTGATAGACTATGGCGCATTGCTTGCGTGCCTGTGATGGACTATGGCGCATTGCTTGCGTGCCTGTGAATATCCTTGTTGTTGTGCAACTATACATTTCAAATGCAGACTTTCAAACGGCAATATTGCTATCATACTGTACTGCCTCCGCAAAGGCATGCAGCATTTGGAGATCTTCAAGAGGCGGGGCATGAAACCCAGGCAACCCTGTGACCTGGCATCGATGATTTTACATGGTGATTAAACATACGTAAGTATGGAAGATAGCCCATTTATATCCATTTATAGATGATTTACCTACTAAAGATGCTGCGATTCCAGAACTATGTTAAGATACCAGCGGCCATTTGGGGTCCACCCATTTCGGGAGGCACTTCCTCCTGGCACCCGTCTCCATGCGCTTCTTGCGGATCTTGGGGTTTCGTCCCCCCAATTGGTTGGGGCGCCCAGAATAGTAACACCTGGAAGTCATTTGGATGTGGTGGTCGTTTAGCTGGCGATTGCATTGACTCCGAGGACCAGAAGCACCGCGGATTCTCACCCATTGAGGACCGAGACATCCCAGACCGCTTGAGCTGCACACGGCGTCAGAATCGCCCAGCTGCATAGGACGGGCCTTTGGATATGCGCATGCTTCTTGGCAGCATGTGTTCAGATGCTTTGGAACTCTTTGCATCTTGCAAAGTCCTGTTTGGTCTTGGGCTTGCACTCAAGATGAAGCACCCTAAACACCCTTCAAGCATTTTGTTGGAATCTTCCCAAGTCAAAATTAGGTCATGTTGCTAGCGAGTTTCCTTATCAAAAGCACTTTCAGGTCTCAGGTCTTTCCATTGATGACTTGCGTTCGCCAATTAGGAACCCACCTTGAATCAACAAATTTCGGCCCCAAGGAATCCAGATGTCGGAATACCCGCGTCTGAATGGTTAGAAACAGTGTGCGGATGCCTGGACTTGAGGCGTAGGCACCAAAAAACAATAAGTAGGGATCAAAAAAAACTAGACGACGGTTGGCCCGAGAGCGAAAAAGATGTTATTCAAGCAGCTCTGAGGATGGTAGTCGTAAAAGATAGTCGGTGAATAGTTGGTGAATTTTATATGAGCTATGGAAGGATATGGTGTGAAAAAGTAAGATTGACTAAGAAGAGGATACTTGGTAAAGGGCATCAGATGACACGTGTCTTGCAACCACAGAGAGAAAGAGAGAAAGAGGGAGGAGAGAGAGAGAGAGAGAGAGAGAAAGAGAGAGAAAGAGAGAGAGAGAGAGAGAGAGAGGGAGAGAGAGGGAGAGAGAGAGGGAGAGAGAGGGAGAAGGAAAGGGGGGTAGAAAGAAAACATGGAGAAATATAATGTGAGCAACAAAAATGCGCAGGAGGCTCGTACCATGATGCTGCGAACGACATGTGCTATCTCATTTTACTATGGTAACTCCTACACACATTGCCGAAAAAGCTCGGCACCATCATTCCGTGAATGTGAAGAAACGCGACGCTTTTATACAGAGGCGCTTTTATACAGAGACGCTTTTACACACAGACGCTTTTACACGCAGACACTTTTACACACAGACACTTTCACACAGAGACGGTTTTACACGCACAAGAACTTTTACGCACAGACGCTTTTACGCACGGACACTTTTACACACAGACCCTTTTACACACATATTGTTTTACACACAGACGCTTTTACACATAAAGACTTTTACACACAGAAACTTTTACACACAGACACTTTTACACACAGACCATTTTACACACAGACGCTTTTATACACAGACGCATTTACACACATACCATTTTACACACAGACACTTTTACATACAGAAGCTTTTAAGTACAGAAACTTTTACACACAGAAGCTTTTACACACAGACACTTCAGACACTTTTACACACAGAAGCTTTTACGCACAGACCCTTTTACACACAGAAGCTTTTACACATAGACACTTTTACACACAGACCATTTTACACACAGACGCTTTTACGCACAGACGCTTTACACACAGACACCTTCACACACAGACGCTTTTACATACAGACCCTTTTACACACAGACCCTTTTACACACAGACGCTTTTACACACAGAAGCTTTTACACACAGAAGCTTTTACACACAGACCCTTTTACACACAGACGCTTTTACACACAGAAGCTTTTACACACAGAAGCTTTTACACACAGACCCTTTTACACACAGAAGCTTTTACGCACAGAAGCTTTTACACACAGAAACTTTTACACACAGACCCTTTTACACACAGACGCTTTTGCGCACAGAAGCTTTTACGCACAGAAGCTTTTACACACAGACCCTTTTACACACAGACGCTTTTACACACAGAAGCTTTTACGCACAGAAGCTTTTACGCACAGAAGCTTTTACACACAGAGGCTTTTACACGCAGACTCCTTTACACACAGACGCTTTTACACACAGACCCTTTTACACACAGACCCTTTTACACACAGAAGCTTTTACGCACAGAAGCTTTTACACACAGAAACTTTTACACACAGAAACTTTTACACACAAACACTTTCACACGCAGAAGCTTTTACGCACAAACACTTTCACACACAGAACCCCTACCTTTCCCATATGTAGCTTCCAATGTTTTTTTTTCTGATCCCTAACTTATTCTTTTTTGATCTCTTAGATGATTTTTTTGATCCCTAACATTTTTTTTTGATCCGTGTCCCTGGACTTGATAACTCCACTGGTAGTGACGGACAAAAGGAATTTGAAACTTTGCTTTGATCTCCTTCCAGGCTTCGCTATTTTTTTGCAGGTCAGCCTTCAATCAAGGGGGGTCCTTTGACAGAGACACTGCAACTGTACCATTCTAACATATCTGACATTTGACTGCAATCTTTTCAGTCTGGAATCGAACTCTGCACTTGCAGATGCTTGTCATTCAAAATTTCTGCGCTGAGGAGTCCGGAGGAACTCGCATGGGTGATCCATACCTATGGAGAGGAGTTTTTTGGAAAGCTGGTAGGAACATCATATCAAGGGTCATTCCAGCTTCCCAAAATGGAGGGACTCTACATAAGTGTACCATATAGAACTTATTTTGGGGGATATCTCTGAAACCTCTAAGTGGTCAGTGACCATCAGCTGATCCAGGATCGAGATGCCTTCCTGGCAGCGCGCCTGGCAGAGGCTGGGATGTGCTTCTGCCATATAGATATTGAAACAAAAACACGAGGTTTCAGAATCAGGGTTTCAGACTAAAACTGCATATTTGGTACCTTCCACTACCATTTTGTTTGGTTTTGTGGCTTTGTTTTTGATGTTTTTTGTCCTCATTCGAAAGCATCTGAATGCAAGCGTTTGAATGTTTGAAGGATGTGTTGGCCTTGGTTCAGTGGTTCTCGCTTGCAGGCCATTTGTGCCAAGCGACCCTTCCATCGAACCAAAGAGTTGGCGGAGGTGGGGCTGTTGGGGGGAAGTACAGTAAGTGGTCGACCTTCAAACTGAACTAAATGTGTATCGAATTGTCCTGTTTGTGATGATGTTTTTCCAATGATATCCCATTTCAAGATGATTTTCCCACTAAAAACCTCCATTTATGGTTTCTGGTAGCGCCAGCGCTTAGGTCGTAGCAGAAGTGAAGGAACAGACCTTGGGCAGCAACCCATTTCAACAGCCGGCGAGGCTGACGTTCCAGGCCGGTGAACGCCGCCTTGCCATGCTGGGTTTATATTTCCATCCCTCCAAATCAAGATAGAGGCTGCCATGAGTTGGGTGGGAAGATTGGGCAACTCGCCCACCTGGAGGCTGTTCGTTCACACTTGAACCAGGAACTGCAACAGTCCGGAGCCATGGTTGGAAGATGTTGGAAGCATTTCCCATGGCGGAAGGGTAGCCTAGAATTAGGTTCTCATGTGCAGTATCGTTTTTTTGATGGGGATGATGAAGATGATGTTGTCGTGGTTGCAAAGCCCAGATGATAGGTGTTTTGCTTCCTACGCTTCCTGCAGAATTTAGATCTTTTTTGAGTCCACGAATGTCACGAATGGGCCTCATCATAAAATTTTGCATGCACTTGTTGTCATCAACTCACACTGGTAGGTACTTCATATATCGGTGTGGCCAAGTTGTTTTGTTTCGTTGGAATTGAGGCTGGAGAAGCTCCTGTCCGCAGCATTTCAGCTGCTGGAGCTGGGTGGCCGGGCCATCATCATTTGCTTCAAGGCCTCTGAGGCCATCGAGGGCAAGGGATGGATGGGATTTTGCTGACAGCTGCTGAAGCTTGTTGCAGGTCTCCACTGTAAGACGCTGGCTGCGGCAGAATGAGGACAACTTGTGCTTTTGGAATGATAGAGCTGGCATTTGAACAGTTGAAGATTGTCTACAACTTGCTGCAGCTTTGCTGGGATGCTTGGTTTTTCTCGGGCATTTTGCCAATCAGTTTGAGGACTGCAAAGCAACAGTGGTGGAAGGATGGGCAGAGGCGCCGGCTATGCATTTGTTATGTCAGTGTGAATGATGCGCAGTGCATCGTGCAAATCGAGATGTTGCTCCGATAGGAACGAATCCTTGCGCTATACCCATTGCTGCAGAGAAGCCACGAGGACGTTTGATACCGGTAATACCAACTTCTGACCGGGAGATGGCTACCTGGTTGGGATCCCCAACATGTCGAATCCAGGAGCAGCCTTGGTGTGCCATAGAGGCGGGCAGAGTGGCCGCAGAGGTCATTGAAAATCAAAGTATAGTACAATAATATGATATAGATTCTTAGATGATATAGTATGTATGTGTATCTCTACTGTACATGTTTTGGATGTTTTTTCTTGGGTAGTTGTTCTTGTAGGGAACTGGAGATGGTGAATGATTTTGACCAAGTCCTGGCAGCCTTTCAGCAGGTTCAGGAGCCCTTGAAACCCTCCGAGGCAGAAGTCCAGGCGCATCCGGAGCGATGTTGGAACACTTTAAGATTCAGGCAGTCTTAAAATAGTCTCTACCCGGTAATTTAACATAGCTATTGAAAATCACCGTGTTTATAACAAGCGTATTAACTACAGTATGTATATATATATATGTGTATATATATATATGTATATATATATATATGGATAGTCTGGTTGAGAGCCCCCAATGAGAGCCAGCCGTCCATTCTACAGCAGTTGAACACGAACGTTATTAGGGGGGCGTGTGAAACGTGCACAACTTCTGTGAAACGTGCACAACTTCTTGCAAACGTGGACAACGTCAATGAATTCGATGACAAGTTCTCAAACACTGCAAAGAGCTCTTAATCAGACTATACCCATATATCGGGATAGTCTGGTATACATATATATATATAACATACATCATTATATAACATGGCCATTTTCAATCGCTATGTTAACTCGAGAACAGTAGGAACTTCCATGGCCAGGCCAACACCCGCGCCCGATCAGCTCGGGCGTTAGTCTTGGAGAAGCGGAGTCGGAGCAGGGGACCGCTTTGCAAAAAAAAAGGTGTTTGGCGGAGATAGCTTTGCAAATGGCTATTTGCAAACCTACGACATTGAGTTGAGATGAGTTGAGTCACTGCGATTTTGTGGAGGTCAGTGAAAAATGATGGGTTCGGGTTGTCACTTCAACTGCAACTCTTGGACGGTTCCATTGTGATGATGTCGCACTGAAGCTTTGGTTCGTGTCCTGACACCATTCAGCTCAGAGAGGGGGATGTCCAATCTTCCTAGTGCTTGGCTACGGCATCCAGCTTTGATCTCAGATGGTAGTTTTACTCTTAGAAGTATCTCCAGGGGAAAGGGATCAGCAATGGATCGGGTTCTTCAACAGCTGCTTCCTTCACTGTGTCTTGATTGTTTGCTGCCTTTCTTGACTCCCGTACTGTTTTGCTGTGGGCTGCACCGATGCCATGCTCAACAGTGAAACTCATGATATCCCACTATCAAACGAATCATTTCCTCACAGATGGTGAGTCTGCTGATGGCAGCCTATTGATTTTTCAGGTGCTGATGGCACGCCGAAGATTGGCAGCATCTTGGCAATTGATGGGCCGCGGCCTGTGCCTTGAAGTCAGGCTTAAGGAAGGGATCCTTCATTTGGGGTCTGATATGCAATTCACTTTCGGAGGTCCTGCGCTATTCCACTTGGGCTTAATGGCACTATTTTGTAGTTCAGATATCATCTTGAGTGAAATGGTTGAAACTTGTAAACACTTTCAAGGCTCCAAAGCATCCTGTCTCCATGGCAAAACATAATGTTTGTTTCAAAATCATTTTTCCACCCAAAACGAAAGAGATCTGGCGAGTGCATGATCCCTTGAGAACGGAATATTTTAGGACACTTTCCGCTTCCAAGAAAGAGTTGTATAAACCACTTAGTTCCCAAGATGAGAGAGTTTACATTGGCATCATTTGGATATGTCGATCACTGTACCCGACTGTACCCCAAAACATAGCCGTTTTGAGGGATTTGATCCTTGCCCCAAGCCGCGACTCCACTGAGGCCCTAGTGGCATGCCTTGCGGTGGTGCCGCTGTGCTTTGTACCGTCTGTCCCAAGGAGGTGGAACTCAACCTCGCGGCTTTACAGGTGCTTGGCATATTGGCATATTGGATGATTATTGACCGCAGGCGACTGCAGGTACCAGGAAATACTTGGCAGTTGATTGCTTGTGCCTTGGCAAGCTGATGGCCAACTTGAGGTTTCCTAAGTCTCACAGCAAGCTATGTGGAGTTTTGGATCCGGCTCAGGCGGGCTGAACCAGAAGGCCAAGCCTCTTCCGACATTCCTGGCGATGCTGGAGAGGCTGATAGGCAGGGTCTGACAAAGACAGAAAGCAGTGGGAAAGGCCACTTTAGGTGACATACTTTATCTATATCGATTTGGAATCATTGTAATCATCCTGCAAGTTCTGGATTTATTTATCTATTTATCTATTTATCTATGTATCTATTTATTTATCTATTTATTTATCTATTTATCTATTTATCTATGTATCTATTTATTTATTTATTTATCTATTTATCTATTTATCTATTTATCTATTTATCTATATATATGTATTATATTTATCTATTTATCTATTTATCTATTTATCTATTTATCTATTTATCTATTTATCTTGATGATGATGATGATGATGACGATGACCATGATCTGCAAGTCTCAAGCTACTCTGGACTACTCGTCTCGGGCAACAAACAGCTGAAGAAAGTTTGGAGCATTGAGAGCGCGTCTGCCACTGAAATTTCACTCGCGTGTCTCAAAAACCCACTGAGTTTCTTACTCTGCTGCTTCAATTCAATACAAACAAATGCAGATGTTTTGGAGAAATGTCTCGCCTGGGCTGAGAAGGACGGCTATAGGCTCCATATGACAAGCAATACGACGATTTTCTTTTCAACTGACAGCCGTTCCATAGCGTGTGCAATCAAACTTGGGATGATCAACTATAGTACCAAGCTTTGAACATTGCGCCTGGGCTTCAGGGCTTGGTGGAATGATCCCAGCACAGCTTCATTGGTGGAGAAGTTGCAGGTGGGAAAACTGAGCGCGGAAGTCTGGGTAGTACAGCTTTTGCCACACACTTGTGCCACTCATGCAGATTGTCTTCATATGACGTGTATATATATATATAATATATATAATATATATATATATTATATATAATATATATATTATATATAATATATATATTATAATATATATATATATAATATATATAATATATATAATATAATATAATATAATATATATATATGTATATATATATATGTATATAATATATATATATAATATATACATATATATATAATATATACATATATATATATATTATAGATAGATAGCTGTCCATAGATGGAAATCTATAGATCTACATGGTGCCTCAATCCTTCAACAGATGAGTCACGTCTAAAAAGGGCATGGCGGCATGACCCATCGATTCAAAAGCCACGCGAGGTAGAAGAAACCACAGATGCCTTGACCAAATTAAGGAGGCCTTGGGCCTTGGGCTTCCTGGCGATGGGATCCCTGAGGGCATCTTTAACGGTTTCAGCTAGGCGTGAGCAACCGGTTTTAGTTTAACCCCTCACGAAGATTTCCAGAAGTGTTCAATTTAGCTTGTATCCAGCTTTTCAAATTCATCAGGCCCTGTGTTTGCGACCTGTCATCGCTGTTGACCGTGCGTGTCATCAATCTCGAATGAACATGGCAGTGTTCCCCCTGAATGAAACTGGATTTCAACGCCAAAGCCTTGCAAAGTCGTGGGAAAGCAAGACTCCCCCTGCATTTGATTTGACACCAATCTCCGATCACCTAGATATCCTACAATAACCTGAAGTTATAGAACTTTTCTGAGCATCTAGAATCTATATCATACCATAAATCACCTATCATCACAGATGCACATAATATTGTTTAGATATTTCCGTCATATTCCCCAATAATATTCCATATTGAACCCACTATCGGATACCTCTGGAATCATCTCCATGTTCTGCCAGGCAAATGACCCTAGAGGAGCAAGCCTTTGACCAAGAAATCGAGGATGCGGGGCTTCCCTACCGCAGCTTCCAAAACTTCACGATGAAGTCATGGATGGCATGGTGAATTTGTGGCGAATCTGGGTGATGGAGATGGATGTTGTATTCAATCCCAAATGAAAAGACTAGCAAACACTGGGATATTCGCCAGCAATCATGAGTATGGGTCAAAGGTAATTTGTCCCCTGCAAAAATTAGATGATGGGGCACCACATTTTCCCAACATCCTAGATGAAACGATGTTGGCAGAATATCGATTCCCACTTTCTGGTTGATGTCTGGTTGCTCAACAGCCTTCAACAGCTACGGATTGGCAAGCCTTTCCCGCCAAGGTGGTGATTGCAGGCAAAAGAGCTTTGCTGAAGCGAGGAGCATAGAGGGCATGGAGAGCATAGAACCGAAAAACAGATGGGCTCATCTCAGCACAGATCTAGAGTAGGAGCTAGACAAGAGCCAGCTTGAGTTTCCAGGCAAAGGGAAGATTCAAACTTCAAACCACATGGGCCAAAGATCCCCCGTTGCAAGGCTCCGAATGCAGCGAGCTGTGGAAATGCCTGGGTCTGGCTGTCGAGTGTTCATGCTGTTGCTGTGTTGTCGACCTGTGCTGCCGATGCCTCATGTGTGAGTTCCTGGCCAGGATGAAGACCCACATGTTCAAAAAGATCAGAAAGCAGATTGCCAGGGCTTTGTCTTTGAGGCGATCAGATTGGAGTCCGAATGGTATCCAAATGGTATCCATGGTGCTCAGATTGGATGCGACTCTGCTTGATGGCTGGCAATGGATAGCGTTTACGACCATTGCTTGCTGGAAGATCAAGATTACCTTTGTGCCACAGCATTCCTGGGTGAACCTAGGTCTGGATTCTGGATTGTTGTTTTTGCTTAACATTTAGGCAACCATGAGGATATCATCTATAATCATCTACAATCACATATATGTATATATACATATGTGTGTATCAATTGTACCAGTAGTACCGCACAAGGCGGTGGCGGAAGTTTCAAAAATAGGAAACCTATAGGAGAAGTTGGTTGTTGTGAATCAGGGATGGCAGAGCGAAGCCACTGATTGACCGAAAGGTGGTTGGAGTTGTGTTTGCTGGAATGGTTGCAATGGTTGCAGTGGTCACCTCACCCACAACTGCTGGATGTAGTGTGATGTACTGCAACTGTAGTTGTAGTTGTAGCGTAGTGGAGTTGTAGTTGTGGTGTAATGTAATTAGTGTAGCGTAGTTGCAGTCATATGGTTGTAGCTGTAGTTGTTTTGTAGTTGTAGTTGTAGTTGTTGTAGTAGTAGTAGTAGTAGTAGTTGTTGTTGTTGTTGTAGTTGTTGTAGTTGTAGTTGTAGTTGTTGTTGTTGTTGTTGCTGTTGTAGCTGTTGTAGTTGTAGTTGTAGTTGTTGTGTAGTTGTTGTAGTTGTAGTTGTAGTTGTTGTTGTGGTTGGTGTTGTTGTTGTTGTTGTTGTTGTTGTTGCTGTTGCTGTTGCTGTTGTCGTCGAAGTTAGGGTAGTTAAGTTAGTGAAGTTAGTTAAGTTAGTCAAGTTAGTTAAGTTAATCAGTGTCTACTTTTTCGACATCTTCACGTCAAAAAAAGCTCAAAACCCTCAGTTTTTTAACACTTTTGACTTCGAAATGTGCTTCGCGCCACAACGACGTGCACTTTTTCGACACTTTTTCGACATCTGAACCTCCAAAAGTGGTCCGACATTGGTGTGCTTTGTACATTTTGACTTCCAAATGTGCTTCGCGCCACAACGGCGTGCACTTTTTCGACATCGCAACTTCCAAAAGTGGTCCGACATTGGTGTGTTTTGTACATTTTGACTTGGAAATGTGCTTCGCGCCACAACGGCGTGCACTTTTTCGACATCTCAACTTCCAAAAGTGGTCCGCTCCTCTGGTGTTTTGTCACTTTTCACTTGGAAATGTGCTTCGCGCCACAACGGCGTGCAATTTTTCCTCTCTCATCTGGCCAGCTGGCTCCGCACCCGCCGCTTTAGCGAGCCTACTTTTCGACCCTCCGGAGCCACAAATCATCGGAAAAACACAGTGAATCGCGACTTTCCTATCTTTTCGCGCATCTACCTCTTCTTTCTTCTGATCTTTTCTCTTCTGACTCTTCTCACCTCTGCTTTTCAACTGTCCATATTGTCGGAAGTATAGCTTCTAAACTTCCTTCGATAATCATTCTGCATGTTTTCGTTTATCCATCAATCATCATCAATTGCCTCTCTCCCTCTCTATCTACCTATCTACCTATGAAATAAATCTCCAGCCGCTTTCTCTTGGGCGCGCCAGGCGCCAGCGCGAGATCGCGCGCGGCATCACCCAAGAGCAGAGCCGACGCATGCGACGGCGCAAGCGCTTAGAGCTGAAGGTGAAGTACGAGGAGCCGGCCACGTGGGGGTTTCCAAAGGCGGGAACCCCAATAGCTGGATGGCTTATTAATTTATAATGGACAATCCCAGCTATAAATGGATGAGAACTGGGGGTAGCCCTATTTTAGGAAACCTCTGTTTCTCACTGGTGCTTAGCAGGGAATGGGGAATGATCCAGAACTATTAAGAATCATCCCATTCCCCCGTTCCCTACTAAGCACCAGTAAGATTTTGTTATGGTCTTAATGTATGTTACGGAATAGCATCATTTCAAATGTGTAAATCATCTAGAGATGACTACTGATGAGTACAGCAATAATGATTAAGGATGATTAAGGATGATGAATGATTATAGTTGATTCATGGTGATCATAGATGATTTTAGATTATTATATGCCGGTGAAATAGTATTCTTGATTGGTTATGGGGGGTTTTGTAACCTACCTAATTTATCGGGATACGGTTCTTGCCAACCAGTATAATGGGATTGGATATAACGGCCTGCTAGTTGCACTCATCATATCGATGGCCCATCTGGTTCCATGAGTTATCTATTCAGAATTGTGATTTTTCCATAGCCATGTTAAATTTCCAGAGGTGGCTGAAGTTGTGTTGGTGAAATATGTTTAGGTGCTGGTTATGCTGGTTATGCGGGTGATCCTGCTTGGTACTTCAGCTGCTGGGTTTTTAAGGGGGGATTGGCCGATGAACTGCGGATCCCCAAACAAGCATCAAAGAAGAAGCGGTAGAGCTCCACTCGTGAGGTTTTGGAACCTCGTCATTTAATCTTGTGAGGTGGCCAACAGATAAGAAACCAGAACCCTCCTTGCTCTGCATTCTTTCGCCAGCAGTTTCCCTTTGAATCTTGTTGACCCAGCCATGAGCATTTGCCCAGTGGAGGATGCTTATGGTGGTGAGCGCAAAGGTCCAAAGTGGTCGGCTCAAGGAACACTTGGTTCCAAGTTTGTGGGCCAGAAACGCATTTGAGATGATTGATGCTAATTTTTATATCTACCATATACCAGCAATTATTTGCCAATTGCCATCAGATGATTTGCCAATTTTTGGCAGCAAAGCTATGCCCCGAGGTCCCGCCGTTGGCTTCGCCGCATGGGCAGAATCGCTGGGAGGCCCAGCCTAGCGGAGAGGATCAGATACCGCCGAAAAAAAGGTGGTGCCCCCCAGTTTGAACTTGATTTATCACCCCCATTCCGTAGATATGTAATATGTATAGATATGTATAGATATGTATAGATATGTATAGATATGTATAGATATGTATAGATATGTATAGATATGTATAGATATGTATAGATATGTATAGATATGTATAGATATAAATTATTTAGACTAAATATATCTAAGAAACTCCACTTATAGTGATAGTTACATACCACAAATCCTGGTCATGTCAGTTATAAACCAACTTGGTTAAATATGGGGCACAACCTTGGAACCTTGCCCAACGCTCTGAGGTCTGATGTGGCTTCTCGGTGATGCTGCGTGCTGCGCGGCAGAGGCAGTCAACATCAACAGGCAGTTCGCACGGACACCATAGAACATACACATGTGCAGTAGTATCTGTACATATCTGTACATTGTGAACATTTTTTTTTTTATCTTTCTCTCTGTATGTATCTGTATATGTATGTATAGATACTATATGATAATACTATTTGTACATTGTAAAGAGTATTTAAAATGAATGAGTGATTGTCTTAAGCCCGCCTGGTCTAATGTCACCTGCGTGGTTGTCCTGGGGAGTAGAAAACCTGTCTCCACTGAGTTCAAGGAGTGATGCGTGACACTTCGCTGTGAAAAAAGTGCTGCATTTCTCAGGCGGCGATTTCATGGGGTGGAAGCTAGGTCTGCCGCCACGTCACTTCGAACCTGCAAATCGTAGATCAAAAATCTTTGGCGAATTTAAGATGCGGACATGACAGTCACATACTGTAGCATACTGCGAGCGAAACGTGCGTCAAGGCCGTCGTTAAGAAGGATATTTCCCTAATCTGCTATGCACAAGTAAAAGGTTCGCATGATTTCGCACGGACACGTGGCAAACTCTCGCACGGACACGGCAACGCAATGGCGACCCAAATCTTGGTAACCGAGCGGCTTCAAAAGGTGCAGCGTTGATGGAGGTCTTCTCGAGGAATGTCCATGCGATAGGCTCGTGGATACTTCTTGGAGGACTGAGGAAGATTCATGTAGACCTCACAACTGACTAGGAATCATATTATGTAGAATGTAGACACAACAGACACAACCATGCAGGAATCAGAAGGCAATCAACCTTGTTTCAAGCCGCATCAAGTGTCTATACTGGTAAGCGGCATGTAAACGAGATTCAACATGTACTCAATGGGAATTTCAGGATCCGAAAATGGAGGTACAGTACTGTACTTTATAAAGCCATATTTCGGGGGCATATCCCCTTACATAGGCCTTATACAGGCCTTATATATGGTAGGTACCTCCGATTTAGGTTCCTGAAATGGCCATTGATGTACGGAGACTCATAGAGAAATGAAGCTTTAGCTGAAAGGGGCCACTGCGTGGCACAAACGAAAGGAACGACTTGTTTGTTAGCCTTGAAGGTTTGACATCAAAGATATTCCAGCACCCTTGTGGTGCTTAACTGACTCACTCAGGACAGGAAAGAGTGGGAGAAGAAAAGGTTTGGAAACCAACTCAAAGATATATAAAGTTGCAAAAGATTTGCATGCAATGGCCATTCGTGCAAGATCCTGCCGTGTGCTGCTTGCCCAATTCTTTAGGGAACACAGGAATCGCGGCCGTGCCCCGACTCCTGCTTGCCACACCCTGATGGACAGATGCAAAGAGACTAAGCACTTGTTGCGGATGAAATTTCCAGAACATGTGGAGCACAACTCGAACGCGGCAACGTATGGCGACATTGCTGTAGGCGTACTCGTAGCCACTCTTGCGGAACCAACAAATGGCGTTGTGCTCATCAATGGGGTGCCCATTGATTTGTCGATCTTTGTGTAACCTTGGTGGAGTTGTTCAGAGGGTTTATGTTCCGAATTGCCAGATAACATGTCAGAATAGATGCCATATAGAATGCCAGAAAAATCGTGGAATGTATCCCAGAAAGTATGTCAGAATAGATGCCAGTCAGAATGTCAGTATACATAATATATATACATATATATATATATCAGATATACTTCCAGATTCTCAGATGGTGTGTCAGAAACGATGTCAGAATAGTGTGTCAGGGTGGGATCACTCTAAGAAAGTAATTCCTCCACAATCCTTTTTATATGTGATATTCCCATTATGGTTCCACGCTTGTTTCCCTTCTGTCCAAAATGAAGGGACGTATCCCCTCCAATAAGTTTCGTTCTGCGTGTGTATATATATATACACACACATATACATATATATATATATTCAGATGATATTCCTCCTGTTGTTCCATGTCATGTCTGTTTTTCCCCTCCCAATGTGAAAGGTCGTATCCCCCCCACACCCTTCTTTTTTGTGATATTCCCCTGACCCCTCTGATTATTTCACCTTCCGACCCCAAGATACGTTTCATGTACAATATATTTTTCCCATGGTTCCATAATTGTGTCGCAGACCCCAGCGTCCTGCTTTGTACGTGACATTCCTCCTGAGATTCCATGATTGGTCTTTCTAAGGCCGCAGGTGACCCGTGACCCGAAACACGGCAGCAACATAACCAACACACGTTGTCTCTTCACAACCACCGATACCTTTAAGACGGAAGACTTGGCGAAAAGCATGAAATCAGGCGACATTTATTAAACACAGCTGCAAGATAGCAGTCTGAACAGACGTTTCCCATGTTTATCCACAACCACCAAAATAATCTATAGTAAAATCATCAGTACATAATCGACACATCACAGACTGCGATACCTTCAAACAAACCGTAAAATGTGAGAAAGGTAATGAAAGGTATCACAGAAGATGGAATTCATTGAGAACAGCCGCAACATTGCCGTTGCGACATACGTTGTCCATCCAGCACCACCTGAAGCCGCACGACTTGGTGAACACCAGCCGTTGCACCAACACCACGAACATCAAGAGTATTTGACACATATTGCGACAACTTCAAGACGCAAAACTGGCGTAAGGAATCAAACGCATCACCGGAGTTCACTAAACACAGCAACTACATAGCAGTCCCAAAACACTTTTGTTCAGCCAGAACCACGACAATCAAGATATGATTGTCGATCGAAAGGGCCATGAAGAGATTGTCCAATACAACGGCCGCCAGGGTCCCAACATGAGACCCCCGCGAAAGATAAACGTGGGTCTGTGAAAGATTCGCGACAGCAAATTGTTTAGTCGCGAAGAATGGATGGTTGCAGATAAAGGAATTTAGATCAACCGCAATATACATATTGCACTGCCTTCAAGCTGCAAATTTGGTTGGATGCAAAAGAGAAGACAGAATTCCCTACACCCAGCAGCAACAGAGCATCCGGACCACTCCTTCCCCACCTAAACATTTTCAAAATGAAGGGCAGTCGGCACATACGATTTGTATGCGCGATCCAGTGCACGACTTGGTGAAATTATTGCGCAAGAGAGAAAGTAATAAACACAGTAGGAACATAGGTGCCCAACACACGAAAAATTAAGTCACAGAGCGGCAACACAAAAGTTTGGCACACGCTCGTTGTCCAAGACCACAAAGACAAAAGTATTCGAGATGTACCATTTCTGGGTGCGATATTTTTACGCTGCATGACTTGCCCGGTGGAACCAATACAGGCTCTTACTGGCTACATCATCGCGTGTAGACATAACAGTAACATCGTGTAAACACTAGAACAAGGAGGGCTATTTATTTTTGTTTTTTTTGTTCGCGGCAGGTTTTGTTTTTTTTGGGGGTTCCTGGTTCTATGCTTTCCTGTTTCTCTGATTTTCTGCTTTTCTGCTCCTCTGCTTTTCTGCTTTTTTCTTTCCCTGCTTCTCTGCTTTTCCCTGCTTTCCTGCTTTTCTGCTTTTCCTGCTTCTTTGCTTTTCTGCTTCTCTGTTTTCCCTGCTTCTCTGCTTTTGTACTTCTGTGCCTTTCTACTTCTACTATTCTACTTTTTCTTTTCTTCAGTCATGTGTTTTTGCTGCTCTACTTCCTGCTCCTTTGCTTCTTTGCTTCCTGTCTTTACTGTCTCTTTGTTTTTCATTTTCTTTTGCTTTATTCTGTTCTGTTTGTATCCTAAATGAAACCCTAGAGAGGCCCTAGGGGAAACCCAAAGAAACCCTAAAGAAATCCTGATAAGAAACCCTACATGAAGCCCTAAATGAACCCTAAAGAAACCCTAAATGAACCCCAAAGAAACCATAAATTAATCCTAAAGAAACCCTTAATGACACCCTAAAGAAACCCTAAATGAAACCCTAAATGACACCCTAAATGAAACCCTAAAGGAACCCACTTGAACGTTTAGAAATCGTGAAAAGAAATCCTGATAAGAAACCCTAAAGAAACTTAAATGAACTCCTGAATGAAAACTTAAATTGAAACCCTAAAGAAACCTTAAATGAAACCCTAAAAAACTCTAAATGAAACCCTAAAGAAACCTTAAATGAGACCCTAAATGAAACCTAAACTGAAACCCTAAAACGCTAAATGAAACCCTGAATGAAACCCTAAACGAAACCCTAAATGAAACCCTAAATGAAGCCCTAAACGCAACCCTAAAGAAACCCTAAATGAAACCCCCAAAGAAACAAATTTGAAGGTTTAGAACTTTTGATAAGAAATCCCGATAAGAGACCCTACATGAAGCCGGAAAAAAAAACCCTAAATGAAACTCGAAAGAAACCCTAACCCTAAAGAAACCCTAAATGAAACCATAAAGAAAATCTAAAGGAAACCCTAAATGAAACCCTAAAGAAACCCTAAATGAAACCCTAAATGAAATCCCAAATGAAACCCTAAATAAAACCCTTAATGAGACCCTAAATGAAACCTTGAATGAAACCCTAAATGAAAGCCTAAAGAACCCTCGAGAGACCCACATGAACGTTTGAAGCACCAAAATGTAGCAAATACCATGCAGATGAGAGGTTGAAACGCCAAAATGTGACAAATACCATGCAAAATGGAAGGCGAACATGGCCTGCAAAATGCAACGTGACCATGCCAAAATGTAGCAAATACCATGCAACATGACAGGTTCTAGTTCCAAACTGTTGCAAATACAAGGCAAATGGTACCGGGAAAGAAAGGCAAAAAACAAATCAAAACCTGAGGCAAAAAAAATCAAAAACTATTGTACACCCTTAGAACAACATAGCGGTGTGATACATGCTACGCATTCGAAGCACCAAAACGATCGCCACTCGAGACAGACGATCTGGCAAAGGCAAATTCAAATAATCAGAGACGATTAACCTTTGAAAGCGTTGGAACAGAATAAAAATCAACACGTAGCGTGAACTGTTGCAACAATTACATGGTTCCGTGTCA